CTAATTGGACAGCAGTATGCGCGCGCATCGGTTTAATTTATGCTTCCCGTTTTTTATGAATATTTTGTGATCGTGGATTATGTGTGGCCTATAGCGTTGGCTATTGTTACGGCCCTTGCACTGGGGAGATATAGCCTTGTGTTACACTGAAGGCCAATGGGAAATGCGATTGACCACACTGTACATGCAGTACCGAAATGTGTAAATAAACGTACGTAGCTAGGTGTATAAAAATTATTTTGGAAAATAAACGACAGTAGAATTCGAACAGATAACTTTAGCAACAGTGATTTCAGCTGGCCTCAGTCTGCAGATGGGGGATGGAAAATAAATAATACATTTTATTATTTTTTGTTTTCTTCAAAAGGGCTTTTATTTAAATCTAAACCACTCGATTAAAATTTGAAACTACATGTATTATTTTGAAAATCGTGGATGACGGACATAATGGCGGGGTTAACGACATCTGAATGATCGATATTGGCAAATTGGAAGTAAACCCTTTCGACCTCATTGTCAATTATTTTAAGTGGAACCGAAGTGGGACTGGATATCAACTTAAAGGATTCGTAATGATGCGGGTTTCATGTAGATGCAGCTGGCCAAATATCCCAAACCAGGAAAGCGAAAAGTAAATGTCCAACAGACAATTTGAACTAATACTATTAACCTTTCATCACATACAGTTCCACGTAATAAGACGGCATCCTGTGTATATTGTTTCAGCCAGGTTGAGGTCCAAACAATTTTTAATGGAGTTTCCTTGTTTTTTTTGCATCCCTGGGTAAAACTAAATGTTAAAAGCATACGAATAGACAGGCAAGAGTCTGGTGGCACCAGTTGAGGATGGATTGTGCATTCATAGAGCCTGGGTACCAGATATCACCAGGTGATTTAACGTTGGACCGGTTATCTCACACGCCGATCTATCCTGCATTGCATCTTGGCATGTTTTCCCCCTTTTTTGACACTAAACATTGAGAGCCTCAATTAGCGTGGACATCACCGGCGCAGTAAAAATCCATAAAAATCTGGTAGCCTTTGACATGAATGATGGATGTGCTGGGTTTTTTTTTTTCTGGAACAACAAAATTGATTTATCGATTTGCCAGCTATAGTAATTAATTTCTAGTGTGTGGACATGAACGGAGTAGGATTTCTTGCAACGTCACTGGTAATCACTAGCTGATTTAGTACCCATGATGCATTGTGGGTTGCGTCTACCGCAGGCCCTGGGTCCTAGCTATACTTGTTTGTGATTGGACAATAAAAAAAATGCCATAATTGGGTGGGGGAACTTTGAGCAATCTAAATTGGTAAATTTAATCAATAATGACATATTTTTGAAGAGATTCTATCAGCAGTTTTGATTTGAATTGAACTAGTCTTTAACTTAAAACTTATTAAAAGATCACTTTTTTAAATTCAGACAGAATCAAGACCAAGATTTTGGACTTTTCATGTAGATTTTACATCAACAGGTCAAGCCGGGTCATGGGGACCGGAAGCGATTTAATCTGGCCCCGTGCTTATCTCACCCCTGACAGGATTCACTTTAATGAGTTCAGGGACTCAGCGCCGGATAACAACCTTTTGACCCAGGTCAAACCGACGAAAGGCCTCGAAACTAAAATGGTAGCGTTTGTGGTCATGCATGCTGACACTAATTTAGTCGTAACAGCAATATTACTGATCAGCTAACGCTCTTTAAATTCAACACAACACATATTGACACACACATTTGCGTAACAGTCTGGAATGCTTCATGCAGAAGCTATTTCTGAAGACGATCGGTTATTGGACCGAAACCTCGAGAGGGTTCTTTAATCCTTCCTTGTATATTGAGGAAGTTCCAACTTTGGGAGGGCAATCACGTCCCGTCACGCTGGACCGAAACGTCGAGAAGGTTCTTTAATCCTTCCATTGAGGAAATTCCAGAAACCCACCACTAAAGGAAACTTTGGACTACAACTAGCAAGGGGAATCACGTCCCTCACTGAAACCGAAGGCCAGTTTCTCTTTTGTTGAGAGGATTAAACAAATGAAAAGGTCCTCAATTCATACAATGGGTTAGCGCTGAGAGCCGTGCACGGTTTCAATGCTAATTTGAAATACATGTACATGTACTACCTTTCTCAATCCTGGAAAATCCTCAGAAAACCTCCCCGTGGGTTTTGGAAGGATTTGGGAAGGGATTAAGGGTTGAATAAATAGCTGCTTAAAGAAGATCTTAATGCGTACATTTTTCAAGGGCTGGTGCTATCCAGTAGGCCCTACATGCTTGAGTAAACTATGCACCTTAGTTATAATAGGAGTTTTTCTGGAACAATATCTTCCACAAAGTGACAACCACCATGTCTGTCATGCCCCCCCCCCTCTTCCTCCCCCTCCCCCTGACGGGGTAGAACTCCGTAAATACAGAATAAAGGTCTATATCCGTTCAGTTTGCAATAAAAGCAATCCATATTGACCCTACACTTTGTCGAAAGAAAATGAGAAACATAACGCCCCAACGGACGTGTACCACACCTATGTGTTTAGTACAGTATTATAGCATGACTCGACCATATCCGATTTTCGGACTGCGTGGGCGTGGCACGGGACCACGTGACTGTGGAGGAATTACTCAGAATTTCCATTCGTCAATGAAAGCAGAAATATAACAAAGTCTGTACTACACACAGCCAGAAGCATGTCTGTTTAAATTATCTTTAGTTCCCTTTCGTAAGGGACATGATGTCTGTAATATTATTATAACAACTTTGGTCATTCTGAAAGTTATTTCAAAGCTTATATATTTAATGTTTAGGAATTAGCTTTCGCTTCGGAAATATCCAACGATACGGTCATTAAAACAACATGTTTAGTTTTCTATGCGTGCAATTATCTACAAGTAATAAAATCAGTTACTTAATTGTTTCACTATGTAAAACTATGCACTTGAGGCATTGAGAATGAGTACATGTAGTTTGGTTGTAACGACTAACAAGTTTAGCTTGAGCGCCTTCGGTTATTGTGCATTTGGAAAGATTCCCATATATGGCCATCACTTGTCACCCTGCATGTGCACAAACTCTATGAGACTGGTTTAAAAATATCTATTTTCTCAGTAAATACTTGAATATTTTCCCTGCTAAATTTGACTTTTAAGGGTATATCATCACTTTCTGATGGCTGATGTAGGTCACTGAAGGGAAAAATTAGTGACGGTCAGATATGGGAATTCCAAGATTTGATTTTCCTCACATCATGAGAACCGTTATTTAAAACGCATTTCAGCTTTGAAAATGAAATGAACTTGTCAACAAAATGGCAGATTTGTGCAAGTTTTCGTATCTGAAGTTGAACTGGACTTCGGTCTTTTGTAGAAAAGTAGAAGGGGTTTGGAAAAGTATCGGTTCTTCGAATCAAATTTAACAGCATTGACGGCATATTCTTCTGGGATTTGTATGCTGGATGTAATTAGATATGCATGGCAGATGCCCTCGGCCCATCCCTTCGACCCGTTTAAAAAGTTTGAGGACCGGGATTTTCATTTGTTGACAAAAAAACCGGATCTTTTCTCTGTCTGATGTGTGCTGTGCCGTCTCCTGCAACAATAAGCCCGGGTATTTTATTTGCACAATAGACCACTTGTGCATTTGCAAATACTTCAATACTCGACCGTGACAATAAATCAAAATGGATTTATTCTTGGTGCTGGCACAACAAAGTTCAAAGTAAATTAGCTGAAGGTGTTGGTATAATAAGCACAGTCAGTAGACTTCCTTTACCAATTACCGCTGCAAAATTTCTACCACGATTTTTCTTTTGGATAAGCAAAGAAAATGTCCCCCTTTGAGGGAAACATGACGCCACTTACTCTGTGATGGTCAGTCTTTATGTTGCAGCATATCTTTTTGTTTTTTGTAAAAAATGGGGAAAATTTTTGGGAAAGAACGTTGCATCCTGACGCCACTTTTTTTCATCATATATTATCTCAATGAAGGTCAATCATTGCAAAAGTGTTGAAAAAACATGAATCTGGGACTGAGAAACATTTCCAATTGTCTTAGAAAATATTTTGAAAATGCACTCAACTCTTCATAGACTTTGTACACAAAGTGGCGTCAGGATATTTTTTCCCAATATTTGAAACTAAATTTTATGCCAATTCTGCGAGTTTTGACTTCATAATTTTTTTTTTTTTTTTTTTTACAGAAAAACATGTTTTTGAGTATATGTGGACATTAGATGAGCGGATCTCCTAGTAAATATTTGAATAAATTCCAGAAGTATATTTTATACACATTTTGTGAGTTACTCCTTAATTATCACGCACAGAATATCAAATAAATGTTTAATTCCAAATAAAAACTCAGTTAAGTTCTACATTGCTTTTTGACGGATAAAGCAAAACATGATTATCACTGAAGTAAGTGACCCTGAAACATAAAACAGTGCGCACGTAACAGAGGGTATAATGCATTTGCGAAGGTACGATTCCAGTTTGAAATTCGGACCCCATTGAAAACAAGGATCATTGACTGTACAGCGCTCTCTGCAACACATAGATTTGGTGTCCGCATTTCGAGTCAAGAATTCATGCGACTGAACGACCACGCCCAATAATTCAGTGGACAACATAACTGCGTCATAACTGCATCATGTAGCCGTCCGTTATTTTACTTCAAGTTCCAGATCACATCGAGCATAAGCTGCCTTTTCCGCGTTAACTGTTTCAGATTCGTCATGTTTGTCTCTTGACAAACTTGTTTAAAAACCTCTTGTAAAAAATGTCCAGTTTACTCTTATCAACCACAGAGTAGGGAATGCCTCACCTTAACCAGGTTCGTATTTCTACGAACGAGTTTTCGTCAACAGAAATGTTTTACTTGAACAAAATATATGGGGGAGTAATCTTGTACATTATACATATCCCTTCAGCTCTGTGAACACACAATTAGGCTTACTGTCGTATACGACAACAAAACAATTGTACAAATTGTAACTGTACTTACGTGCACGGTGACAGTCAGGGAAATTTCCTAGGGAGATGTTTAGCGTCGGGTTAACCACACACGAATAGTCACACAGCAACACAGCAGTTTGACTTGACTAAACGGTAGACCAACCCGACTTTGTTGCACCTGCGCAGTGGCGAGGGCGGGGCTTGTGACGTCGCGGGATGACGTCATTAAGAGTGAAAGTGGCTGAATAAATGAATGAACGCACTGTGTGCTATCTACGTACGATAGCTCTGTATACTATGGCTTACCCGTGCTATTGTGTTTGGAAGTAAAATCGATGTCTAGCATGGAATAGTGACTCGTAACAAAAGCAGCCTGTTTGGCGGAGGCCACTCGGTCTTTTGTCCTTGATATTCACGGCACAATGATGTCAGCGGTAGTCAGGCTGGCAGTAGCCTAGTAGCGATAGGCAATTGCTAATATTTATTTACTCAATGTATGCAGAATTAAAAGCAGACTAAATTGTAATTTTGATGTATAATTATTACCTCTAGTAACTGAAACAATATATTCTTCATATTGAAGTGTAAAGTAAATGTCAAGAAAACCTGTGCGCGAGGGAAAGACAAACTGATTAAACAGAGATCCATCTGAATCAGCTAATTCAACTTTTAACAAGTTGCCTCTTTCCATCCAAATAGGTACAAGCATGAGCTGGGGGGTAACTACGATGGACCGGCATCCCATCCAGCCAGGGGAATAGAAATATTCTCAGTCATTTCATGCCACTGAAACCGAGATAAACGCCGGCCTGATGGGCCATATCGGCTCGTGACAGACTTTTACTTTCCTAGCAATATAAAAGTTAGGGCCTATTAATTTTTGAATGAGACTTCGAACGAAAAGCAATCTACCGATGTTTAGGAAGTGAACTATTTACTGACCAAATTCGAATTATTGGCTGCCAGACAATAATTCGGCTCTCGCAGCGCGGGTTCATTTTTTACACAAAATGGAAGCCCCTTTTCAGAGGGTTACAAAATCGGAATAAAGTAGTTTTTCTGTTAAAACATACATACTGAAACTCGCTAGGGAAAGAAAACATCCCCTTTTAAGAGCATGGACACGCATCTTTAATCGGGCTCTGAATTTGCATATCTGACAAACTGGCGATAAAATATTGTCGAGGCTTTTTGGTAATGGTGTGAAGGCCCAGGATCATTTTTTTTCAAAATGGCGCCGGCGTCAAGACTTCAAGGATGATCTTACGAGGGAAGTAGCTGGTACCTATTTACCTCATTAAGGGATCGTATGATCATTTCATTCTAGTACACTTATACTTCATTCCACTTGACGGTGTATAATGCCAGAGATTAAGGGTCAAATACGCCAAATTAGTACGAGGGATTTAGGGATGAAATATACAAAATTAATGGCCCGCCGTCTGTGGTTTAAGACCATGCCAGTACATGTATACGTACTATGGGGCTAAATAGGAGTGAAACTCCTCTACGGAAGCTGACTCATAAAATAGCCGCTCCTTGGCTGGGCAAGATAACGCATGACCTTAAAAAATCAATGTCATTATTGTTTCCGCTGACGCGCTCCTGGGAAGGAAACGTCCGACGGCTGTTTGCTGATGCATGACCACGATCGAAACTGAAGAAAATTTGGCATGAACCACAATTTCAAAAGTGGTATTTTTTCTCTCAACAGACACTCATTTCCGAGAGGTTTTAAAATTGTATGCCAGTGGGGTGAAGAGCTAGTACATAGTGTGTCTCCCCTCAGAAAACAAAAATAACTAGAAGTGAAAACCCTTATTTTTAAAAATTTAAGTGAATATCATTGGAGTGTAAAAATGTTGATTGTAATAGCCTCTAACATTGTTCAAAACCTAATTAGGACCTTAGCACGTTATTGCCCAGTTCTCTTAATTACCTGTACATGTATGTTCAATCTCTAGTAGTGAGTACAAGTTTGTGCCAATCTAACCAAACTGGTTCCCCTCAAGCTGATAATGTAATCAATCAACATGTCAGTGCACCAGTTGAATGCCCCAAAATATTTCTGACCCTGTATAGCGCCCTCAATGAATCATACGCAATACTGATAAAACGGAAAACTCGCTCCAATTTCACAAAATGAAATTGCAGTCCTGCTCAATGCACTTAGAGTAATCTACCTTTACTATGTACATGTAAAAGTACTGTAATCCTTAGAGAAACTTAACAGATTTGTGTAAAATAAAGCCAGAGTGAAATGATTTTTACCCCTCCTGCTATCTGAACAGTCACAGACAGTCAGAAAATCAATCCTCTTCCCCTGCCATGCCTTTTACACAGGCTAAAATCACCAACAGTCAGATCATATGTGGAGCAAGCACTGTGACTAGTCAAATTCAGTCAACAACCAAAAGGAGGCAAGTAGTAGGCACAGCTGGCTTATCAATCGCCTACAGTCAAAGCATAGCTGTATCAAGATACATAAACAGTCACAGCCAGTCAATCCTGCTTTATGTAGGCTGGGAGCTCTTAACTGTTGAAAACAGTCACTTGATTGATTTTGACTGAAAGGACAACATGGCACAGAATGTAAGTTTGCATAGGAGGGTTTTATATAGATGTAATTCACCAGACTCAACACGCGATGGAAATACCCAAAACATGAAACAGTCATCTGCCTCGACAGTGAACCTCTTGTGACGAAAAAAGATCATCACGTTCAAAGAAATGTCATCACCTGCGTTGCCGCCGAGAGTGCGCCCGAGACTGTTGTTGCCAAAACAGTGTATCTATGGCAACCAGTCTCTAACTTGGAACAGGAAACCGTCTTTGACCCAACGCTTGCCAGTTTCTGGAAAGACTGAACTTGAAAGCGGGGGCAAGGCTGGGGAAAGACAGCTTCTCAATCTGACGCTCGAAAACAAGCAATGTAACATCAATCATCATGAGAGAATTTTGTGACGTATCATGAAGTAGCAGTCTATGCCTACGCACTTTCTGTGTTCTTGATCGTGTGGGATAACAAATTTATCTTCAAGCAAACTTGACGCACAGTCAAGATGCAACAAGTACTCTGTGCACAAACTTTTTAGCAGTTATCCTATTAATACACGTTTCAGCGGGAATGCATGCCAATCTTAGAATAGCACGATACGCAGTTTGTTGCCATGGATCGTCCAATCAGGATCAAGGATTCAAATTTGCTTGAAGATAATACTTATCTTTCACTGAAATGTCCTCAATTGGCCAGTGAAAATTTCATCTACAATTTTTTGCAAACAGAGCTGAAAATAATTTTTATATGGATTGAGGACAAATTCTTGCAAGTAATGTCACCGATTAACCCTAACAGAATTCAACCCATCAAACCCCAATGGTATGTTTGTTGGAATCTGTCAGGATGGGTACAGTACCCCTAAACTGACAGTCTTTTACATTGGGTTAGAACACCTCCAGAATCAAAGCCAGAAGTATATGCATGCAGTTTCCCATATGGTGTTGGAATTTGCCAGGATGGGTATGGTTCCTAGTACATCATGCTAGGGAGTTAGGGTCAAGGGCAAACATTAGATTAACAAAAAATCTCAGCCCAATGAATTTCACAGGGATGCGAGTGGAGTCAGACATTTTTTGCCTGAAATTTCAGGTATAAAGCAAAAAGGATACACACATATTTAATGCCAATATACTATTTGGAAAAAGCCAGAATTCAGGTAATCGCAGGACTCGCATCCCTGATCATAACGCATTAATTTTCTGGACTGCCAAAGCATTTACTTCACCATCAGAGGGCGCTTTCGATGCTGACAATATAACCACACCAACTAAAACAACCAAAAAGTAACGAATAGTTCCGATTCTCTACAACCGAAGGTAAAACCTCCTGTTTTATTCAATAAACCCCAAATGGCGCATGTTTCACGTTAGACTGTTTACAATGATTCATCCGATGTTTAAAAAAACTCCACTGCCATGGTAACTGTTCTGCTTGACGTACCGTCAACAGCTCTGGACGTAGAGATCGTTGGTGCTGTTTACGCTACAAGGGCCGAGGCGGTCGATGACTCACTAGAAGTTGAAGGAGAAAACAAGACAAACAGGATTCCGCGTTAGATGAGTGTAAGGGTATTGGGTAGGGGTAAAGGTGGGTGCAAGGGGTGCGGACAGACGAAAGGAAATTGAATTTGGCAGAAGGGAAGGAGGGGGGCAAGGAGGAAATTGACAATGTGGGTGGGGAAGACAGGATCAATTCTAGGGAGAGCTTGCACAATGGTTTCAGCGAATTGAAATTTTACGTAGGTGTATAAAGTCAAAACGTAGGGTGGGCTTGCAAAACAAGTTGGATATCCGAGGGTATAACCATAGCTGCCAACATTTCAAAATCCCAATTAGTAATCAACCCGCGCGGTCATTTTCAACTGCTCGTTTTATCAAAAGCTTTACCAACATCGAGTACAGGTACATGGTTTACATGTACACATACATGTGCATACCCTTCTTCTTGTGAATAATAATGTAATGTAGGCCAAAAGATAATTTAAAAAAAAAAAAATTTAATTTTTTTTTTTTTTTTTTTTTAATTAATTTTTTTTAATGTCTGTATTTGTTTGTTGGAGTCAAATAAATAATAACAATAATAAAATATGCGCATATTTTTTTGGAGATGCATGCTATCGATGTGGAGTTTCGAGTTCGTATCAATGTTTTTTACACACAATGATTTAGGGCCACCGTCATGACCGTATGCAATAGAAATATCCCGCCAACATACCTTGCAAACGCATGCTGATTTATCTTTTCTGGACGTTGTGACAAACTCAAACTTCAATACCAATTATTCCAACCATACTCTTATTAAATTCCATGATTAAATTGTCGCACTGATGGGTCTCAACCCGGCAATAAGCGACCAAATGTGCTCACGATCGTCACTGAAAAGTACTCACATACAGTACACACACACATCCACGAGATGCACACAAATGACACACGATTGAAAAATAGTTTTAGTCTGGTCCTCAAGTACTCCACTGCGCACACTGCATTGATGTCTATCAGGTGCTTGACTGCATTCTTATTAGACTTGTCACCAGTCCATCCATTATCGCGACATTTCGCCAGAAGTTTTCGGTCAAAAACGATACTTTACAAGTATTTTTTTTTTCATTAGGTAGAAAATGGGAAATTCGTAATGTTTTTAGTGGCAAATCGTATTTTCGTAATTTAACAAACAATTCGTAATAATTACGAAAAATTAGTAACAGTTGGCAGCTATGTATAACCCCAACCCTGCTAGATGCAACCACTGATCTCTATATAAAGACTGGATAGCTAATAAAGAGCCGCACAATGAACGAATTTGACACCATATTGGTGAGACCGGCTGGTGATCTACAAAGGACAAGTTGCCGTCTTTATAGACAGCATGATTTCTTTTGTAACGTCATGGTTCACTTGGCTTATATTTTGACCACCCCCACTGCACTGACCAAGGTTTACTACAATTGTTCTAACGTCGTGGTTACTTTTTAAAATGCCGCAAATCATTTTTTTGGCGTTTTTGAAATAATAATCACTACGGAAATGTGTCCCTTTTAGAACATCATAATATGTGTACGTGACCAAAATGCGCGTCAACTGTTGATACAACGCGCGCGTATTTACGCGTAGAACGTTCGTATTATACGCGGCCATCTTCGTGAGACCGGGGGCGAATTGGTCAATATGCAAAGTCTACTGTGTGAATGGTGTATGGATATCCGTTATCCAGTCTTTATATAGACATCAGTGGATGCAACACAGTGAATCAGGTAGAAAAGTCTGGTGCACTTTGATGCATTCAGCTACCAACTCCAGTGCATAAACGGCCAGTTCTGAGACAATGAGAGCTAGTCCCATTGAACAATGCCACAGTTGTATCCTGCTGCATTCGGGGACCACAGACTCTGAGGCAGTTTGGCCTTGAGACTTTTGGCCTGATGGATCTTGTTACACTGGGCAGGCTTGTCACTTAGTCAAGTGTTGCATGTTGCTGTGTTTGGCAGGGTTTCTAGCCAAAATACCCTGGACTGAGGGTTAATGTTAAATGACAACTTGTCTCTATGTTGGACCAAAAAAGACCCAGATTTGACCAAAGTAAAAACAGATTTTACCAAGATTTGACCCCAAACAGGATATTACAAAAAATGACTTCAGACTTGACCTGAGTGATTACGGACATGACCCAAGATAGGACACTAGATCTGACCCCAGTTATGACCCCACATTTGACCTAGACTTGGCCCCCTATTTCACACCATTTTTGACCCTAGAGTAGAGCTTGTAAGTTCACCCCTAGTGGCGAGCTTCCAAACCCCTCGAATAGGAACGTCAACATGTAAAAAGTCTAACATTTGCAATTAGTTTTGGTAATTCGTTTTTTTTTTCTAATCTCCAGCTGATTTTTCATCATTTTTTTCTTGTGGAATATCAAGATAAATCTCAACATTAATGTTTCTCGGGGTGATTGAATACTGTTAGAAATCATTTTATCAAAAATTATAGCAAGAGAAAGGGTAACACGGTGTAAAATGTGAGGAGTCCGGAAGCTCAAAGACAAAATGGCGGACTTTCAGGCTCTATGGACCAAAATAACCAGCATAATGGAACAGAGTTTTTACTCATTGGTTACAGGTAACACTTTGAGAAAATTACACCAGAGAATATTCCGGTTCTCATCCAACAGGTTATAGATCACCATGCAGCTTGTAAAAACAAACATTCATGACGTCTTGCAAAAGCAAACATTCCCGTTGAGCAAGAACCTGGGAATTTGGAGTTCTCTTCATGACTTGTCAGTTGCTATGCGAGAGAGTTCTTATGAGTATCAGACCAGGCTTTCCAATACTGTACAAACAAATGTCTGTTTCCAAATAGAATAGTGCCAGCCCAAATGGAATATAAAGCCACATCTGAATTCCATGGCTGCGGCTACCAATTACACACACGCACTATGGAAGCGGATGCAGCCACTTCCCATAGACCTGTGTGTTATAGCTAGCCGCAGCCAAGACATTTAGACACAGCCTAACAAGTATTAGGAGTTCTGGAATGCTCCATAAGGACAACAGAGGGCGCTGTTCATTGTTTGCAGAATAACCACAGTTCTTAAAATAGAACCCTAAACCTAGACCAAACATTTCTCTGTTTTTACGTTGGTGTTTCTGGCAACCAAACCCTGCATCCTACAGCCGCCATGTTATGTGATCATAATAACATGCATCATGCGACCGTCCACTTGCAAATTTTGATAACAATTCAGGCAAATGTCAGGACTAGGTTTTATTTGAAGATGTCTACGGAGAGACGGGATATTTCTGTGCTACTCACTATTTCCAGTTTGGAGATAGGACTCTCTTGATCTTGTAGTAACGAGCCAGTCTGTGGATACGACTCTCAATCAGAATCAGACGGAACTTGGAGTCCTTGTCCTGAAAGAACAAAAAGGGTTGGATTGGGTCAGTTAATCCCTGACTCTTGAATTCAGCTCTGTGGCTATTATTTTTTTGAAGGATAAAAGCAACAAAATTCTGTGCACATTCTTCACATACGACAGCGTTGAAGGCAAGCACAATGTAGCCTCAGATTTATCCCTGATTTCTAACATGTGCCAAAGCAGAACCATTATCGATTCAGCTTTACCTTCACCTCTGTGAAAGTTATTATCCCTACCACGCCCCAGACTGTCTCTTGTTCTTACCCCTAACCGCCCTGAATCCTTCAAAATCTTCTTTGCCACAGTGGCTGAATTTGGAAGACTGAGGTTACATGGCAAAAGCGCATTACTGTTTTGGTAGGATGCACTTTGTCAAGGTCTTGGGCCATAAATATAGGCCTAGATTATGCTTGAAATCCTCCGTACTGCTCCAGGATGTCACTGGCCAAGCCTCAACATACTGACAGTCAATGCCGCAGGATTTTGCAGGATTCAGGCAGTGGTCCCCCCTCCACGGACCATATTCAAGAAATAATGGAGGAATTTGCAGGATTGAGGCTATATGCTATTTTTCCACAAGGCCAATTGGAGGAATTTGCAGGATTGAGGCTACATCCTAGCAAAAAGGCCTAGGGAGTTAGGGTTAATCTTGGGCTACACTCAAATTGGCTTTAGAATCTAGGGCTAGGTTCAGTTTGGGCTCAATCACAACTCCATCAAAAGTAACACTGGGTAAAAACAAAGACAAAGGAATGACTTTGCATCCTTTTTTTGGAATAAGCTTTTCCCTGTCACGCCACTTCTGACTCCGTAAGCATTTTTGCTAGGATGCACCTTCAATCCTTCGAATCCTCGGACTGCTTCATGTAAAAATTGCAGTCTCAGTCCTCCGTTATTTTTTGACTTTGTTCAGTGGAGGGGTGACCTAACCCTAACCCTACACATTTTTGTGTATATTTTGTGTACATTTTTGCCATGTACTGCCTTCAATGTATGTTATTAAGTGCAAATGTATGTTTGTATGAGAATTGCAGAGGGAAAAATTACAGTTAATCAACAATTTATCAACCATTTATCACATACCGTTTTAACAGATGTGCTCTATCAAATTTAGTGCTGTAATGAGTTTTAAGTTCTCAATCGCTATGTGTCTAATTTCACCCGCTGGTATTGGATAGGCGACGCTCTCACAACCAACCGCTATCACCAATGATCTGCTATCACCACTCTGTCTTGGGAATCTTGTAGTGGTTACGCATGCACACCTGTTTTGCCTAATGTATGCAGCGTGCATTCAACACCTTACATGTTAGCTCTGAACCAAACTCCGAAAGTTCTGCCAGTATTATACAAGATGCTAACAGAATTTTGTGTCTCTTCATGGCAACTCTTTGTCGTATGTAGTACGCAAGTGACCAAAAATGTAACGGGTGGGCACTTGTTTCCCCCATTTTCAAGGGGAGAACTTACAAGAATCTACAGACATTGTATAGCGGTTTATAGGTGATAGTGATTGGTTGTGATAACGCCCTCTTGCAACAACGCCTTGACCCCAGACTAGTGAGAGACAGAACTGGTGGAGGAATGTTGTACCTTGCGGTTTCTCTCCAGATGTCTTCGGACAGCCACAGCTTTCTTGATGAGGCAGTAGAGATCCTCGGGGAGAGAAGGAGCAAGCCCCTTGGCCTTCAGGATGCGCAGGATCTTGTTGCCGGTCACAAAGCGGACCTGGGCGACACCGTGGGAGTCACGCAGGATCACACCTGAGGGGAAGAATTCATGAAATTACTGGTTCTGAAGTTCATCAGATGGAATTTGCGTCGGTTCAATATTAGGTTTTGCTCTTCAACGACGTATTTGAACCCTAACCGTCCAGGGTATTGTGGCTAGAAACCCTGCCAAATGCAGCAACATGCCACACTTGACTAAGTGACAAGCCTGCCCAGTGTAGCAAGATCCATCAGGTAAAAAGTCTCAAGGCCAAACTGCCTCAGAGTCTGTGGTCACCGAATGCAGCAGGATACAACTGTGGCATTGTTCAATGGGACTAGCTCTCATTGTCTCAGAAGTGACCGTTTATGCACTGGTGTTGGTAGCTGAATGCATCAAAGTGCACAAGACTTTTCCACCTGATGCACTGTGTTGCGTCTGGCAAGGTTAGGGTTAAACACGTATACTCAGTGTTGTCCCAAACCTTTGTGAGAAGAAAAAACTCACACACTACTTGGGTGGGAATCACACCCATAACCTCCTGCTTTATAGTACAGACGTATTATCACTCGACCACTGAGCTTGCTAGGGTCAGCTGGCTGGTTAAAATCTGATGTAGCAGTGGGTACTGCAACCAAACGTTTCATAAGATGAATGTTGGGATGGGGTGTTGTAAGTTCTGAAGTGTTGTATTGTATTGTATTGAATTGTTTTATTTTTATTTGTCACAAATTAATATATGCAAATGCAACAGATTATTTACTACAACAATAACTAAACTTAATAGAATACTAATACATGTACAACACTTTGATCAATAAAACATAACTGGTGACAGATGGGGGAACCAGGAAAAAAGCCTAAGCTTATACAGAGCCTGGTCCCGTTTGTGAATAACTTATGAAATAAACATTAATTATAGCTATAATTTAACCCTAACCCCCTAGGCTCTTGCACTAGAAAGTATACCAAACCTAACAAATTTCAACAGCTGCATACAGGTCTGTAAGCACTGGTACCAAAACTGCCAAACTCCAACAGGCCTTGTACGGGGAACAGTACTAAACCTGCCAAACTCCAACTGTTGGAGTTTGATTGACTTGGTATGGATGGGCCTATGCATTGTCGAGTGATTGGATAGGGATGGTACCAAACCTAACAAAATAAAGCAATATGTACATGCACATTTGACCACAAACTGTGCTGAGGACCGTGGGTGAGCATACCCACGAAGAAATGCCAGTGAACTCCCTCAAACTCCAACGTGTTCACAAATCTCATGCCCTTCTGCCCCGAACCTCACAAAATTCAACAGGGTCTCCCTGGGCCTTTGGTACCCAGTCAATCAAAGTCCAACACCAACTGGCCAGTGTTCGGTACCAACCCTGCCAAAATCAAGCAAAACCCGCTGTTGGAGCTTGATGGGCTCAGGGTTGTTAGGGTTAAAACAGTGGTCAATAAATTAATTAATTAATTATTTACTTGGCATAATAGTCGAAAAACTGAAGGAAATTGAAATATACATGTACTTATTTACAATATAACATTTGATTATGATGGAGTGTGACTTGTACAAATGCGAATTATGGGTGCACGTCTTATATAACTCCGAACATGAAATAAGGGAGGTAGTCAAATAGAATTAGCAGAACTAATGAAAGTGCGGGGTTGCTGGTTTCTCTGCTCAATATGTCATAAATATGGCTCTGACAAAAAGGCACGTTGTTTGTTGTGCTGCATTTGAAACCACTATGGAGTTACTTCCAAATTGTTGATGTCAACATACCTGTTGGAGAAATGTGTTACTTGATGCAATTATCACCATTTGAGATAAAAATGCTTTGTGGAATCACGTGCCGTCTTTAAACTTACCGATCTGGGATGGTGACAATCCCTTCTTGGACAACTTGAAGATCTGCTCTTTGACGTCATCAGAGGACAGTTTCAGCCACTGCAAAATAATGAACGCGACATTATTATCAACCTCCACTTTCAGAAAGAGGATTTTGAAGGATTCTGGGCGGTTAGGGTTAAGATTCTATTAACGTGATGGAAGACACTATCCTTGCTGTATTGGGTGATTACCGTCATGACAGTATTGAGAGTCCTTAATTTTCAGACTAAGGCCAAGCAAAAAAATCGACCCTTTTCAATGCCCTGCCAACTTCCTTTTTTCCAGCCTGTCTCCCTTTTTAAATCATACATTTTTTTTATCATAAAAATTGTGTTTTTATGGGTTTCTAGCAAATTTGTAGCTATGAATACAAGTGCAAAAGCTGGTAGAAATGTTAACAGCTCCTTTGAGCACAAGGTATCAGCAAAAGAGTCAAGAAAATGGAAGAAAACATCTTGGAAAATTTGCCATTTTGAGAAGAACAAAAATGGCCCACCTCCCCCTTTTCAAAACAGCCCGGACGAGAAAATGTTATTTTTTTTTAACTTGGCCTAAAATGAGATGTACTTACTGTTGGCACACTGCGACGGTAGGGCAGTGCTGAGGATGAGATACCCTTGCTGTAAATGTAGCAGACAAGAAAGAAAATTAACAAACAAGTCGTCACACAAGAACTGCTTTCTAATCTGCAGAGTTTAAGGGGCACTGCGTCCTGAAATCCCCGAAAATGTCATGTTTTGGATTGTTTACTTATCCTATCTCAAACATCTGGTTGAAAGGAAACCAACCTAATGTCTTACCGTTCCCGAGAAAAGACAAAAAAACTCTAATTGTTTACATCGGACACGATGGAGTATGATACGTGTTTGCTATCGTTTTCATAAAATGTACGATATACGTGTGTGTGTGTCTAGTAATACACAAGCACACAGCACCGTGCTCATGAACAGCAGTGACCAATCACTAATGCACAAAATGTGATTTCTTACACGTCCGCAAAAGGCCAACCCGTACGGCTGGAATCACAACTAGCACGAACAGCCCAACTTTTTGGGGACGCAAAAGTGGACCCTGAAAGTCGTTCTCACACGAATAAGACAAGAATACTACAAAAGCGCCCAGTTTGTAAGGGATAGTTGTGTGGGTGTTTATATCCTACTATCTGACTATTAAATGTTCTTTCCGATTAACATCATTTCGTTCAAAATGCGTTTTGTTGCCCAATTGGGCGTATTCCAGAACGCAGTTTCCCTTTAATTTACTTTGTGATACCCAATTGAATGCATACGCAGCAAACTTGTCACAATTTTCCCACTTCCTTACAAAATTCATCGTTTTTTTTAACAAAATAGGTTCGCATAGTTTTAAAGGGTCTGACGTCGACGATACAACTCTGGGAAAAAATGTTGCAACCTGATGCCACTTCGGCGGTTGTGTACAAAGTCTATGGAGAGTTAGCTGGAGTTACCCAGCCCTGAGTTTTATCATTGGGTTGTCTATTAGGGCTGGAGCGAATTTTTCTCGTAACTTGTAGTATAGGCAAAATTTTTTGGAAAATGTTCAATTTTGTCCCCGTTACACACTAATTGCAACTGCAACTCACCCCAAACTTGCCTGGAATAACCATTACACAGGTCCTTGAAGTAAAAAACGATCCACGATGAAGATTCAGCCTACAATTGCAGTGAAAACAGGAGGAATAACCGCTAACTTGACAACCTTGCTGGATTGGCCAGGACCGCAATTGGTTTGTGCACAAAAAAAATTGTGTACAATGAATGGCAGTCGATTAACAGGCACAGAGAGCGATCGCTGTCAACTACTCGTTTTTGCCGGCTGCGCTGGCTGTTGGCGCATGACGTCACGCGGAAGCGTAACACCCGATGACTGTTTCATGCACTATTGGTTGCGGTTCCAGTACCAAAGCTGTGATGCGAGTGGTAAACCTTATATAAGTTAGCGGTTATTCCTCCTGTTTTCACTGCAATTGTAGGCTGAATCTTCATCGTGGACCGTTTTTTACTTCAAGGACCTGTGTAATGGTTATTCCAGGCAAGTTTGGGGTGAGTTGCAGTTGCAATTAGTGTGTAACGGGGACAAAATTCAACATTTTCCAAAAAATTTTGCCTATACTACAAGTTACGAGAAAAATTCGCTCCAGCCCTAATAGACAACCCAATGATAAAACTCAGGGCTGGGTAACTCCAGCTAATGGAGAGTCAAGAAAATTTTGTAAGTACTATTACTGTATTAGCATAATAGCAGTAGGCCTATTTCCCAACAAAATTGGAAATGTTTCTCAGTCCTAGTCCGAGTAACTTGGACCCAACTTATCGCCTTTTTTAACATTTGGACATGGTCTGGCGATAGTAAGGTCCAAGCTAATACCGAGACCTAGACAACACAGTCCCAAAAACCAACATTTTCCAACAAAAAACATCAGATTTCGCCTTCAAAACGGCCTCCAAATTACTAGATATGTCACCTGAGGTACAAGTAGACATAGATGATTAAGATGGTTGTACTTAAGTTTACTTACGATCCGGAAAAAAGTGAAATTTTCCGTTCAATTCTGAAGACCCCCTCTGCCTAGGTTGTCGTTGTTGTGCTCACGTTCAAAACTGCATGATAATGGCGTCTGACCTCGACCTCATGCAAATGTCGTGACGGCGCGCTTGCGCATAATGCACTGCATGCACGGCAGATTCCCCTGCGCCGCGCCGACGACTGTTTCCTGATGTAGAGCGCCAGCCATGCGCCTGGCTAGCCAGCGCGACTCCTAGGCGTACCGCAAACTTACACAGCACTCTACATCAAGAAACAGTTGTCGGCGCGGCGCAAGGGAATCTGCCCTGTCGTCACGACATTTGCATGAGGTCGAGGTCAGACGCCATTATCATGCAGTTTTGAACGTGAGCACAACAACGACAACCTAGGCAGAGGGGGTCTTCAGAATTGAACGGAAAATTTCACTTTTTTCCGGATCGTAAGTAAACTTAAGTACAACCATCTTAATCATCTATGTCTACTTGTACCTCAGGTGACATATCTAGTAATTTGGAGGCCGTTTTGAAGGCGAAATCTGATGTTTTTTGTTGGAAAATGTTGGTTTTTGGGACTGTGTTGTCTAGGTCTCGGTATTAGCTTGGACCTTACTATCGCCAGACCATGTCCAAATGTTAAAAAAGGCGATAAGTTGGGTCCAAGTTACTCGGACTATCTCAGTCCTAGACCCGTGAACGTGGCGTTGTATACAACGCCACGTTCTTGTTTCATTTCGAACCTGGCGAAATCGATCCGACAGACATAATTCCGTATGGGTGTTGAGTACTCACCTAGAAATCTATATTTGCCCGTCCGATTGTTTCGGCTGTGTAATTTCGACGAAATTTGCCCATCAGTAAAGACCCATACGAACGTGTAGAAATTAGATTTTAACCTGACCCTGACAAATAACCCCGGACGCGTCAGAGTCGCTTGGACAGATTGACGGCTGTTTCATGTCGCAACCCCGAAAAAAAAAACCCCGCAGACGATTGGCTGCTCGGCTCATCTCGTGTACAGTACGTGTGTGCACACACACGCGGGCGCACGTGCGACCGCGTGCGGTGCGGTGAGAGAGGAAAGGACTTGAAACTTGTCTAAAACGATGTCTGTTTTAGCTGCGACAGTAAACAGCCGTCAATCATACGAAAATAAAACGCAATGCGCGTGCGTCAGTTGGGAGAAAATGGCAGCTAGCAGTAGCGGACGGACTTCATGAACCGGGGCCAGAATTTTCCTCAATTTTCGTCAAATGCAAGTTTTGACGTACAAATAGAATTCAAGACAGCTTCATATGTGAGTACTTATTACATGGGCAAAATAACGTCCAGTGTGTGTAACGGAGGGAGTCAGAGGGACACGTTCGCCAGGTTCGAAATGACATAAGAACGTGGCGTAGTTTACAAGCCACGTTCACGGGTCTATCTCAGTCCCAGATTCATGTCTTATCATCATTTTTGCAATGACTGACCATATGAAGAAAAAAGTGGAGTTTGGTTGCAATATTTTTTCCCTTATTTTAATATTTGGCCTAAATCATGTGGATAAAAGTACAAGGCACTTAAATCAAGAATTTAATATCAAACTTCAAAGCAAACACATTTTAAAAAGTCATGAAACCAATTACTTTCACCCCCAAAAGAAATAAAAACAGCGCCCTCATTGTTCCGTGTAAATTTGTAAACCGTGTGCCGCTTCAACACGACAGTTTTCCACCCAAAAATACCATCTTATAGTTCATAAAGGTCATCAAAAATCCCTTCAGTGGAATATGCAGTTATTCTTGCCCATGTGATCAATTGGCATTCGTGTTTAATGTTTCCAAAAAGGTGTAAATTAACGACAAATTATACGCACCCTGGCGCGTGCATGCGACCCATGATGGCAGATTGTGTGGAAAGATCGAATCACGTGACCTGACTTTTAACCAGTTTTTAATGATTTTGGAAAGATTATTCATCGTATTCAGAATATTGAACCGAAGAAAATAATTACTGAATGTCCACTGGGGTACATATTTAGTTAATTTGAGAAAATAATATATAATTCTTAATAAGTAAAAGCAGCCTAGGTAGTTCAAATTTATTGGCGAGCCAGGTAGTCTTTATCATCACGCACGATCTATAATTTACACCGTGTAGTTCGATCGGACTTTGACCTTTAGCACGTACGGCACGTCGACGTACAACGCGCGTGTGTGGTACGTGCGGACATTGACAGTATGGAATAAACTTTTTAAAATGTATTTGCTTCTCAAAAGAAATATAAAAAAATCCTGAAAATAGGTCCTCCCCTTGGAATTAAATTTGAAAACATCTGGCACGTACGTAATCGCCAGTGTTTTTGTTTATTGTATTATTATTTTTTTTGGGGGGGGGGGGTGTTTGCCTCAGCTCAGAAATGTTTAGAAAAATTATCTACTGCGCTGGGCGCTGTTCACTGTGGTGTTTTATGTTCTTTCTCGTAAGTTTGCATTGTTTGTAAAAAAAACTAATTGCTCCAGTTCCTTTGCTCGTATACCCAGCATTTTAGTTTGTCTGTTGGCCCCCAATTGGCATATTTTCATGTAACCAGCAGTACAGGGAGAGTAAAAAAAGCGGAACCAAACCCCAACAATTATATTTCATATTTAAAAAAATATGTAGCACCAAAAATAATAATGACTGGAAAGCCAATTTCATAAGCTACTGAAAAAAATACTGAAATTGCTCATTCCATTCAAAGAATATCACCACATTTAAACGCAATGACCCTATAAAACCTGTTTTGTCCAAAAAAGCCATTTTTTATTCTTACTGTTTGGAACAACAAAGAAAATGACACAGAATGCTTGCTTCAACAAATGTCAACAACTGTAGTACACAATATCTTTATTAACAACCCTGGTAAGGCAAACAATAATGATTTTAAAAAAAATCCACTTTTTTAAAAGACGGGCCTTCAAAAGGACTCTTTGAATCTTGTAAACTGAGGTTTTGTCGCTGGTGATGTTTGAAGACAATATCATGACGACGATTCTTGAAATCGCATTTTTGGACGAAAGAGGTTTTAGGGTCATTGTGTTTAAATGGTGATATTCTTTGAACGGATTGAGCAATTTCATCTAAAAGTAGCTTATGAAATTGGCTTTCCAGTCATTATCATTTTTGGTCCTACGTATTGAGTTCCGCTTTTTTGACTCACCCTGCATATGCGCACAGTCTTCATGCAAACAATGCTCTTCCTTTCATCCACAAAATGTCATAAAAGAGAGATTAAAGAAGAGAGACTACTTACAAATATACAAGATATATATTAAAGTTGGTATATACTTGCTTTTTCAAAATTTCTATTTTCTTTTCCGAACGAAATTTAATGGAATATATGCAATTTAAAAAGTGGTTTTACTGAAATGGCACGCTCCAGCCTCAGAAATTGCGCACACCGTTCAGAACGAATTGGGATAATTGAAAACTTGAAATTAATTACTTGATTACTTGTCGTCGGCCGATTTTTTGTGTGTGCGATGTCTCATTTGAAAGCTCATAACGTATGTAATGCTAGAAAATTATCAATTCAATTTGAAAAGCTTTTTTTTTAAGCTGCCACACCCAAAACGCACGTATACAACAAATGTTAAACTCTCTGCTGTGAACAGTAGTTTTAAATTTGTCATTTTTTCTTTCTTTTCGACCGAAAAAAGAATTAACGTATTGGACGTTCTTTCTCCACATGATACTCGTAAACATTTCGTCTTCAGTTCTTGTTGACGATGTCCATTGAAACAATAGATAATATATTTCTTTATCAACCCAATATTACTGGAATTATGGTTCGAAAGAAGGTGTTTGCTCTCGACACACTTTATTAGTGTCTTGACTGGGTTCTCATGAAATATAACCACGCAATAACAACATGAAAGTATCCTACCACACGTAAAGCCTCACTTTCGTTTCAAATATGGCTATCTGTCAAAGAGCGATGCGGAAACGCCCCCTTTTGAGGTCATAGTCACGAACTACACGTTTTATATGTCTTTACGGGCTCAGCGTGGTCTGGTACCATTTCAATCTTACGCCAAAGTTTTACTTACATCGGGATTGGGACCATGCTAAATTGGCGTCTGCAAAAAGTGCACTTGCAACCTTTAAACTCTTCATCATCGTTCAATGCGAACTGCCCTGAAATTGGACGTGGACACTTCCCAGAATTTTGACCCAATTTTCCCATCCAGGAGGTCCATTTCGGCAAAGTCCTTTTTGTTGCAGGACTGCGTTCAACGATGGCTGGCTCCTCCCCACCGACCTCCGGCTTTCGATCGCAGTCGATGATGAGAATGCAGCGTGCGGCGTCTTCGTCCAAAATTCAGCGGACGCTGGGCGGGCTGGACATGCTGGACGAGATGGGCATGGAGATGGACCGAGGGCGGACCGCCGCTCAGGAGAATAGATGGGTGTTCGAAGTAGCTTGGGAAGTCGCTAATAAAGGTGAAGAAATGGGGAATGTGATGTGCTCGAGAAATTCCAAGTGATGGAATTGTTGACATTTTGTCACCGGTTTTAAAAACTTGTTTTAAAGGTTTTTGTTATTGTCTGTTTGTTGCCTTTTTGGTTTGTTTTCTTTTGGATTTTTTTAGGGGGGTTGTTTGTTGGCTTGTTTGTTCGATTTATATGCCAATGACTGACCTTCATTGAGATAATACGATGAAAATAGTGGTGTCAAGATGCAACATTCTTTCCCCTCTTTTATCAATCATTAACCAATAACCTACCCAACACATCAGCTTTTTTGTGTCCATTTTTGTAATTAATAGGCCTAGATAGTCTTGCCTCTTTTCTGTTGGACTTGACCCAAGTTTGGCTGTACAGCATTTGTGTGATGTCTTGTAAACGGTCTTGAATTGAATTCAAGTCTTGTAATACAGATGTACATTGCTTGATCCTTTGGGCATGTTGGGGTTATTCTTTTTCTCACATTAAACAGGAAACCTATAAATACAACATTAAAAATGTCCTCCATTTTGCTCTAACAGTGTTTCTCTCTTCAAAATGCTATTCAAAATTCTGATTCATGACTTATAGCTCAATAATATTACATTATTGACTCTTGACCAAAGAAATATTGGACCCTTGTTTTTACCTGTGATAGTTGGTGGTATATACACGGTCATTCGTTCCAAGGCTGCGGTAACCATGGAAGAGCTCGGGGACCAGTGCATCATGATGGGTCCGTACACCGAGGCGACGGTCAAGATGGAAGTAGAGCTGATGGAACCGGAGAACGAGTTGATAAAAGGCGCTATGGACAGCATGAGATCAAAGGGAATAAAGGTAGATGATGGTTTGAAGTCGGCTGAAAACTTTGGCGATTGTATACTATACTGTACTATAGTATACAATCGGCAAAGTTTTCATAGTTATAGTTACGGGCCCTATAGTTACGGGCCCGTATAGTTACGGGCCCTTCTTTAGTGTTTGGTCAATTTAGAGTCGGAAGTGTTTTTATCATTACAAAATGACTTCTGAAACCTAAAGCAAACTTCTCTTAAGTTTAACAACTCAACTTTTTTGTAATTTTGAACAGCATTTTGTTTGGGGGGTAGAAAATGCAATTTTCTTATGCTGCTGTGATCGTCATCTTTATTTTTATGTTGCTTTTTGTCGTCTTCATCGTCATTCTACTCCACAATTTCCCATAGAAAAACAATCAAAATGCTATCCTCTGTCCACGACACTCCTGTTGGTTTTAAATTTTGCTATTTAGTAAGTCCAATAACCTTAAAGTGGAATTTTGTTCTCTTAAAGGAACAGGGTCCGAAATTAAACAATCGCCAAAAATGTGTCTACAACCAGTCCAACATTTCCTAAGCATTGCACAAGTAAAGTATGTCAAACGAAATGTCTGGTACCTTGCCTTTAGTTCCATACATGTTGCCATTTGAGCCGCCAGACTATTAGATAGTCCATCGTTTCCAAATAATGGACCTGTACCAGTCTAGTCTGATGTTTCAAATTGAAATCCTCAAAAGGTTGAGGAAAACACTCACAGAGTTGATGTTTTCTCGTTGTTTCAGGTGCATTATGGGAGATGGCTAATTGACGGCTACCCCGGGGTCATTCTCTTTGACATCAGCTCGGGGGCCAGCTACTTAGATACTTGGAAGAGGGACCTGTTTGACATGTCGCGCATCGGGATCCCTTGGCATGATAGGGAAGCTAACGACGCCGTCATCTTCGGAAATCTCTGCTCATGGTTCATTGCTGATGTAAGTGACTAAGCAAAATAAAAATGAGACAACGAAAGTAACCTGCTGAATTATTATCAAAAAGCTGACTTGGATTAAAGATCATACTGGTACTTAACACCCTGTGAAATTATTCCATCTGGCTTGCTGTCATTTAGAAGAAATCAAGAAATATAGGTGATTTCCAATCACTAGACAAGGACTGATTTTTGGAAATAAAGAGAGCTATCCATGAAGTCGTGTTTCATGATAAAAAAAGGTTGTGCATGGTTTTCACTGTTTTCTCGAAAAGTGTAATACCCACTGAGCTGAAACTTCAACAGGTTAGGTTTTGAGCATTATTTGGATTTTGAGTGGTGTTATTATTGGAAACAAATAAAATGCATGAAAAGCAAATGATCCCATATATGCTTTTAATCTAGCTGTATGAAATATAGTTAATATTTTTTTAGTTACAAACCTTTGTACAAAACTGTACATGTTTTTAATGACATAATATCTGTGTTCATCAGAAAGACAAACTTTGTTATATATCAGATGAGGAGCTGAGTGTGCTGTTTCTAGTAAGTCCTCAAGCCTCATTTTGTGGGAGCCAGTCAGTTGGAGCGCCCTCAATCAACAATACACCGATCATATAAAATCACAAGCCATGGCTTGATTAAGCTAGAGTATTTTTACCGTTTCGTCGTTGTTTTGCCCTCAGTTTCGAAAGCAGTTTGAAGAGTCTGATACCCCGTTGATCATTGCCCACTTCCATGAATGGCTGTCTGGCATCGGACTCATCCTGTGCCATCTCCGACACATCGACTGCTCCACGATATTCACCACCCACGCCACACTGCTGGGTCGATACCTGTGTGCCGGCAACACCGATTTCTACAACAACTTGGGCAAAGTAGGTCTATTTCTGGCATCAGACCTATAGGTCTTGGAGTTTAAAGGAGTCTTCTTCTTAGGAACACATTTTGTGCAACTTTCTACTCCTCTTAATTGTATGAAAACTATTTGACATCCCTTTTTGGTAAATTTGATTGAAAAGTGCACTTCTTCAAACATTTAAAATTGTCCGTGCTTTTCCGGACAACTGAGGGCGCTGTTGCTGTGATGTCAGTTCAGGAAGACACTGTTCATAGGGGTTCAAATTGTGAACCCAAAATTTGCTCAACGAAAACATTTGTGAGAAAGGGTTGCTCATTGGCTTACTGCCATGTACTTTATAAGACAACAGCGAATCACCACAGAAAAGAGAATTTTTGACCGTAAAATATCCAAAATTCTAGCAACTTTTTGTGCTGTAATAGCTGCAACATTGAGGTTTCTGCCTGAAATGACATCTCAGTTTCGCTCATGAATATGGAAATTTGTATCAGCATAAAAATAAAAAAGGCACCAAAATACCCAAGGTTATATACCTGGCAAAAAGATTATTTAAATCAGGTTTATGGTTTAAATCAAATGGTACACCAAGATACATTTTAAAGGATAGCGTAACAAAAACAAATTACATTGCATGCGCCCTTTAAAATGGAAGCCCATAGAATAAAGTGTTTTTATAGAACTCTCACATGTCAAATTAATAATAAAATGATAATAATAATGGATACTAATGCATAGCATTTGTACCTAAGATTTACATTATTATTACCCCTGATCATTAAGCCAATGAAACATTCTAAAGACAATCTCAGCTCCCTGGGGAGTATACAGCTCGATGCTGCCATTTCGGCGCAAAGCAGCTAAAATCAATCACAATAACGATCTCTGCCCTCACAGGTACCCATTTACTCCTGGGTGGAGAGAAGCAATGAGTGACAAAGTGCCTTGCCCAAGGGCACATGCACAATAGCCGCAGGCTGGACTCGAACCCACAACCCGCAGAATTATACCCACAAGAATTTGGGTTAAAACTTCAAACCATGAAATCATTGCACTCATTATGATCTAGTTTCCTTTTCAGCATAGCATCAGAGCTATACCAAAACAAGAAGTGGGATCAGGCTAGTCTCTTAGTCTGAATATTTAGCCGTGTCAGAATCATTTGGCTCCGGATTGAAAAAAAAACACAAACCTATGGAAGCCACTGGCTAGCGGCTACAGCCACTTTCCATAGACTCCTGTGATACTGCCAGCCGTAGCCATGTGATTTAGACAGCCTTTTCTTCCAATCTTAATCATCAGTTTAACCTGGACAAGGAGGCAGGCGATCGCGGGATCTACCATCGCTACTGCATGGAGAGAGCAGCAGCCACCTTGGCTAACGTCTTCACGACTGTCTCCAATATCACAGCCGAAGAAAGCCAACATCTACTCCAGAGATTGCCAGGTAATTATCATAACACATACACTCTCATCATTACCCCTTATTGTCATGCCAATAATTGTTTCTGGCAGTCTTCACGACTGTCCCAACATCACAGTTGAGAAAAGCTCACGAGATCGCCGGACAGTCCCCACAATACTACAATTATTATTACCCCGGATAGTCATGCCAATAAATATTTGTAATGATCTTCATTGTTCAGGAATCATCAGAAGTTTTGTTATTATTATTATACCTAATTTTAATGCCAATGAACATTTATTAATCTCCACACGGTTGAACACTAATTCAGATCCTCAAAATCCACCAGATTTTGGAGGATTGAGGAAGGTTTAGCCCGGCCACTTTAACTTTACGTTGGTCTTGGGTTCTTGCACTGTGGAGAATTTTAGAGGATGCGAGTGGGTATGTTCTCTGTGGGAGAACGTGGCCTAGTGGTTCGTCACTCAGGATCAGAGGGTCAGTGGTTCAAATCCAGCTACTGGCCATTTGCTGTGTCCTTTGGCAAGCCACTTCACCCAAGCTTGCCTCAATCCACCTAGGAGTATAAATGGGTACCGGCATTAGCTGGGGAGTAACCTGGGATGGACTAGCATCCCATACTGGGGGAGTAGAAATATTCTCGGTCATATCATGCCACTGAAACCAGAGATAAATGCCGGCCTGATGGGCCATATCGGCTCGCGACAGACTTTACTTATTATGTTCTCAGAAAAATGCCTAGAGAGTTTGGGTTGAGGAGCATGCAAATGTTACTACCTAATAAGGTGTCTACTACTCTACTAGTGCGTGATTGGATTATATTGCTGTAAAGTGGTGTGCTCAAGGACACAACGTCTTATATATACATCGAACCCTTTAGCATGTTGAGTAATAATCTGTTTATTGCTTCTTCTTTCTTCAGATCTGGTCCTACCCAACGGACTGAACGTCGTCAAGTTCCAAGCTGTGCATGAGTTCCAGAATCTCCACGCCAAATCCAAAGAGAAGATCCATGACTTCGTACGCGGACACTTCCATGGGTAAGTGCATATGCCTGTGGACTCCGTGGAGAAACTATGAGGGCGCTGTTTGCATCGGTTGGACATCACATAGCAATCTTGCAAATAGCTAGATTTGACTTACCCCTGCTTTTACGTTGTCTGTGTCTGGCAATAAAATGCTGCGTCCCATAACCGCGTCACGCAACCATCCCCTTGCGCGTTTGAGGCGCCCATGATGAGTGTTCGCGTAACATGGTGGTTACAGGACACAGCGTTTTGTGGTCAGACCATTCAGGCGAATGTCAGGCTAGGCTTTTTTAAAGGTGTCTATGTGCCAATCGCAAATTGCGTGGAGTGCATGGAACTGTTTTTGAACCAAATTTGGTCAAACTTTTATCACCTCTTGTGTGAAAAGAACCCACCAACAGTAAAATGTAATAGTTTTACCACTGAAGAATTTAATGTTGAATTCTTATATAGGGTTGTTTTGTCAATGTTGATTCTGACCCAATATGTACAACAGAATTTGAACTATTTTTCTGTCGGTGTATTGTCTTTTTGTTTCAGACATTATGACTTTGATCTGGACAAGACGTTATACTTCTTCACGGCCGGTAGATATGAGTACCACAACAAAGGCGCAGATGTCTTCCTAGAGTCGCTAGCCAAGCTGAACCATCTACTGCAGGTAGGCAGCAACAAGAGTAACACCACAATCAACAGCAACATTAAAAAAAGCAATAACAAAAACAGCAGCAACAACAACAGCAACATCAACAGCAGCAACAAAAAAAATCCACAACAGCAGCACCAACATACAACAATAACAACGGTAACAACAACAACAAAAGCAGCATCAACAAAACAATAACAGCAGCAACAAAAACAGCAGCAGTAACAGCAATGGCAGCAACATAACAGCAGCAGCAACAGCAACAATAGCGACAACACTGGCAACAACAATAACAACGGCAACAACAATAACAACAACAGCAACAGCAACAACTTTACTAGGGTGCTGTGGTCCAATGGTTACGGTGTTCAACTCGTGTGCTGTGGTACATGGGTTCGAATCCTGACCGTGGGAACATGGGGTTTGCCCCAGTGTTTCTGGCAGTGGCTGCAATATGCACTGCAGCACCTTGTACACCCTTATAAGGTGCTACATAATGGGTCTCATATTTCTCATAAACTTCATTTACCTGTTTTTAATAATAGACATAATTTCCAGTGCCTTGAGTACCTAATTGTTGGTAGATATGTGTGCTTTATATAACCGACATACATATCCTTGTCATTTGATTGGTGGAACTCACATCACGCGACATTCGTTATTGTTCCCATTCATGCCGCGGCTCAAAAGTACTATCCGCCCATGGGGAATGGGAAATACTATTCAACAGTTAGGATCATGACGCGGTATTTGTGTGCAAATGCATGCTGGTGTGCACGTTCAGCATTGCGCGTATTGTTCCAAAGAGCCAGCACTACAGCGTTGGGTTCAAACATTTTTGTGAAGGGGTGGTTTGGAAGAGAGAAATACATTTTCCTCCAGTTTTGTATTGAAATAAAAGTTCAAATATATCAAATAACAAGGATCTATATGTCAGTTATATAAAACAAATATTGAGTGGCTTGAAATTGTGAAATGGGAGGAATATTATCGCTCGGTAAAATCTGGACTTTTCCAGTTCACTCGGCTTCGCCTCGTGAAATGGAAAAGTCCAGATTTTACATTGCGATAATATTCCTCCCATTCCACGCTGAGCCACTCAATATTTGTATAATATAAGACTCTGGTATTATTACTATCATTAACAACAGAACAACAATAACAACAGCTACAGCACCAATAATAGCAACAACAAAATCGACAAAACATCAACAATAACAACTCCAACAACAACACAAACAAAAACACAAACAAAAACAACAACAACAGCAGCAGCAACACAATAAAAAACAACATTGCCTCATGATTTCCATTGCACATGCTGAATTTCCAATTCTTTTTCTTCGTTCCAGGTCAGTGGTAGTGAGGTGACTGTCGTGGCATTTCTCATTTTCCCAGCGAAGACCAACAACTTCAACGTGGAGTCACTACGTGGTCAAGCCATCAGCCAGCACTTCAAAGAAACAGTCTCCAACATCAAGGACAAAATCGGCAAGAAAATATTCGAGTCGATCCTAAGGTAAGATCGGGATCAATTTAATATCTCTGCTAACCACAGAATTTGCACTTGTGATAACCATTTTGTTCTTACAGTGCAAGCATAGAAATGCTGTGTTAACCGTGTAAGCACGAAATCCTGGGTGCAAGGAAAGCATCATTGCTAACCCATGAAATACTCTAAGTACTAGGATAGTTTAGGGCGGTACGTAAAACTGGTTAAAGAAAACTTCTACAGCTGTTTGTTTGATTGTTGTTTACAGAGGTGACATGCCAGATACAGACAAGCTTCTAGAGCGTGCTGATACCGTCCAGTTGAAGCGTTGTATCTACGCTGCGCAACGACCGGGCCTTCCGCCCGTTTGTACGCACAATGTTAACAATGATAGCAGCGATCCCGTGCTGAGCCACATCCGACGGATAGGGCTGTTCAATAACAGTCATGATCGAGTTAAGGTGAGTTTGGCAAGAGCTCAAAATATAAAAGATCTCAAACAAACAAAAATGCCTCAAATTCAACACTTTCTTTGTCTGTTACAAATATGACAGTATTTTAAGAAGAGGTTTCAATTTAAAATTTGTAAATAGCCAATTCCTTTGGTTATAATAATTATTTCTTTCACAGATAATCTTCCACCCGGAGTTCTTGACGGCAACAAACCCTCTCTTTGCCTGTGACTATGAGGAGTTTGTCCGAGGCTGCCATTTGGGCGTCTTCCCCTCGTACTACGAACCTTGGGGGTACACGCCAGGTGAGTCAAAGTCATGTGACTTGTTACCACCAATCACAGGTGTCACCTGACCTAGTTGCATTAGTGTACTTGTTCTACGTAAGCCCCGAGGACAGACACACAAAGGGAGAACAACAGATCCTTTCAGTCCTCGGGAACTGGGTCTTTTGTTCAAAACGGTCCTCTGTAGTAGGTTTGTGTGCTTAGTCTATGGGAGAGTGTTATATTACAGGGACAAAGGGAAACACAAAGCATTGTCCTCGGGAGTATAGTAAAACAAGAGTGTGTGTGTATGTGTATTGGGGTGGGGGTTGATAACAAAATTGCCGCCAGACTACCCCAACATAGAAATGTAGCCAAACATTTTTTTCTGGTTTCCAACTGTCAAAGATTACAAAATTCATCATCTGACTCACGAGGGCACTGTTCAATACAGACAAGATTGGACAACATTGCGCACTAGGATGTGCTTTTCATGGCGACATGTGTGATGCGATCAAGCTAAATGAGTCGTTTGTCGGGAACTTTCATTTGGAGATTCAGGCCAAAATAGGGCCACTTCATCACATCACTTCATCACATCTCTTGGTGTTCCGACTTCCATAATTTTTGAACTAAGGATGGTATCAGCATGCAGTTGTCACTGCAGTAATGCTGAGATTGTGCTCTTTTCAAATCTGTAAAAAAAAAAAAAAGGGTCGACAAACAACTCATTTAGCTTGATCGCATCACATATTTTGCTGATAGCGACACGATTTAGTGATTAAAAGATGGAGACAGTTACATGTATTTGTACGTCGTGAATCAGACAAACTTTTCTAACTCTTCTCCAGCCGAGTGTACAGTCATGGGCATTCCCAGCGTGTCCACCAACCTGTCCGGTTTTGGCTGTTTTATGGAGCAACACGTCGCCGATCCTACATCCTACGGAATCTACATCGTCGACAGAAAGTTCAAAGCTCCAGACGAGTCGGTACACCAACTTGCTAGGGTAGGCCTCAGATTTTGCTATATCTGGTTGTTGATGAAACAAACAAAAAATGTGTCACGATGCTCATCAGGCTGGCGTTTATCTCCAGTTTCCTTGGCGTGAATCGACTGAGAATATTTCTATTCCCCCTGGATGGGATGCCAGTCCATCACAGGTTACTCCCCAGCTAATGCCGGTACCCATTTATACTTCTGGGTGGAGAGAGGCAAGTGGAGATGAAGTGGCTTACCCAAAGACACAACGTATGGCCAGCAGCTGGATTCAAACTCGTGACCCTCTCATCATGAGTCAAAACCCTAACCACTAGACCACATCCCCCACTTTAAATGATGAGGTTTCTTCTCAATATTTGAATAAAGAATACCATGCAGAATCAAGCAATGGTTCGATTAACCCTACTTGATACAATCCAATCCCGCATATTGAATGTACATATACTGCATAACCTCAAACATTAGTTTAACTCATTTACTTGTCACTGTACCGCCCCAAACCGCCCTGCCTATTCATTACTTGAAACTCCCTTTAGCCAAAAACTCTGGATTCTTCTCACCAGTTTCACTACTGTGACTCATACCAGCTGTAGGGTCCCTAGGGTCAGTGACCATTAGCTGCGGTAATTGCCCTATCAATCACAGCATAATGCATCGGCCATCTGACATGAAAAGCATGAACCATGGAGGTAGAATTAGAGAAAAGTCTGATTGTTTCTTATTTCCCTTCTCAAGATGTGTTCGGTTGATTTTTGTGATTTAAAGTTGCTTGCATAATAACTTTTGACACTATTTCCATTACTTTACAGTATAAACAACAACCTAGTAGATTTGTGTAGATATTTTTGGTCAGTAAACTCACAGGCAGTGGTGCCATAAACAACCTGTCTACGCCTCGTAACCCTAACTCCCAAGGGGGTGTGCAAAATCCTATTAAAATGGGATCACTCGGGACTGTTTAACCATTTGGTCAGATGGAAGGTCGTGTTGAAAACTACTCCGTCCCAAACCAGTGAGTACAGACCCGCGAGTTTGTCATAGGCAAACTCGGGTCTGGTTCTAATGGGTATTTCACGTAATGTACTCCCTGTAGCGTCTGAAACCGTCTGAGCACTCTATTGTTTTATGGAATCATCAGTGAATTAACACAATGTATGACAATGTATCCAGAATGACTACAAGAGAGTGTGGTTAACTCACAGGAAGGTCAAAGGGTAAAATCTTGATTATATTTTCTTTTGTACGCGTAGTTCATGTACGACTTCAGCCAGCTGACCCGCAGGCAGCGCATTCTACAGAGGAACCGGACTGAGCGACTCAGCGAACTGCTAGACTGGAAAAGCCTAGGCGTGGTAAGACATTAATCCTATTGGCTGTGGGCACGCACTCAGAGGGCGCTATGCAAAAAAATAAAGTTTTGCCTAACCACATACGGACTGGTTCCCTGACCATGAAATCCTAGATTGAAACAATGGGGGTTTCAAAGAGTTAGGATGAATCGACATGTTGTTTTGTGTGGAAAATATACCCACTGCATCAAGCTGTCTACTTTGTGAAAATTGACGGGAAATTTTTCTCTGTGGTCTTCTAGTATTACAGGAAAGCACGCTACTTGGCTCTGCATAAGACTCACCCGGAAATATTTGAAGTCCGCGATGAGAACGGAGGAAGGATGGTGAGTTGTTGACTTGGGAAGGACTTGTAATGACTTGTGATGGACTTTTTGACTTCGGACTTGACATGCGATTGACTCGTGAATTAACTTGTGACTTCGACATGTGATCGACTCTAATTGACTTGAATTAGGACTGACTTGTGACTGACTTGTGACTTCGACATGTGATCCGGACTCTAATTGACTTGAATTAAGACTGACTTGTGACCGTATTGTGACTGATGTGCGACTGACTTGCGACCGACTTGTGACTGACTTGCGACCAACTTGTGACTGACTTGTGACTGACATGTGACCGACTTGTGACTGACATGTGACTGACTTGTGACTGACTTGTGACTGACTTGCAACCGACTTGTGACTGACTTGTGACTGACTTGTGACTGACTTGTGACTGACTTTTGACAGACTTGTGACAGACTTGTGACTGACTTGTGACTGACTTGTGACAGACTTGTGACTGACGTGTGAATGATGTGTGACTGTCTTGTGACTGACTTGTAACTGACTTGTGACTGACCTGTGACTGACTTGGGACTGACTTGCAACCGACTTGTGACTGACTTGTGACTCATGACTTGTGACTGACTTGTGACTGACGTGTGACTGACTTGTGACTGACTTGTGACTGACTTGTGACTGACTTGCAACCGACTTGTGACTGACTTGTGACTGACTTGTGACTGACTTGCAACCAAGGCTTGTGACTGACTTGCAACCGACTTGTGACTGACTTGTGACTGATTGCAACCGACTTGTGACTGACTTGTGACTGACTTGCAACCAAGGCTTGTGACCAACTTGTGACTGACTTGGGACTGACTTGTGACTGACTTGTGACTGACTTGTGACTGACTTGTGACTGACTTGTGACTGACTTAGGACTGATCGACGTGTGACTGACATGTGACTGACTTGTGACTGACTTGTGACTGACCTGTGACTGACTTGGGACTGACTTGCAACCGACTTGTGACTGACTTGTGACTCATGACTTGTGACTGACTTGTGATTGACTTGTGACTGACTTGTGATTGACTTGTGACTGACTTGTGACTGACTTGTGACTGACTTGTGACTGACGTGTGACTGACTTGTGACTGACTTGTGACTGACTTGTGATTGACTTGTGACTGACTTGTGACTGACTTGTGACTGACTTGTGACTGACTTGCAACCGACTTGTGACTGACTTGTGACTGTCTTGCAACCAAGGCTTGTGACGGACTTGCAACCGACTTGTGACTGACTTGCAACCAACTTGTGACTGACTTGCAACCAAGGCTTGTGACCAACTTGTGACCGAGGTGTGACTGACTTGTGACTGATTGCAACCGACTTGTGACTGACGTGTGACTGACTTGCAACCAAGGCTTGTGACTGACTTGTGACTGACTTAATTGCAACCAAGGCTTGTGACTGACTTGTGACCAACTCGTGATGGACTTGAGTACAGCTCTTATTGCTATGCTCATAATGATGTAAGTTTTTCTGTGACTATTCTTGTTACTAATTTCATCACAATTTTGTTTTTTCCCTCAGACCATCCGATATCCTCGGCCCGCCTCTGCCCCGCCCTCTCCATCCAGTTCCCGGGCATCGACTCCGTTGCCATCCACCGACGACGAAGATGAAGAAGATGAAGAAGATGAAGACAAAGACGAAGAAAAAACAAAAGAAAACTGAGTGAACATATTTTTCACTATCAACAGATAAGCAGGCTTGTGTAAACCAAAAAAACGTTGCTATATTGGAGATTAAAGTTGCGTTCCCTGTGCTATTTTCGAGCTTTATTCCGAAAAATAGATTCCTCTTGTAAATTGCTATTTTTCTAGCAATACAAAAGTTGTTCACTTTTGAATGAGACGCCAACTGAAAAATTGGCCCAAGTGTTGTCATATACTTTACAATTTTAATTATTGGTTGCCGGACACTGATTCCGTTTCCACAGGGTAGGCTGGTTCCTGCCCCTCAATCTCTATTGATAATGTATGGACCAGGAGCCAGTCTGTTCGCAAATTTGATCTGTTTGTGCCCAAAACAAAAAAGTCTTTTCAGAGGTTCGCCTGTGTCCAAACAAGAGGGAAAAAAGGTTTTTAGGTTGGAAGAAAACATACAAGTTGAAAATTTATCGAGAGAAAGAAATCAAATTTGTTGAAGAGCACGAGGAACGCAACTTGAAAATCCAAAACCATTGATGTTAAAAAGTACTTTAAAATCTGTGAAGATTAAATCCATGTCGGTAATAGATACTGGGCATATAATATCTTCCTGCAAAATCCGCCAAAACCTCTTCGCAAATTTCAAAGGATGTTATTTTTATTTAAACTGGGTAGCCCATTCAGTGGAATCCACTGGTTTCCTGTGGGACCCAGTAAAGAGAAGACAATGTGAAGAAATGACAGTTTTAGATGTGGGAGGAAAAGCCCGGTAGAATATTCTGAGGAAAACCTACGGAATCAAGTAGGGACTGAAAACCCAATCCACATATTGGCCCGGGCGGGATTCGAACCTGGGTCACAGCGGTGGAAGGCAAGGAAAGTACCGCTACACCAACTTGACTCCCTGGGAAGTTTTGGGTTGAATTATACCTGATTCCGTGGGTTGAATTATAGGGATGGATTTCTTTTCAAAGTTTTCAGTCCGCAATTGTCTTAATTAACAGAGGCTGATTATGAGAGTTATATTTGGAAATTTGTGGAAAAATATATCTTCTGCAAAAATGTTTTTGTTTTTGAAAAAAGGTCGGTGAAATGTTGCTGTTTCAGACAGTATGCTTTGTCCGTGCTAAGGAAACTGTGTTGATATTGCTAAATCCTTGTCAGCATTTATCAAATTTGGAACCTGAAAAGACTCAAATCCAAACCATTAATGAATGAAAATGTTTCCAAAATCCATCAATAGACGTTATACGTTAAGGCGGAGTTAGAGGGCAATGGTTTTTGTCTTGCGTGGATTAGCACGAGTAGACCTTCTCTGCATTTATTGATACTAACAGGAAATAACATAGAACACGCTCTGCGATACCTGCAACGCATAAGATCTACTGATTTGTTTTGAGTATAAGTTTCAAACCTTATTTTTTACCAATGTGCCATAAGCAATAACCTATCGCGGTAGAATCGTGTCAATGCAGCTTGTGAAATAATGTCCATTTGCATGATATACAAATGGACGCTGAACATACACAATCTGAGAGAAACAAAACTTAGACAATTGCATCAACCTAGACAAAAAAAACCAACCATGAAAATACCTCAACTGTACATAGAAAGACAACTTGCGTGAAATTTTGTGTTAATAGAAAAACTACTCAACTTGCATCCAGAGACAGCATTTACTTTGATTTGCAGCTGATTTTTAGAATTGGAAAGTAGATTTTTTTTTTTGAAGAAAATGCTGAGAAAAGTTTAGTAATGAGGACAGAATCAGTTGAAGTGTGGAGCTTTGATAAATTATCCCATTAACCCTAACCTTCACAATCCATCAAAATCCATCCCCCCATTTAGCATGTTTAGGGGGATTTTGGTAGGTAAGTGGTGGATTTGTGGTGGATTTTGGCAGATTTGGTCCTGAAGCATTGTGAAGCAGAGTCAGTGATGGATTTTGTAGGACTTGGTACTATTCTTAGTAAAACTCAGCAGGGAGTTGGGATGCCCTAACACTGCCAGACGCTACACAGTGCATCAGGTAGAAAAGTCTGGTGCACTTTGATGCATTCAGCTACCAACACCAGTGCATGAACAGCCACTTATGAGACAATGAGAGCTACATGTACATGTACATGTACATGTACTAGTACATGTACATGTACTAGTCCCATTGAACAATGCCACAGTTGTATCCTGCTGCATTCAGTGACCACAGACTCTGAGGCAGTTTGGCCTTGAGACTCTTGGCCTGATGGATCTTGCTACACTGAGCAGGCTTGTCACTTAGACAAGTGTTGCACGCTGCTGCGTTTGGCAGGGTTACTAGCCAAACTACCCTGGAGGGTTAGGGTTAATAAAAATCCAGTATAACCATACTTTATGAAGATTTTGAAATTGTGTGCATGTGTAGGTAGCACACAAGATTTTAGCCGAGTTTTACCTGTATGTATAATTATCTTAAACAAGGTCATTAGATCTTTGACGTGCGAGTTGTGTATCTTCCAAAGAGAAATTTCCCTCAGAAAGACAAGAGAAATGTGTTGGCAACATTGTTTTAAAGTGATCTTGAACAAGTATTTTTTTGAGGATAATGATCCGGAGAACGTATGAAGTCACGAAAATGTATAGAGAAGAGAATTGTTGTTCTTAATATTCCAACTAATACCTTAAAACTTGAAAGAATTATACCGTGGGTTAGAATTATTACTTATACTGAAATGCCAAGAAGTAATAATAACAATATTGGCCTCTTGTATAGGGCTCATGCCCGTCACGAAGTGACGCTCCTGGCACCCAAGGTTACCCTGGCTTTGGTTGTTGCACCACCCCCCCCCCCAAAAAAAACCCCCAAGCAATCAAACATGTAAAACTGCAATTTGTGATGAAAATTGTGTAAAGAGCTAATTAATATAAGTGGAGTTTTTGGCCTCCCCCTAAAATAATAATGTAAAGCAGTTTTCACTCTCTAGTGTCAAAAAAAATTGCTGTAGCTAACAAGTGCCCCCAAAACTCCATAAAAACGACCAAAGATCTAAATGAGATAGCTATAAACGCCACAGAAATTGATGAACAAAATCAAAATCTGTCCATCCGAAATTTTTGCATCTGAGGTCGGAAGATAAAAGATTGTTGACAACAACTGGGTCTCACAACTTGCATCTTTTTACTCAATCTATTAGATTTTAACTAATATTCTGTAAATAGATTTTATTTCTTTTAAATTCAGTAGAATGGGTGATTTATTAACATTGGACCATTTTATGCAAATCGAGTGATGCTATATTTATTATTGATTTTAACGTGTGGGTCAGTCTGTTAATTTAGGGTCCAAAGTGTGGCATTGTTTCCTTTCCCTGTCACCTCTGAAATTTGTAATTTGCGATTCAAGTATCATTAAGATATATTATTACGGAATGTCGACATGGCCTAGCGGTTAAAAGCACCGCACTAGTGTTTCAGAGGCAACAGAATGTGGGTTTGGGCAAGGGTCTGGACACTTGTGCCCTTAAGCAAGGCACTTAACCAATATTGTTCATCCTTCAGATGGGACGTAAAGCCGTAGGTCCCATGTAATGCAATTTTATTAAAAAAAACCAGTAACACTTATCTCTATTAAGAGAAGGGGTTTCCCCCGGTGTTTCTGGCCTCCTGTTAAAACTCCCCTGCGGAGTAGTTAGGACTGAGAAGAACCAACCAAGTACCAAGAATGACTATTCTCATTTGTTGAGTAGGTAGTTTGCTTTTTTATAATCACTCTTTGTGGGAAAGGCGTTAAGGAGTGCATTCAGAAAATACAATATTGCACATGTCAGATGTAACAGGGACAGGAAAAAAGTGGACCCCAATTTTATTGAATGACTTGTTTTGTTTGCTGTCTTAGTAGAGGGATTTTCCAAACCTCGGTTTTGCTCCAGCTTTGGCTTCAGGTAATTTAAGGCCCTGACTTCAGTGTTTCAAAAGTGTTCAACATTTATCATGTTTATTTCATGTCGGTAAAAAATATACATTTACAACAATAAATAGACATTTTATAGAATGTATTAAATTACAGTTATTTACACAAGTAATTAATCGGCTAATTACCAACATGTAGGGATAATAATGAAGCAATACCTTTTAAGCTTAAATATGTATTAACGTGAAAGAAACACAAAAACATTTCCTACATGGAACAAGACACTAGATTTTTTTCCAACGCTGGTCGGCCAACCAGCGTAGGAAATTGATACAAAATGCTTTAGACTGTCATTCACTACCAGTCCAGTAAGGTATTTCATAATAATTTTGTAGTTTTGTTTTTTTGATGTTTGCAAAATGTAAATTCCCTTTAAGCGAGACCCGACAAGGTTACATTATATGATTGTTTAAAAACAAAACCACTAGAACCATCAATATTGGAGAAGCTTTCGATGTTCTGCACATATGTGCTTAAAGGGAAGATACAACACTTGCAAACATCAAGAAACGAAATGATCAAATTATCACGAAATATCTTACTGGATTGTTAGGGAATGACAGTCTAAAGCATCCTGTAAAGTTGTGGCTCCTGGTGACAGGTGCTGACGTTTTCAAGAAAAATGTTTTTTTTTCCAACAATGGTCGGCCGACCAGCGTTGGAGAAAACTGGCCATTTTCAAAAAGTGTTCCTACTTTTTTATATTTAGTTCGTCTGCATTTTCTTTGCAATTGATTACACACATTGGAAGACTAAAACCCTGCTAGACTGATTCTCTGATCTTACAATTCCCCAAAGTCTATAAATTTTTCCGTTTTATCTTAAGTGGGGTCAGGGAACCAGACTACAATAATATGATTGGTTTTCTTGGTTTTTCCAGCATCTACGAACCCAAAACGTGAAACAAGTCAGTGTAACAATATTTTCTATAACATACTAATCCTCCAAATCCATTTATTTCTGAAAATTGCAGCAAAAGCAAATGTTGTACATTCCCTTTAAGAGACATTGTTTCATTTTCCTTGAAAAAGAATGTTGTCTGATTGACTGCTTCAAATCCATCCTTAAATTATTCCGTAGAAATTATCCTTAGCTGCCCCACGAGTGTCATGTGAATGTACTGATGAAGACAACGTAAACATGTTATTGGATTTTACTGAAAGTAATTCATGTTAAAATTTAAGCATAAATTTACGCAAGTTGAAGTTATACAGGTCATTGAATTTCAGTATTTGGGGGATTCTGGCTCAATGTTGGTGCATGTTCAGTTTAAGGAACGTCGACTAAGCCTTAGCTGGAGACAAACCGGAGTTTGAAAACATCCCATCATTTGTAAAAATGACAGTGACCATGTATAATTACTAGATGGCGCCCTAACATTTTCCTTCATTACAGATTCTCTTCTTGTTTTCGGATTGAAGAATGTCACCACGTTTATCTCACATGCATGGACCGTTTCACGAATACTGCCAAGCTTTGTGGTCACGTGGTAATCTCAGGGAAATTTACGTCCCGTCATACCATACTATCTCAATACCGAGCATGACTAGACATAATTTTCAATGAATGCCCCCTGAAAATACCACGTGACCACAAAGATGGCGGTATCTGTGAGCCGCTTATTTTTGTGACATTTATGTTTGGAACCAGTTCGCTTAAAATGAGTCTTTAGTGACGTCTTCAGGGCACGCGTTTATCTTTAAAAAAATTAAAATTTTAAAATTGTACCCAAAGTGGAGTGTTATTGGATCTACATTAGGCATTAAACCGAATAAAGTGAACAAAAATATATCCAAGCTCTTGTTCATGTTGTGGTGTTCTGCTTTGTCAGCTACAATTCATCTTTTTCTTCGCTCGACACTTTTCCAAATTGTTTACAATATTAGTCAGTTTGGTTGTCCAATAGGTCTCTCTCAAATGACATCATTTCCTACCGACCAGCAATGTGCATCGGCATTTTGAGCGTCAACTTCCATAACGCGCAAGGGCTGCTTCGTATTTCGAACACATTTTGAGCAACAAGCGCGTGTTTGGAACATTTTCAACACTGCGCAATGCGTACTTGATTGCGTAAAAAAAATCAGCAGTTGCAGTTCAACTACAGAGATGACAGTCTTTGAGAGAGCCCTATTGAACAAGTGAACAGTACGATTTGATGATCGACCTGAGCCGAATCATTATCAGCATCCAGACTCCAAACCGGTCTTAAACATAGTGTTTAATGCCGGCCAAGCACATATTTATTCCCATTCATAAATGTGATTTTGTCCAACAAGTTTACTTCATGGTTTTTGAAACACCCCTCTTGCTATGTTATGGTATGTTCCTCTCATGAGTAGTCGTAAACAACTCCTTATATGGAGATTGGCATGCACGCTGCACGTACTGCACGATGTGGTGCAGAATGCTGCTGTGCCGGTGTAGTTTGAATTTAGGACTATGAAATACGGACTCGCTAGTAGTATTGGGCATGCCTCACCCAGGATCAAACAAGTGATTGTGTAAAGGAGTTCAGAATTCCCAGCCCACATAAAGCAGGATTGACTGCCTTGGACTGTTTAAGTAACTTGATACAGCTGTGCTTTGATATGACTCCGGGTGGGTGATAAAACAGCTGTGACCACAACATGCCTGCTTTGTCTGTTGACCAAGTTGACTAGTCACAGTGCTTGCTTGACAAACGATATGACTGCTGGTGACTAGCCTTTGTTAAAAGCACAGCAGGGAAAGTGGAAGTGAGTTTTGACTTTTTGCGACTGTTTGTAGCAGGAGGGTTAATCGACAGCGAAGCTTCAGTCAGCTTTTTCATTGACTTCTTCAGAAGCCGTACCTTTTTTTTCAGTCTGAAAGTTCGTCGGCGCTCCTTCTTAAGCAGCTTGCTTAGCTTTCTTTCCCTTTTAGTAGGTGTGTGGACGTCAGTTTGGACGTGTCTGTGGATGTGTGTGTGGACGTCAGAGCGACCATCAGTGTGGCCTTCAGTGTGGCCGTCAGCGTGGCCTTCAGTGTGGCCGTCAGCGTGGCCTTCAGTGTGGCCGTCAGCGTGGCCTTCAGTGTGGCCGTCAGCGTGGCCTTCAGTGTGGCCGTCAGCGTGGTTGTCAGTGTGGCTGTTAGTGTGGCCATCAGGGTGGACATCAGTGAGTATGTCAGCAGGGCCATCAGTGTGGCCGTCAGCGTGGCCATCAGTGTGGCCATCAGTATGTACATCAGCTTGGCCATCAGTGTGGCCGTTAGTGTGGCCGTCAGAGTGGCCATCAGTGTGGCCGTCAGCGTGGACATCAGTGTGGACATCAGTGTGGTCAGCAGTGCCAGATGATTCCACTGAAGAGTCGACTAATTGTGTTTGTTTAGGAGCTTTGGAGTATGAATGCTCAGCCCGCACAGAGTAAGGTACTGCAACAAAACCAGACATTAGAATCACTCTCATGTCATGCAAAAAATAAGATGAGGCAAGCAAAACAATCCCATTTCCCAAATCTATGCCAAAGAAGACAATACATGAACATATATTCAGGGTGAGTAAAACAAGACATCCCTTTGTATAATTTTTTGTCTCACACAAAATTGGGAACGGTTATCAATTTTTCTCTTCAGCCAACAGTTGGTCTGGGTATTGACCACATTCAGTAACAGAGTTACTGATATGCAACAACAGGCCTTTCTTTGTGACTACCACAAAACACTACCAACACAATGTTCAGAATAGGCCTTTTTAATAGGCCATCTTTTTCGTGCGTAAAGTTTGCTTGAAGATAACTTTGTTGTCCCACTCGCGCTCGTGGAACACGGAAAATGTAGCACTTGCATATCTGCGTCCCACCATAGAGCTAGGACCCAGCTCTATGGTCCCACGTACCAAATTGAAAAATATTTTAAAATACCTTTGACTACCTGAGGTTTGACTTCTGATACCTCATATTTCTCCTTGAGAGGCCTGTGTTGAGGCGCCGGATGTTTGGGGGGATTTGGAACATTATCGAAGAGGGTTGGGACAGCATTCCAGTTGAGACGATTTTTGGCAGATTTGTTGGTAAACTGGTGAATTTCAAAGTGTAGAGAGCACAAGAGGCAGTTCAAGTGCACGTAGGACATTGGTCTCTTCAGCAGATCTTCCCGACAGGCGTTCTCGACCCATTTCAGACATCTGCAGAAAGTGAAAAATGGGAGATGCACAAATTCATTTTGGGAGGTTTTTCCTAAGAACTTATTTTTTCAATCAAAGGGGCCTTGGCCTACTAAATTAGTAATTAACCCTCCTACTATTTAAGAGGTCACCAATGGTCAAAATGTTTGTATCTCACCTCCTGGCATACCGTGTACAAACCAATGGGGGTCTTGACCAATATTGACCCAAGTAATAACAAGGCTGACAATGCATGTTTCCATAGGAGGTTAATACAGTGCTGTTCACAATCTAGAAAATATAATAATATCTCACATGTCTGAGTATCATCAGGCGTGGATCCAGAATGGGGGGGGGTGCCCTACTTAAGAAATTTCTCAACTTTCCATAGCCCCATAAATGTGTCAAATTTATGGATTACGGAGGTCTTCCGTAAATAAAGGGGAAAGAATTCCATACTGGGCCACCACTCAGACCTCCTGCACTAAGTCTATGGGCCATGACAGATATTGGTACTTCTCAGGTCATAAGGGAATATTATTAATGAGTGGTGGCCCAGTATGGAACTCTTTCCATCATTGCCCATAGGCTAATCAGAAAGCGCTGACTTTTTCAGATGTCTATTTTTCTGTTGCAGTATCCCTCTGGTGATCCTCCTCACCTCCCTTGTTCTTATAGTCACATTTTGTCTTGTTTGTTACAGGTTGTTTGTTCCAGGTTGTTCTAACTGTTGCTATCTGTTCTCAGCAATGTTTTATCTACTGTTTTCATCCACAGGTTTTTACTTCCCATTTGTTTTCTCTCCTTTTTTTGAACTACCTTTCTCTCCCTCTCCCCATCATTGACTTTGTCCTTTGTGTTCCCCACCTCTTGTGGTCAACCATCCCCTTCCCCCAATCCCCCTCCCTTTTGTTACCCTCCTTTCTGTTCAGCCGCCTGCTTTCTCTGTGTGTTTTCCTCTGCATCATCTATTTCCACTTGACTGCTTTTGTTACATCAGTAATGTATACATGTACCTGTTTATGTTTATAGTCTTGTCATTTAGCCTTCGAGAAAGACTCTGCTAGGGTCGAAACGTCAGGCCACTTTTAAACTATTTTTTTGCATGTCTATTTTTCGTGAAATTTCCAGATTCCTTTTTGCACGCATTTGCGTATCAACATTTCATAAAGATTTCCATATACGAAGTTCACTAATTTTCCTCTGTATTGACTAACAAGCCCCCAGATAGCAATTTCATGTCATCAAAGTCAATTTGAGCAGTGAGAAAATACAAGCATTTTCTTAGAAAACACTTAGAATTTTTCAGTCCAATCTCATACTGTTTACTTTGTACACAGGGTGTTGAGTGAACTTCGTATATATGGAAATCTTTCCCAACATTTCAACATGAAATTTCACGAAAAATAGACATCTGAAAAAGGCAGCACTTTCTGATTTAGGCCTATAGCCTATAGGTGAGTATGCATTTCCTAAAATAGACCCGTGAACGTGGCTTGTAAACTACGCCACATTCACGGGTCTACTTTCTAAAGCAAAAATAAACTATATAGCCTAGGCCTAGGGCCTGAACAAAGCCTAAATGTGAAAATCAAAATTTGACAAAGTTCGACATGTTTTTGTACATGTTCCAAGTGTGGCCTTTAATCATGTTTATTTACGGAGGTAGGCCTAGTCCAGCAAATTGGCAACACACAGACTTTGTACACAACCGCTGAAGTGGTGGTGTCAATGTCAGGCTGCAACATTTTCCCCAGAAATGATTTCCTATTTTCTTGACAATAAATTTATTACTATAATAGTAATACTATATAGGATTTTTAGGCATTTCAACTTTAGTTCCAGAATTTCGATTGTCTCCACGAAGTCACGGTGACGTCTAGAAACTCTAGATAGATTCATGTGCTACAGTCTTTCCTTGGTCAGTGTTGGTTTTTGTGCCCAAAAGTTACCGTTTTACCGTTTACCGCTTTTGAATTCCGAATTTTGCCGCTCAATCGTCATGCTCAAATAAAAAGTAAATAAATCAGTTTCTTAATTACCTTTCCTCGTTCGATGGAAATCTAAAGAAAGACAAATCTGGTCTTTTTGTCTGCCGATTGGTGCATTTTATTGCCGAACAGCTGGTTTTTAAAAGCCCCCTATTCGAAGAAGGCCTAGGCCACCGCGCCATTGTACATTTTTTGCTTCCTAAAATGGCGGCGGGGTGACCGTAAGGTCATGGCCAAATTCTGCTAAATGCACTTAAAAAATCTGTCAGATTTATCAAAAATCTGCCAAATTCCACCGAATTACTCGAATAAACACTTAAACAAATGCAGATGTTGTAATATTGCCTTAATTAAGGTTCAAATTACATTATGAACAATCTATAGTCTTATAAAGAAGTTATGATATTGCATAAAAATTTCAGGCAAAACGGCAGGATTGTTTCCTACCTCCATGGTTTCACCATTCCCAGGAACCTCTGCACTGCACCTCCAGTCCAGTCAACCTGCCCTACTTTGCAACTGCAAGGGTTTGATTGAAACGATTGAAGCTTTTTAAAAAAAAAATTTCCAAATTGGCTGTTTTTCTTGTCAAATATCCATTTTTGCAGAATTACGCCAGAAATTTGCCAAAAAAATCCATTCTGTCACCTGACTCATTTTTTTTTAAAAGCTGTCAAAATTAGCCGAAAATCGGCTAAAACGGTCACATGAATGGCGGTCGAAGATCAGGGTGACCGTAGGGTAATGTCAAAATTCTGCTAGATGCGCTTCGATCAAAATTGGCTTAGATTTAAAGGAAAGATACAACATTTGCAAACATCAAAAAACGAAATGATCAAATTATCAAGAAATATGTTACTGGATTGTTAGGGAATGACTGTCCAAAGCATCCTGTAAAATCGTGGCTCCTGGTGTTTAAAACTAATCAGCTGTAATGTTTTTCAAATGTTCCGTATTTTTCGGTTAGATCACCAATTTCACAGAATTCTGCTCTGGAATCTGCTAAAAAAATAATTCTGCTGATCTGTCAAACCCTTTCCTAAGGCCAAAAAAAAAAGTCTCCGGTTTCTGGTATGCGCGCGCGTCGCCGTAGCCATGCGCGTCGGCAAAATGAAACAGTTTTTTTTTTCAATGAAAGATGATGTCTCAAAATCGCCAAACTCACTGGTTTGACTGAAATCCTGCTGCTGCACAATTTTAACGTGTTTTTAGATAGGGTTATGATCGAGAATATGCTTTATGTGGCCTCTCTGGTCTCCCATAATATTTGCACTAAGTTTAGTCGGGCACCATTTGCAGTCATCAGCCGACATTTGAAGCAAAAAAAACAGGTAAAAAAAAAAAAAAGCCGCGTCGCCGCACCACTTTTTTGGGCAAGCTCCATTGGCCTTATATAGACAAACTCGTTTTTCTTTCCCATTTTTTCGCTGTACAAAATAAGAAAAATTCTGTCAATTAAGCCAAAATTCCGTTAAAACGGTCACCATGACGAAGATACAACGTACACACGCATGTGTTTCACTTTTTTTTTTTACACCTTCCAAATTTTATACAACAATTTTTGTACAGTTGGTAGGTTACAAATGAGTCAATTACTTTACATTAGAAATCCACTAACTTAGAACTCACTCTTCTGTTTCAATTGTTACTAAAATTATTCTTGGTTTGGGAATTTCTCCAGGCGCAGATAATAAAATGCGACCCCCCCCCCCCGACACCCCAAATTCCTTTGCTATTAATATTGTCCGCCTTGCACAAAATACGTACAGAGCCAGCTTGGTGAGGGGTTAAATGTACATTATTTTGTGATATAGTGTTAATAATGGTTGGATTTGAACAGCGCCCCCATTGAAAGTATGGTATGAGCGCCCCCCCCCCCTTTGATTTTACGGTGGACAAGTGACCGAACAGCGCCCCCATTGAAAGTATGGTATGACTATGAGCTCCCCCATTTCATTTTTTTGCCGATAAAAACCCCACCATGCAAACATTCCGGGATCCGCCCCTATTCTCATGCTTGGCGCACCCAGGATTTGGCTGTAATAATAATTTTGTAAATTAGTACACAAACTAGGTCACAAAATTTCACAAAATTTAATTTTGAAAAAAGGGTTGATATGAGCATGGAGGAATTCTTATTCCTCCATGGTCGGATATCGGGCTAAAACATTGGTGTGCATTAATTGCTCATCAGGACCTACAAGCACAGCATTTTTTATCAAAATCGGAAGCCATGAGGTAAAAAACTGCGTTGGTCTGACCATAGTCTAACATGGATCGAATGACCCTACTGACGAAATAGTCAACTCCACCCACCTAGCGGGTGCCGCGTGAAGCGCGGCATCCCACGGCGCGGTCGTCTCTGAAAAGTAGAGCGCCCTCTGTGGATGTTTCAGCATCAGACGCGGAGAATAAAAACGTGAGTATCTTGACAGTTTTTTCTCCCAAATTTCTCAATTTTCCAATAGAGGAATGTTACTTACACTAGAAGTTAGGCGGGGAACAAATACTCCTGATGTTATAGGTGTATTTATTGCAGTAAACAAGAAGAACCGCACGTCAAAATATGAGAAATAGACTGGGATTTCGTTTTCGAAACATTGTCGAAAATTTCATGTTCGTAAATTAGGCTATAGCTCAACCTCGTCCCCAGTGCTTACTTTATTTCCAACCTCATTTCAATCAAAATAGTAAGCCTCCAACCTCGTCCCCAGGACGTCGAGCAGTTCTGTACGCGCCCACCACTACCTGCTCTCTCACCCTGGAATTGGATCATTTGCATGTGCAAGATTTTTGAAGTAATCGTAATGCAAATGAGGAAAAAGTTCCGTACTCGATCGCCACTTTTTTCAATTAATTTTGTAGCGCCAAAAGTTACATCTTTTATGGTTATTCCTCCACTTTCCCTCCTCTACTCTCACCCTCTCCTAGCTCCTTCCCTTAATTTCTATTAAATCAGTCACTTACTTCACCGAGATTCGAACCACGGACGCTTGCTTGATACACGAGACTCTTAACCGCTAGGCCGCGCACGATCGCTGTTGCAATGATCAATCTTTGGACGTATTTGGAGTATCCATTGAAATAAACTAAATATTCATGAGAAAATAAATATTCATAATGACGTATTGCACTATCAATTGGCCGGCTCATGCGACGTCATGGTTGTCGATGTCATGCGTATAACGTACCGCTGTCTTTCAGCCACTACAATCAGTTTTGACCGGCTGCTTCAAGTTAGTTCTGCACGACGTGTGCATCCAAAATGTGAGGTGAAAATTGATATGTTTGGCGGAGGTTAAAGTGGCGATCGAGTATGGACATTTTCCCGTAAATGATACTTCCACTGTTCCAAAACTGTTATACCATGCAACATATGGGACCAAAAAAATTGGACTGGTACGTGTGTAGCTACATACACTCTACATAAAAACCAGAATAAAGCGCTCTCATCAGACAAAAAAAAAACTATGCTGCACAAAATACCCATGTCTACGTACTAGTACCCGTTGTCTATAATTCCAGAAAAAAAGACTACATGTACCGGTACATCTACATAATTATGTCGTGCGCCATTCAAAAAGTCTACAGGCATCTATCCTGTACAGAAAAAGTCTACAGGCATCTATCCTGTACAGAAAAAGTCTACAGACATCTACCCTGTACAGAAAAAGTCTACACGCATCTACACTGTACAGAAAAAGTCTACACACATCTACACTGTACAGTAAGAAGTCTACAGGCATCTACACTGTACAGAAATAGTCTACAGACATCTACACTGTACAGAAAAAGTCTACACGCACTACACTGTACAGAAAAAGTCTACATGCATCTACACTGTACAAAAAAAAAGTCTACAGGCATCTACACTAATGATGTGCATCGGGTCGGGTTGACCAGGCCAAACCGACCCGAATCATTAGAAATATAAACCGAATCCGAACCGAAACCGATCTTAACTCCCTCAAACTGACTCGACAAAAAGGAAGGTAAAACCGACCCGACCCGAAAAAACCCGAAAAAAAACCCAAATACCTTGCTTGGACAAAGTGATCACTTTTTTGGTGCCTGCCCTTACCCACGTGGCATGAATTCTTTTGCAAAACCATCGTCTCTCTCTGTGTGTCATACTCAGTGGGTTGATCGAGAGTAACTCCGCTTATTGAACAAACGCATGGTATCATCACGCGGTATCATGAAAACTGTTACAATGTATCTATTTCACTGTCAGTCCCATCCGGCTGGAGAAATTAATACCGTGGGAACTTGATAGTGCGCTCGGTGGCCACACCACACTAGGGCTGCGGTCACAGTGACTGTCAATAATGTTGCATCACCTAAATTTCTCAACTGTTTCGGTTTATTTCGTTTTTTTCAAAAGATGGCTAAACCGCCCAGAGGTTGGTTTCGGTTTCGGGTCGAGTTTGCACATCATTAATCTACACTGATCAAAAAAGGTCTACACATATCTACCCTGTAGAAACAAAATCTAGATGCATCCGACCTGCGCACCAAAAAAGTCTACACGTATTTACCCTGTACAAAAAAGGTCTACATACCCTGTAGAAACAACACACATGGGTAGATGCGTGTAGACCAATTGTGTGCAGTGTAGATGCGTGTAGACCTTTTTTTCTACAGTGTAGATGCGTGTAGACATTTTTTTCTACAGTGTAGATGCGTGTAGACATTTTTTTCTACAGTGTAGATGCGTGTAGACTATTTTTGTGCAGGGTAGATGCGTGTAGACTTTTTTTTCTACAGTGTAGATGCGTGTAGACTTTTTTGTGTGCAGGGTAGATGCGTGTAGACTTTTTTGTGTGCAGGGTAGATGCGTGTAGACTTTTTTTGTGAAGGGGTAGATGCGTGTAGACTTTTTTCTGTACAGTGTAGATGTGTGAAGACCCTTCTTTTGTACAGTGTAGATGCGTGTAGACTTTTTTTGTACAGTGTAGATGCGTGTAGACTTTTTTGGTTCAGGTCATATGCATCTGTACTTTGTTTCTACAGGGTCGATGCGTATAGACCTTTTTTTGTACAGAGTAGATGCGTGTAGACTTTTTCTGTACAGGGTAGATGCGTGTAGGCTTTTTCTGTACAGGGTAGATGCGTGTAGGCTTTTTCTGTACAGGGTAGATACGTATAGACCTTTTTTTGTGCAGGGTAGATGCATGTAGACTTTTTCTGTACAGGGTAGATGCGTGTAGGCTTTTTCTGTACAGGGTAGATGCCTGTAGACTTTTTTAACTGTTTGGCGCACGACATAATTTGAAATAAAAATGTACTTTTCTTTGAGCAGATAGTTCAGCAACATGTCTCACTACTCACGAGCTGATCTGGACTGCAAGGTTTACGTCGGTAACCTTGGCGACTCGGCCGGCCGACGTGAACTGGAGAATGCCTTCATGAAATTTGGTCCCCTCAAGAATGTCTGGGTTGCCAGGAACCCGTCGGGCTTTGCTTTCGTCGAATTTGAAGACCCGAGGGATGCCGAAGATTCAGTGAAGGCTTTGGATGGACAGTAAGTTAACGCTCATCCTCCTAGAATGCTTGAAAATACATCAGATGTTAAACCAAGTAAAGAGTATACCATTTTCTCATCACTGCCCGCCTCCTTTTAAAAAAAAAATTGTATTCATACATTTGGAATATATTTTGCAACTTTTGTAATATACATAGTTTCTTTATTTGTTTCCAACAAAATTGTAGCTATGTTGAGGGGATGATGACTCCTTCGGACACAATTTATTTATCAGCAAGAAAGTAGAGAAAATGGAAGAATCCATCCGCCATCTTGGAAAATTTTGAGAGGGAAAAGAAAGGAGTAGCCTTATTCCCAGACAAGAAACTAGTCACTGTTTTTACTTACGTCGGACTTGATGTCCCTTGAAAGTTAAGAAATCAAAGAATGTGTCAATGGTTCCTGACTTGCTGGAGAATTTTGGAGGAAGGGTCTAAGAAACGATGCCTGGGGGTTAAAGGATCACCTGACCCTCAAGGCCTTTTAGCACAGAGGATGCCTCCCCTTCCCTCTTGCCTCAGAATCAGGCAAGACTTTCATTTCGACCTCAATTTTCCTCAAAAATTCCTCGTTAAGCATAGACTAGCAATAAACCAGTTCGGCATTTCAATGACCCGAGGTCATTCGGGATAACATCGCTGATGTGATGTTACCGGATGTAACAGGCAAGTCCATTCTGCTGGTAATTTACGCGCAAGTGTCGTGTGCCCGCGTTCATGCGCCTTTGAAACGTTTGATTATCCCAAATGACAGTGACCAATATCATTATGCACATGCGCAGTTGAAATACCGAACTGGCTTATTGTTGGGCCAGAATAATCCTCTGAACTGATGACGTCACACTTTGTTTACACGTGTGCTTTCTTACGGGAACCTGATGGAGACGACCGTTTCGTATCCCCATACTCATGTGCATGAGTAAACAAAGTGTGACGTCATCAGTACAGAGGCTTCTTCTACAGTTAGCAGAGCCATGATATACGCCCCTTGCTCGCAGACATAAGGTGCACTGTTTCTTCTCTTTTAGCACTCTGTGCGGCCACCGCGCCATTGTAGAGATGTCCAACGGGGAGAAACGTGACAGGAGGCGGGGCCGCGGCCCGCGTCAGGCCAGCTACGATGATAAGTGCTACTCTTGCGGAGAGCGGGGGCACTTCGCACGGGAATGCAGGCAGAAATATGGCGGTCGGTATAGTGGCGGCGGCTCTTCCAGCCGACGCCGACCGGCCCGAAGATCAAGGTAAGACCCAAGTCCTCTTGGCTAAGGATTCCCTCTAAATGAGCCATATTTCTCTGTGGTTCATTACCCATTTTAACCTTAACCATAACAGTCTAACAGGTTTTTTTAACAATACATATCCTAAATACTGAAAACACAATATGTATTTATCTATAAACAGTTATTGGACCACCCGGAGTTCGATACATTTGCCTTTTTTTATGTTTTCGAATTCTTGACGATACTTCTGTGTTCTTTTCTATTTCTCATGAACAGTGTCTTCAAAATGGCCACTGGACACAGTGCTTTGTTAAACGATAAAATATTTAGTTGTGTTGACACTTAAGATGATTGTTTTCATTGTTTTTTCCCCATTTCTCCATTCATCCAGGTAATTTTTTTAAACCTGTGTTTCTCAGAAAAAAATTGACAAAATTTGGGAAGAATATTTCTTCTCTCCTGAGACGTTCAGGTCAGCCTGTAGGATGTCACAAAAGTACCCCAAAAACACCAAAAAAAGAAGCTAGCCTTCATTACTAGCAGATCCCAGGGTATTTAAACTGAAAACTTTCCATAAACAAATCCAACAATTTGGCTGTAAATCACTTGACTTTTCCTTTTACTTGAAACAAACTTGGTTCATGCAATAAATGAAGAGTTGGGTCTACGTTCCCTGATCAATCACAAATCCTGCAAAACGAAGTGTTGGAGTTTGACAGATGCGGAGTTGTAAGAGCTACTTCATGACCTCTGTTGAACCTTAAAACCTCAAAATTACAACTGCCTGAAAATTGGTATTCTTAAATTTACATTTCAAAAAAAAAAAAAAAATACATGTAAGCAGGAAGAATCAGAGAATTTGTTTAAGGTTTTAAATATTTTTTTATTGGTTTCATTTTTAAAAAATTATTATTGAAAGTGGCAGACCCAGCACCATTGTCATTCCTTAGGGCTTTTTCTTCGGTTGAGGGTTGGGGTAAACGGAATTTGTCAACTTCATAAGTTTTACAAGAACTTATTGACAATCCATAATGCTTCATTTTTCTGATTTTAAACTCGGAAGAGCAAGGGGTGAAAACCCTGAAAGATATAAATCAGACAAAATAAACCGGGAATTGAAGATAAATTGCACGCTATTTTGAATGGCTGAGAAAATTGTGCTATTTAATTTAACAAGCATAACGAGGTCTTCAAATAAGAAAGATCTGTGCTTTAAAAAAAAATGAATAAAACGGATGTTAAGCTAGGACAAGGAATTTTAATGTAAAATTGGGTTTTTTATCTTCCAATTGTTGGGAGGAAAAAAAATCAGAATTATTTTCATCATTTTGTGTTTACACTCGCCCCCTTTTTGCAGGATTCCCCAATCACCATTAACATGGCACATGATCGGCATGTGATCGCCACGTTGTGCCCCATGTGATCAGCATGTGGTCCCTCAGTCATGTGATCTGCCTGTGCACCAATCAGAAATCGGCCCGTCCCACAAGTTGTCTGTCGGTCGGCCAAACCAGCACTGCAGGCCACAAAATGCCAACCAGGGCAGGCGCGTCTCAGCTCGTTTCACAAAATTAGCCCAGCACACAAAGTTGCGACCCTACGGCACGTCCAAAATTCGACCCGCCCAAGCCACGATACTGGGGGCGGTATTCGTCAAGGGTTTCAAATGGTGGAAAATCAACCAAGATTCATGTCAGCTTTTATCAAACGGCATCAACTGCCCCACTAGCACTCCATGGCTGCACCAGCAATTCAAAACCCCCCAAAATGAGCATCGCTTCAGTCGACGTTCGCCAATAGTTTCACATACACCAAATTGAGCACTCGTCTCTGCTCATCTGTATGAGGTTGTTGTACAAACTTTATTACTTGTATGTAGTTTGTTTTTTTCTTAAAGGAAGGTATTGCATTGGTAGTCTTTGTTGCGAAACTTGGATTTGAGATACTTGTGTATTTGCAAGTAGTAGCTGGCACAGTATCCCAGCTGATGTGCATTTGAGAACAATAATGTTTCCATTTTTCTTTCATGAGATTATTTACCCTTTATCATCACTTTTTTTCCAGTGCCTCACTGAAGAATAATTTAACCCCTAATTCCTCGGTCTACAAACCTCACTTCGGAATCCTCCAAAACTGCCAATAATTCAAAAAAAAAATTTGCTTCTTAATAAAAAATCCTTCAAAGTCCTCCAGTTCACAATGTTGGTTTTTGCGAAATTCCTTCAGACAGGATTCCATTAAATTAAACACATGCATCAATGTGAACTAAATCTATGAAAATCTTACAAAAATGAGACATTTTCAAGGATTTGGGGTGGTGAGGGTTCACCACCAGTGTTCAAAGAAGTTCCTGTGTGTTACCCATAATTAATTGGTTACACTTGTTTTTACTACAGTGTTGAATCTCAAGATTGGTATTACGATGGGTGGTGGTTGAGTAATGTCAGAGTTTTGTGAGTTTTCACCAGGATTTCTGTCTCATTTTATGATTTGCCCCAGGTCCCGCTCTCGTGATCGTAGCTACTCCCCTCGGAGGAACTCGGATCGCAGCAGGTCTCGCAGCCGCAGCCGTGGCCGAAGCCACAGCCGCAGCCGAAGGTATGCGTATAGCCATCAGTACAAATGTAGCCATAGTCTTATCGTTACTGACATTCCATGCAGTGTACGGTGCCAGAGTTAATAAAATAGTGATCAAATAATGATCATGTGACCTAATATTGCTGCCCTCTTCAGTGGCAACCAGAAGTACAATGTTCCGTGCTACCCTTACATTGATGTTTGACTTCAGCCGATTAAGTTTGGTACAGATGTCAACTTATGTACCATAAGATGAAAAAACCTCAACAAATAACCTTGTAGAATTTCTCTATGGGCTCAGTGTACAAGTACATGTACATGTACCCCCTTTACAGTAATAGGAAGATATAAGAGACTACCGGGAGAGACATTCTTGTCATTGACAACTGATGCTCAGGCAAAGACACCATGGCTTTCTGCACATTCAGGATTAAAAAGTTGGGTTTCCTTAGAGCTATTCATGTTGTCTCGTCCTTGGGCTGTCCCAAGTGGTTTTCTTTGTTCTTGCTTCAAGCCTGTTCATTACTGGTCATGAAACCACAGAATCATCAAAAGTGTCCAAGCTCACATGCCTCAAGAAAACTATGAAGAGGATATGATGAGAAATGTTCAATTTCTGGAGTGGGGAAAAATTTCATATGAATACTCTGGGTAAAATCAACAGTATTATAGAAAGAAAACCTTATTCACTTGTCCGGTGGGATTCAAACACGGTACACAGAGTTGAAAGTCTAGAGAACGTAGCGATCGACCAATCCGATACCCTGCATTCATTCATTCGTTGCTTGTGATTCTCTTACAGCCGATCTTACTCCAAAGGACGCCGCCACAGCCGAAGCTCATCTAGGGATTAGAACCACGGACCAGCCAAGTGGTGGACAGGAGGACACACCCATGTACATTAACAATGCTTGAATTTTTATCCTGGTGTAAACCTCCCATGATAAAGAAAGAAAATCTTCAACTAGAGAGGCATTTAAGTCCTGCTCATTCTTTGTTATCTAATCGAGATTGTGAGATCCTTATTTCAGCGGTATATTTAGATGCACAAGTCACTTTTGTATTGACACTATTGGCTTGCTTATTATCTTATGAAATAATAATAATTGAGTACATGTAATGAGATTCATAAAGTCTCGATAAATGTATAAACTGCCTCGTAGCGGAAAGGTTTTCTCACCAAGATAGTTCAGGCATGCAACTTATCCTCGGATCAGCTGATTTCCTCTTTTTTTACTTCCCATGTGTGCCATTGAAAATAGAAAAACACTGTACAAAGTCTGGGAAAAATTTGAATTTCCTCTTTTTATTTGTGATTTCCCAGTTGCATGCCTGATAGTTCTGTTTAAGCACATGACTTTATTTTTAATTCTTATTTGTGTTTCAGTAATAAGCATAATTATACTTTACATAATACATGGAAATGTTCTAAGTAACCATTCCTTTCGACCCTTTACTTAAATTCATGAGAAGCTCCTCTTTTTACATATTATTGTGGGACTTAAACCTCCATTGTTCATTTTCATGCTCCAAACTTTCTGAAATTAGAGGATTTGGTCTCTTATACTGAAGCAGAAAGTGAAGATGTCTTTGAATATCTAGGATTGCGACATGGAGTCAATTTGACTTCTGTCAAACTTTACAAAACCACTCTGTTCATTGAACGTACAACTGCAGAACAAAAACCTGTCAATAGATAATTCTGTTTTCACAAACTGCAATGTCTCTTCGTAAAAACCACGTAATCAATAATTTCATGCTTTGAGATCAGTGTTTTGGTATGTGCTGCATTAGTTAATTAGTTTTGCGCAAGCCTTTATTGTTTCCAAATTGTAGTTTTAGAATATTGTGGTTCATACAATGTATAATATTAATATAGTGTTTTTTTTAGCCTAACCCTACCGGTATCTTGGTGTCAAAGAACGAAAGTAGCTAGGGGACTTAAATATGTCCATTCACCCACCAGAACACTTTTTATTCAAGCTGCGTATTTTAGACTTTTTAAAATAAATAAATCAGTCACATTTGATCAAGTTTAGAGAAGGAGAAATACTTTTGTAGGTCAACACAACTTAAGTTGTCTGTAATTGTAAATATGTTTCTTGTCAAGACCTGGCCAAATCGATATAAAGTGCTGTTACATGTACTCAACTTGCTCTTACAGAGGTAGGCACGGACATTCTTCCCACACCCCGGCCCAATTTTATTCGGATATTTTCATTATTTTGGGCACGTTTTTGGAGGGGTGGGGCAAGAGTTATGAAGCTATTTTTGTGATGGGCCGGTTTCATTTTGTCCAAGTGTAAGTGTGAAATATTAAAATCGTCTCATTTAATCAGGAATGAATGGTGTCATTTATTTATTTTGCTGTGGTTAATAATAATCTCTTTAAAAACACCCAACCATTTACCATGTTTATGGGGCATTTCTTTTTGGGAGGGGGCTGGGAGTGCCTAGAACTATTTATGGAATGTAGCAAGCAAAATCTTGTGTGTTGTGCCGAATTCGTCAACAAAATGATGAAAATTGGGCCACCTTGCCAAAGGGTCTACGTATAGTGCGTGACTTGAATTGAACATGCACAGAATACATGTATATGGGATCGTTCTCATTTCACGCGCTCGATCAATCATGCACGCGAGGTTGAAATTTGAATATCGATTATCGATAAATTTACTAATATAGTAGGACGCCCTCTACCGATGTTTTAGCATTTAGACGCGGAACCATTAAAACGTGAGTAGCTTACATTTTTTTTCTTTCCAAAACCTCAAAATTTTCCAACTGAGGAATATATCTTGCCAGAATTTTGTTGGACAAGTAATACTCCTAATGTTATAGATGTGTTTATTGCAATAAAAAACGAAGAAACGTCCGTCAAAATTCGAGAAATATACTTCAAAATTGGGGATTGGTTTTTCGAAACGTCGAACTGAATGGATGATGATACATGATGCACGCAAATCAATGGGGATTTCCGATCGCACGCGCAATCATGGCAATGCGCGTCACATGCACACTGCTCGTTAGTCGTAGCCTTGTTGCCTAGTGAGTCTGGTTCTGTGCTTACATAGTCGTGATGTTGTATTCAGGGGGCGGGAATCAGACCTAATGAAATTTCGGTACAACTATAGAATGCAGGGCCACTTTACTCTACATCCGCGCCTCCGTACAGCTGCGTGGAGGCGTGGAACCGCAGTCGACCTACCTCTGAAAATCGATCGTGGAGTCGTGGAGCCGCAGAAAATTGCGCCCTCTATCGGTGCGCGTCTCTGCGACTCCGCGACTCCGCGCCTCCACCACTGAGAGACAGTGCCCCGTCGCCCTCCCCCCCCCCTTCCTAATTTGCGCGCCCAATTAAAGCGACTCTGCGACTCCCCGACTCCGCGCCTCCGCGACTCCAGACAGTGCCCCGTCGCCCTCCCCCCCCCTTCCTAATTGGCCCGCCCAATTAAAGTGACTCTGCGACTCCCCGACTCCGCGCCTCCGCGACTCCAGACAGTGCCCCGTCGCCCTCCCCCCCCCCTTCCTAATTGGCCCGCCCATTTAAAGTGACTCTGCGACTCCCCGACTCCGCACCTCCGCGACTCCAGACAGTGCCCTGTCGCCCTCCCCCCCCCTTCCTAATTGGCCCGCCCATTTAAATTGGATATGGATGCTTCGTTCTCAAAAAGATTCCGCCGAGAATTGCGCCCTCTATCGGTACGCGTCTCTGCGACTCCGCGACTCCGCGCCTCCGCCACTCCAGTGCCCCGCGTCTCCGCGATTCTGCGACTCCAAGACTCCGCGCCTCCGCCGCTCCAGACAGTGCCCCCAACACATTTACAAGCACGCCCTCCCTTCCGATCCTTCATGAGAAGCTTTGAAGACAAGTGCAGTGCATTCCTTCGCTGTACTTAGCACTTTTTTGCAGGTTTGCATATCTATTACTCCTATTCCATCCACGCCTCCAGGCAAAATAAAAAACCTTGCTTCGGCGTGGCCCTGCATTCTATAGTTGCTCCGAAATTTCGGACTTCCCTTTAAAAAAAATCCTCTGGAGCCTTGCCTTGAACTACACTGTCATGACTGTGGCAATGTTGTGTGCTTTCTTACAGTTACAATTTGCGCAATCTTAAGAATGAGCGGGCATTCTTAAAAACGAGCGCGCACTTGACTTGCAGAATAAGCTACACTGCGCGCTGTATGCTATACAAGTTGTCAGTTTTGGTGGACTGTTTACTGATGATTCAAATTCAATTCAAATTCAAATTCAAAATATCCTCGAGTCACTAGCTGGAGTTACCCAGCCCTGAGTTTTATCATTGGGTTGTCTATAAGGGCTGGAGCGAATTTTTCTCGTAACTTGTAGTATTTGCACAAATTTTTGGAAAATGTTCAATTTTGTCCCCGTTACACACTAATTGCAACTGCAACTCACCCCAAACTTGCCTGGAATAACCATTACACAGGTCCTTGAAGTAAAAAACGATCCACGATGAAGATTCAGCCTACAATTGCAGTGAAAACAGGAGGAATAACCGCTAACTTGACAACCTTGCTGGATTGGCCAGGACCGCTATTGGTTTGTGCACACAAAAAATTGTGTACAATGAATGGCGGTCGATTAACAGGCACAGAGAGCGATCGCTGTCAACTACTCGTTTTGCCGGCTGCGCTGGCTGTTGGCGCGTGACGTCACGCGGAAGCGTAACACCCGATGACTGTTTCATGCACTATTGGTTGCGGTTCCGGTACCAAAGCTGTGATGCGAGTGGTAAACCTTATACTAGTGCATGAAACAGTCATCGGGTGTTACGCTTCCGCGTGACGTCACGCGCCAACAGCCAGCGCAGCCGGCAAAACGAGTAGTTGACAGCGATCGCTCTCTGTGCCTGTTAATCGACCGCCATTCATTGTACACAATTTTTTGTGTGCACAAACCAATAGCGGTCCTGGCCAATCCAGCAAGGTTGTCAAGTTAGCGGTTATTCCTCCTGTTTTCACTGCAATTGTAGGCTGAATCTTCATCGTGGATCGTTTTTTACTTCAAGGACCTGTGTAATGGTTATTCCAGGCAAGTTTGGGGTGAGTTGCAGTTGCAATTAGTGTGTAACGGGGACAAAATTGAACATTTTCCAAATTTTTTTTGCAAATACTACAAGTTTTGAGAAAAAATGCGCTCCAGCCCTAATAGACAACCCAATGAAAAAACTCAGGGCTGGGTAACTCCAGCTATCGAGTCACCATAATTGACGCAGATAATGCTTGCAACGTGCGCGCGTTGTCCAACGCAAATCGATTACGAGTGCGTCAAAACATGACCTCGTCGTTTTAGGTGGACTGACGATACTTTATTTATTCTTAAAAAGGCAATTACATATGGTTGGACAGCTCATTTAGGCCAAAAAAAATAATACTTCTGCTTCCGGTTACCGGACTGACCCTATTTTTAGGCTGCGACCCTAAACATTTTATCAGCAATTCCAAAAAAAAAATAAAAATAATGATTGAATAAATAAAAATAAAAGCTTGTTGTATTTTCTGTCTTCACAAGATACCTCTCTACAACCCATTTGCGTCAAAAAATGCTTGTATTTATTTGTTTTCGTACTTACATTCGCTATTTTGGAAAAATTATGCCAACCGGACACCTTTTTTTTCAATTAATTTTCTAGCGCCAAAAGTTACCTCTTTTTATGGTTATTCCCTCCACTTTCCCTCCTCTACTCTCACCCTCTCCTTTCCTTAATTTCTATTTATTAATCAGTCACTTACTTCATCGAGATTCGAACCTCGGACGCTTGCTTGATACACGAGTCTCTTAACCGCTAGGCCGCGCACGATCGCTGTTGCAATGATCAATCTTTGGACGTATTTGAAGTATCCATTGAAATAAACTAAATATTCATGAGAAAATAAATATTGATAATGACGTATTGCACTATCATTGGCCGGCTCATGCGACGTCATGGTTATCGATGTCATGCGTATAACGTACCGCTGTTCCAGACACTTCAATCAGTTTTGACCGGCTGCTTCAACTCAGATCTGCACTACATGTGCATGCGAAATGTGCTCCAAAAACACATTTTTACCAATTTTTTTTCGCATGTCCACTCTTTCCTGGATTCCTCTTGGTTGAAATCACAAGGTGAGGTGAAAATTTGGATGTTTGGCGGCAGGTAAGTGGTGATCAGTTGGCAGAATTTTTCCGCTATTTTTTTCAAAAGAAACCAAATTCGCTTTGCGATCTGTTATCATACCTCGCAATTCGATGTCACCATGACTATAATCACGTGCATAAACCTTGCTCAATGCAGTGACGACTGGTTCCTGCCGCGCCGCGCAGGGGCCAATTGAGAAGACATGATGAAAGTGCGGTAACCAGTCTGTCATGGCTATGCGATCGCTAGCGCTAGCATGGCTATATATGCATTAGGCATGTGCACTGTCAGTGTCAACTGGTCGGATTCGACATCGTACAAATGCCAAGAAAAACGCTGATGGAGAAAGAACATTTTTGCAAGTTAATTCACAGAATGCAGAATTGATCTATCTTGTCTGTGTATGTATTTTCCGTGTTCAAGACTTAATTTTGAGATCGCACTACTCGTATTTGGAGTGATACATGCAGCGTGTTTCCGGAAATTTTCGACCGTAAAACGAGGTCTGTCGGCCGCGGGCCACACATGCACAGTGCATCACACACCTCAGAGTTTTGGCCAGCTTCCCGTCTTGACTAGCGTTGTGCATATGATGCGAACGGCCTGAATTTTCCATTATTTTTTACGAATTGTCGAGCGTAAATATATTGACAATAATTAAGGTAGGTTTATTCACTTTTTATGGCCATTTTGTGTATAGCTTTCGTAGTGCAATGGAAATAGTTCAGGCTAAAACTTCGCATATAATTGAATACCCCATTCAATCTGCATAAAAAAATTGGCCCCCCAAAGAAATTCCGACCAACCGACCCTATTTTTGAAAGGCATGTTATCGGAAGCAGAAGTCTTTTTTTTTTCGGCCTTAGTAAATTACGAGTCAAGTAAATATAAAACTTATGTCCATGTTCATTGTGAATCATCTGAATGATTCTTGCACAATTCCCAAATACAAAGGACGACGTAAAACACAGTAAACACAGTAAAAATAGAAGAAAATATATAAAATTTATAGAGCTGACCAAAACCACTGGTTGCCACTAGTGCAGCGCCCTCGATGCTTTTCATCCCTTGTTTTTGTCTAATTTAAAAACAGTCCACCAAAAGTGACTTAGTATAGAGGCCATTCAATGTGAAATTGGACCAATATGCCATACGTCTCAGTCCTTTGGATCATCACTGTGCCAGTTATCTCTACAGCGCGCTGTGGCGGGAACCAGTCTACATACCAGACGCATGTGCTTTCACCACCGCGAAATTGATACAAACAGGGCCCTCTTACATTTGTTAATCTCCGTAGCAGGGACATGCGGAATTCGTAAAAATTGCCTGATCTGACAACAAATTATGACAGGAAATTATAACTTTGCTTTTTTGATGGAAACATGATTTACTTTGACCCCTATGTCTAATTTCAGAGAGAATGTCTCGCTACCAGAGCAGCAGTCGTGACAGTCGCGACAGTCGGTCGTCTAATCCAGATTGCAAGGTCTACGTTGGTGGACTGGGTAGGTTATCAAGATTTACATTTTCAAAAAGGGGGGCGATGTGAACTCAAGTGCACAAGTACCCCCTCAAGGGTAAGAAAGGGAGAGTTGGGGAGACCACTGCTCGAGAGACATTCAAATGCATTGCCGACGACGTCTGGCACTAACGGGAAGATGCCTTAGGATTGTTCACATTCAGAGTGACTTTAATTGCAGGGAACCAGTCACACATAATACCACAGGAGATTTTAGCTGGTAACCTGGCTTGGCTGAGTTCATATTTCCTAGGTTTGGAATCTTTCTGTGCTTGCCAGCCGCAAAAAAAAAGCCTTGTTTTTTTTTCTCTCAGAAATTTGTTATATTTTCACTCAAAGCAACACCTAGTTTGTGAAATTTTTAAACAGACTAATCCTGACCTTCCCAAATCCTCCAAAACCCTCTTTGCAAAATGGAGGATTGTGCAGGATTGAGGCTATATGGCAAAAATGTGTGGATGATTTCGAATGATGCACTGTGTCGAGGTCTTGGGCCGAACCGTCTGTTATTTCTTGAATGTGGTCCTTGGAGGGGCGGCCACTGTCTCAATCCTGCAAAATCCTCCAGCAAGCACTGTCAATATGTTGAGGCAGAGCCAGTGACATCCTGGAGCAGTGCGGAGGATTTCAAGTACATGTATATCTACGCCTAAATTTATGCCCAGCTGAGCATAAACGACACAAGGTCCGGCCCAAGACCTTGATACATCCTCCAAAACTAGCCACATGTTTTTGCCATATAACCTCAATTCTGCAAAAAAAACCTCCATTTTGCAAAGAGGATTTTGGAGTATCAGGGAAGATCAGGGTTAAAGAACATCAGGGATGTTTTTCATTATCTTATTCAAATTGAAAAAAAGCTATTCAGATATTTTTTTGATGAACAGAAATTTACCGTAGTTCATCCACTTTTTACTCTACATAGGATTCAGTGACAGTGTCTCATTTGCAACTCAAGAGCAAAAAAGGTACCATTGTGTATTTTTGGACAACTCAGGAAAATTGTAATAACCACATTAAAGGTTTCATTTCAGAAATGTACTAAAATTTATATTGATTTTTTTGGTTTTAAATTTCAGGATCTTCATTTGACAAACATGACATCGAAGAATCGTTCAAATCTTTTGGACCATTGAGGCATGTGTGGGTGGCAAGAAATCCGCCAGGTTTCGCCTTCGTTGAGTTTGAAGATCCTTTGGACGCGGATGACGCCGTGAGAGGGCACAGAAAGTAAGAAATATCACATTAGCCCTAACCCTCCAGGGTATTTTGGCTAGAAACCCTGCCAAACGCAGCAACATGCAACACTGGACTTAGTGACAAGCCTGCCCAGTGCAGCAAGATCCATCAGGCCAAAAGTCTCAAGGCCAAACTGCCTCAGAGTCTGTGGTCACTGAATGCAGCAGGATACAACTGTGGCATTGTTCAATGGGACTAGCTCTAATTGTTTTCAGAACTGGCCGTTTATGCACTGGAGTTGGTAGCTGAATGCATCAAAGTGCACCAGACTTTTCCACCTGATGCACTGTGCTGCCTCTGGCAGGGTTAGGGTTCAACCATCAAAAAAATCTATCCACTTCCTCTCCCATAGCTTTTGTACACGCTGGTCACCAACTGCCAGAACCCCCATGGATTCAACTGTTTTAACGGTCAAAGTCTGTAGAAGAGGTTTGATAGATGGGGTGACCTTGAATACTGCTACAACTTGCGTAGCAGCCATTTTAAGGGGCGATGCCTTTGTTTGGCTGGAATGCATGAGTGAACCTTATGTGCATTCATTGTTCTGAGCTAAACCCATCATTGACGGGCATTCACCAGCGCTGACCCACCACATCTATCAATGTCAGTCAAGGCATGGTACCCTCAGTTAACATACCTACCACAGCCTGTCAATTGTACCAATATGAGGCCAGTTTGACAGGCACTCACCAGCGCTGACCCACCACATCTATCAATGTCAGTCAAGGCATGGTACCCTCAGTTAACATACCTACCACAGCCTGTCAATTGTACCAATATGAGGCCAGTTTGACAGGCATTCACCAGCGCTGACCCACCACATCTATCAATGTCAGTCAAGGCATGGTACCCTCAGTTAACATACCTACCCCAGCATGTCAATTGTACCAATATGAGGCCAGTTTGACAGGCACTCACCAGTGCTGACCCACCACGTCTATCAATGTCAGTCAAGGCATGGTACCCTCAGTTAACATACCTACCACAGCCTGTCAATTGTACCAATATGAGGCCAGTTTGACAGGCATTCACCAGCGCTGACCCACCACATCTATCAATGTCAGTCAAGGCATGGTACCCTCAGTTAACATACCTACCCCAGCATGTCAATTGTACCAATATGAGGCCAGTTTGACAGGCTCTCACCAGCGCTGACCCACCACGTCTATCAATGTCAGTCAAGGCATGGTACCCTCAGTTAACAAAACTACCATAGCCTGTGAATTGTACCAATATGAGGCCAATTTACAGAACAGTTAAAACTTGTCACCTGATAGATTTTGACGGATAGGATATTTCCATGTTGTCACTGAGAGGGAGAGGGTTAATATAATGAAGTACAGTTGTTCATTGGTTAAAGGTTAAATATCAGGCTGCCACAGATGGCAGCCTGAACCCGTCTGGCATCGAGGTTAGTAAAAAACAAACCCGCGCCTGGGTCCGGTCACTTTCAAAATAATCCCGGCGTGAACTGGTTAACACAGAATTCTGATTTTTCAAATATATTTCCGAAAGTCCATTTTTTCTGATGATCTTTCCCTACAAATTCCGAGTTTATTTAAAATTAAATTTCAACGAATTCAATGGCTTCTGTATTGCGAGCGGAATTTGTATCTGTTCTGCCAGTCGTCAGTGCACAGATTATGAAAGACGCCCATAAGTAAGCCCGCACTGGAGTAGTTTATTGCTGGAAATAAGAGTATTAATACATTTATAAATGATATTCATAGATGTTCATAAATGTCACCTTCTCTTTCCTTTCCAGGCGAATCTGTGGCCGTGACGTGACCGTGGAAATGTCAAGCGGTGAGCGCAAGAATCGTCGCTTCGGCGGCCCAGGGGGTTCCAGGCCCCCGCCCCGCCGCGCCAGCCGAAACGACAAGTGCTATTTCTGCAGCGATTACGGCCACTTTGCTCGGGAATGCCCCAAGAACGACGGTAGAGGGGGTGGCGGTAGACGCTACAGCGGTGGTGGGGGTGGGGGTGGCGGCTATGGGGGGCGCAGCCGAGACAGTCGTCGATCCAGGTAGGCTATTCAAATTGGACATGGACATCAAATTGACTCGGGATTGACCATTGGGCATGTTTGTAAGCTGGTCATGTGTTATCAATTAGGTATACATTGTCAATTTTAAGTCATGAAAGTTTTTCTTCAAGGTTTCCAAGAAACCCTTAATATGCCAAGACTGAATATTTACGGTGGAATAGATTTTTGTTCATTTTTTTATTTTGCTGTGATGATCACTAAACTTGATTTATGTCCCATTTTTAGTGTAGAATTTGAGTGTTAAAAAAAATCCCAAATCCTTTCTTTTTTAATACACTTGACCTGTTTGTCCTGAAGAAAGTCCAAGCATACAGACTGAATCAGTTCATGTGATTATCAAGCAATTTTCATGAAATGTTTCTCAAACCTGGACGCCCACTCATTCAAAACTTCAAATGTTTGTGAATTTCATCCAAGATTCGTTCAATTTGTAACCTTTTCCTCCTGAAGACAAAAGAACCTGGACGATAAGACGACAACGGATGATAATGACTTAATGTTTTTTTTAAATTTCAGTTCTCTGTAAACTGACTTTTGTTTACGCTCAACTTCTGTTACAGGGTGCTCTTCTATTGTCAGTCGCACTTGTGACCTTAACGAGATCCCCGTCTCACAAAATAAGGCCGGCGTTCCGCCCTCCCCCAGCCCCCAAGCACACATGCACGCCCAACCTGCCTTGCGTCGATTAAAGAAAGAAAGAAAGAAATCGCCGGTTGAGGGGGTTTTATGAGAGAAGAGGTTAGGTGTCACGCCGCTGCACGCCTTGAAGAGTCGTTCTTTGGAATCGGCGGTTTTACAAATTGGCCCTTCACTTCCTTCCTCCGTCAAATACCTCAAAGAATGAGAGCTTCTTTCACGAGAAAGAGAAGAGTTTTGCGTCGTGTTGCGTCTCTTTGTGAGATCGCATCGGCTATCACACAATCATGCTTCTTATAAAGAGAGAAATCGCCAAATTGCGCACATTGCCTCCGACTGGCTAAGTAAGAAGGGGTCTGTTTTTAAACTTTCTTGGTTTCCTTAGTTTATTTATTATTTTGTTTTTGTTTACTCTTCCAAGTTGTTTACAATTTGTAGTGAATGAAGCAAACCAAAAAAACCCAAACATAGAATGAATGATAAAGCCATTCTAATTTCACCAGTTGACCAAAACAATTCACTGGATAAGCAAATAGGAACTTTCATGAGGTAAAAACTCCCTGTGGTCTTCTTCAAAACTTAAAACAAAACTGAAGACTAAAGCTGCAGAGAAACGTCCGTAGTTGCAAATTCTGATTTTCAGATATTTTTTAACATTGGAATCTTGAGCAGATGTGATGCAAGCTTAAAACCGACAAACGCAATCAACTTTTTGTAATAATTACATCAGTTATCAGTGTACTAGTTTCTCCTTTTACTATTGGAAAAATGAAGGCAAAGGCACTCCGAATAGTTGCATTTCAAGTGCTGTATGTACTTTTCCGTTTGTTTGAAGATGATAATTTGGCTTCTGAATTTGCTAAATTCTCAGTCAGTTTTTGAGAATGAGATTGTAGCTGTAGCTAGAAAACCTTTTCAAAAGTGCAGAGTGTCACATCAATAGAATTGTAACAAGTGACTCACATTACTTCATCCCTGTCACTTTTTGAAGGTCTCGCTCTAGGAGCCGTAGTCGTAGCCGCAGCTACTCGCCACGTCGTCGGGATAGCCGCAGCAAGTCCCGCAGTCGCAGCAGAAGGTACGGCAATGCATACTGGGAGTTTTCTGTTAATTCATAGGCCGTGTTTGAAACTGGCTTCCAGAGCTCTGACTATTTCTGTTGTCAGCTTATTCCCATGTGGTTGTAATGGGCAAAGATCTAAGACAATAATTCTAGAAAAAAAATTGTCTTGTGCGTTGTTATTATTATTGTCATTATTTACTTCTGGTACTGGTAATGAAACCAAGGATTCCTTCAAGGCACCCTAGGCACTGTAGCTCGCAAGCCTGAAGAAACCTGTGGAGAGAAGACAATGAGAAGAAGTTACAGTTTAGAGGTGGGAGGAAAATCCCAGAAGAATATTCTGGGGGAAACCCACGGAATCAGACTGGGACAGAAAACCCAATGCACATGTTGGCCCAGGCGGGATTCGAACCCAGGACACAGCAGTGGAAGGCAAGTAAAGTACCGCCACGCCAACCTGACTCCCTAGTAGGTGTGTCTTGTGCCACGTGTCCTGGTTGTGGAGTATTACACACCTTTCTCCAGACAGAATCGGCTGTGCCACACAACCTCTTGACTTCCCAGCAACCTCGTTAAAGTGAAAATATTTCTCATGGAATTTTGGAAATATCTCGGGGAAAAGTCTGGGGACCTTTCTTTTTGTGTCGCTAAGTTTTGGGGGACTGTACTGACCAGGACCACTTGTGGTGTACTCGTACAAAGGGGATGGTACCCCACAAGTGAAATCTTTAGAAAAAGGGATAAAATGACAACAATGCTCCTACTCCACAAGTCCTTCCCATGATGTCGTCTGTATCCCTGTATCCATGTTAAATTAAAGTCTAAGTTTAAAAAAAAATTGTAAATATGCTTCCATGGATTTTGATGACACTTGAATACAATGACCCTTAGGTGGGAAGACACAATTCATCATCGGATTACTGAGGTCAAAGGTCATGTAGAGGTCGTTAGAGGTCATTGTTCAAATATCCTTCAAATGTTTCTTTGTCTAAAGAATTTGATGGATTTTAATGTAACTTGAATGAAGTGATCCTTGGGTAGGGGTTCATCACAAGTCTTCTGAAACTGGAGGTCAAAGCTCATCTAGGGGTTATTGGAGGTCATTGATTAAAAATACACAAAGTTTGACTTTTTTAAAGACAAAACATATAGGGATCAACCGTGAAAAAAGGCAACGTGCGATCCGTGGATCACTCGTCATAAAGAGCTAGGAACCCGGAAAGTACAGCTGCCCCAACCTTGACCCCCCATGATGTCACTTCCACTTTTCCAATGTTTCTGTCCTACCCTTGCAACTTCCATTGAACCGTCAAAAACTCTCATGACTGTTTATCTTGGTAACAAATTCTCTCCTTTGTTTGAACATTTTTTTTTTCTCCAGCCGGTCCCATTCGCATCACCGTCGTAGTTCTTCTCACGAGAAGGAGTAGCGACTTGAAGCTTTGGCTGAGCCCTCTGGCCGAGCCCTCGGCCTCGGAGCAGCCTCCAAAACCAAAAAAACAAGAGCTTGTTTTTATTCTTGGCTCTGTTATTTAGGGTTCACATCATTACAAACTAAAATAAGTGAAGGAGCATTTTAAAGATTTAAGCTTTACATGTATACGGGCAATTCTAGCATTATGAAAAGGAACTCGACTAGTGTAATCTTCTTGACCATTACTGAATGATTGGTGTAACAGATTGGATTTGTTTTTACTGAGCTCTTAAAAGCTTTGCCACAGACATTATCGTCGTGTCCGTGCAAGAAGGTAGTATCTTCATTTGAAACGCGAGTTTCAGAATGTCAAAAGGTCGTATCTCGCTTAAAATAACCCGGATGTACACACAAAGTCAATGGACGTTGAGAAAAGGACCTTTTTGCGCAGCGCGTATTTGTGTAGGATACGACTTTGTTGCAGAATGAAGTTATGACCTTGTTGCACTGACACGAAGATATGTAACACTGGGATTGCCCTTAAACATTATTGTTGGAATGTAATATTTGTAATTGATACGACATTAGTGGAAAGTAGTAATCACTGTTAATTATACATGTCCCATGCTCTGACGCACTGATAGTTCTATAAGCATATGTGATACGATCAAGCTACATGAGTCGTTGTCGACCCTGGTCAAAAAAAAAATTACATGTATTACAGATTTGAAAAGAGCACATCTCAGCATTACCGCTGTGAAAACCGCATGCTGATACCATCTTTAGTTCAAAAATTATGGAAATCTGAGCACCACGAGATGTGTTGAAGTGGCCCTTCTTTGGCCTGTATCTCCAAATAAAAATTCCGGACAAACGACTCATTTAGCTTGATCGCAGCACATTTACTGTTGGCTCTGGTTAATACAAACTCTGTTGATACAAATTCTGTTACAGCAAACATAAAGCCTTGGTCTCGACTGTGCATTCACTGTGTGCACAGTGAATGAGGCGGTGTTCTTCGTACATGTAATGATATGAGATACAACAAAACATTTTGGCGAGGCCTGTCTGAGTGTGTATTAATGAGAGTCGACTATTCTGTGAAATTTGATTCTAAGATTGGCAGGCGTGAGCCAAAAAAGAGAAAGCCCAGTTTCAAGATGCTTAGGAGAAGAACAAAACTAAGCAACTTTAAATTGAACCAATTGTAAGAGACATTGCTGCATGAGATTTTGCTTGTAAATGTTCTTTCTTTTTGCCAATTATTTTCTATGTTTAAACAGCATGTTAAATTAAACCCGCATTGGTATATGTGACCCAAAACGTCTCAACAATAATCCGAATCCATGTTTTTTTATGGGTAATTTTTTTTTATGTGTCAGCACTGAAATACATTATCATGTGTGAAAACTTGGGAAAAAGTGCCCTCTAGAAAATCATTCTGGATATTTTCTGTCCAAATCTCGCACCCAATTATTACATAATGTATCTCTAAATTCTTTATCATGCTTTTCTCATTTTTAGTCCCTTTATGTTATTGTATTGGTGTATTTTAGCCACATATTTTGTGCATTTTTGTGGTCGTTTTCTAGTTGATGTGTTCAAATAAAATAAAAGAGTCTGTGAATTTCAGTGTTTTCACTTGTTTCGCTGTGTTTGGCAGTATTGGATCATTGGCAACAATGTGGCATCTTGAATAAAGAAACTTCTTAAGATAAAGCCAAACCTGAAACGAACCCGAGCTTTGAAAGGAGGCCATCATATTATTAGCCCAGTGGCCGATGCCTGACCCATGAACCCCCCTCCCTTTTGTTTTTGGTCATTGCGTTACCAAAATCTCAGGAATTCTTGAGATACTTTTTTGGGGGGGGATAAGCACTTCCATCACATTCAGGCTGGGCATAATTGGACTCTCAATATCGACTTCTGGAAATTGACAATGTTCATTTTAGTCAAGACCCAGACTTTTGGCAAGATGGCCCCTTTTTGAGGACCCAATTTTCAATTTTGTTGAATTTGGTGGAACACGAGATCTTCCTTGCTTGCATTCCATATACAATTCTAGGCCCCCCCCCCAAAGTAATACCCATAAGGCAAAAAAAAAAAATCTCCGCTTTCTGGTATGGAGTTTGTCCAAAAAGTGGTGCGGCGACGCGGCTTTTTTTTTTTTTTACCTGACTTTTTTGCTTCAAATGTCGGTTGATGACTGCAAATGGTGCCCGACTAAACTTAGTGAAAATACATGGGAGTCCAGAGAGGCCACATAAAGCTTATTCTCGATTATAACCCCATCTAAAAACACGTTAAAATTGTGCAGCAGCAGGATTCCAGTCAAACCGGTGAGTTTGGCGGTTTTGAGACATCATCTTTCATTGAAAAAAACACTTTTTCATTTTGCCGACGCGCATGGCTACGGCGACGCGCGCGCATACCAGAAACCGGAGACTTTTTTTTTTTGGCCTAAATGTCGTTTGAAGAAATTATAATTAACCACAGGAATAAAAATTAATATTGCTAAGGACCCCCCCCAAAAAAATTAATACCCCATTTATGTTTTTTGAAGAAATTATAACCACAGTAATAAATAAATAAATGACACCATTCATTGGATTTTTATAAGATGATTTTAATATTTCACACTTAGACAAAATGAAACTGGACCAAGATTTGCAAAAAAAAATATAGCTTCACAACTCTTGCCCCACCTCTACAAATTCAAAAATGTGGTCCAAAACGCAGATACTTTCTGCCCAAAATATCAATAACAATTGGGGTCCGTGCCTACCTCTGTAATGACAAGTTGAGCGACAAAATTAACCAGGGTTTTGAAGAGAACCATATTTACAATTACAGAGAGAAAAATCTAAACTTAAATTCTGTTGAGCTACAAAACTATTATTCTTTCTGAACTCAAATGTCGCCGATTTATTTATACAAAAAAAAGTCTAAAATACGTAGCTTGAATAAAAAGTGTTCTGGTGGGTGAATGGACAGATTTAACTCCCTCATTCTATTCTTTGATACCAAGATAGTTCAATGTGCGACGACAAAGCCAAAACATAAATGAATATTAATTACATATGAATGAACCACAGTATTCTGAACTACATTTGGAAACATATGAAGGCTTATACATATACATGTACACTGAATGATATGGTACATTTCAAATGCAGCACATACCGCGTCACCAAACCTCAAAGTTCATTAGAGTGTTGGGAATTTGAAAGTGTAAAAATCAGAATTTGGGAAAATCTTCACTTTCTGCTTCAGTACGAGACTAAATCCTCTAATTTCAGAAAGTTTGGCGCATGAAACCATACACTGGAGGTTCAAGTCACACAATAACATGTAAAAAGAGAAGCTATCATGAATTTAAGTAAAGAGTCGAAGGGAATGGTTACTTGGAACGTTTCCATGTATATGTACTGTATAGTTATGCTTATTACTGAAACACGACAAAGAATTAAAAATTAAGTCATGTGCCTGAACAGAACTATCTTGGTATAATTTGTTTTTCAGTTCGAGGCAGTTTATACATTTATTGAGGCTTTATGCATCTCATTACTCAATGTTTAAAAAAATAAGCCAATAGAGTCAATGCAGAAATGACTGGTGCATCAATCTGTACGGCTGAAATAAGGATCTCACAATCTCGATTAGATAACAAAGAATGAGCACGACTTAAATGCCTCTCTAGTTGAAGATTTTCTTTCTTTATCATGAGAGGTTTACACCAGGATAAAAATTCAAGCATTGTTAATGTACATGGGTGTGTCCTCCTGTCCACCACTTGGCTGGTCTGTGGTTCTAATCCCTAGATGAGCTTCGGCTGTGGCGGCGTCCTTTGGAGTAGGATCGGCTGTAAGAGAATCACAAGCAACGAATGAATGAAATGCAGGTTATCAGGTTGGTAGATCGCTACGTTCTCTAGACTTTCAACTCTGTGTACCGGGTTTGAATCCCACCGGACAAGTGAATAAGGTTTTCTTTCAATAATACTGTTTATTTTACCCAGAGTATTCACACGAGATTTTTCCCCACTCCAGAAACTAAACGTTTCTCATCATGTCCTCTCCATAGTTTTCTTGAGGCATGTGAGCTTGGACACTTTTGATGATTCCGTGGTTTCATGACCAGTAATGAACAGGCTTGAAGCAAGAACAAGAAAACCACTTTGGACAGCCCAAGGATGAGACAGCATGAACAGCTCTAAGTACATCGATTTTTTTGAATATTCTGATGTGCAGAAAGCCATGGTGTCTTTGCCTGAGCATCAGTTGTCAACGACAAGAATGTCTCTCCCGGTAGTCTCTTCACTTTTATCTTCCTATTACTGTAAAGGGGGTACATGTACTAGTACACTGAGCCTATAGAGAAATTCTACAAGGTTATTCATTGAGGTTTTTACACCTTATGTGGTACACAAATTGACATCTGTACCAAAATTAACAGGCTGATGTCAAACATCAATGTGAGGGTGGAACAGAACATTGTACTTCTGGTTGCCACTGAAGAGGGCAGCAATATTAAGTCACATGATCATTATTTGATCACTAATTTATCAACTCTGGCACCGTACACTGTATGGAATGTCAGTTAGGATAAGACTATGGCTACATTTGTACTGATGGCTATACGCATACCTTCGGCTGCGGCTGTGGCTTCGGCCACGGCTACGGCTGCGAGACCTGCTGCGATCCGAGTTCCTCCGAGGGGAGTAGCTACGATCACGAGAGCGAGACCTGGGGCAAATCATAAAATGAGACAGAAATCCTGGTGAAAACTCACAAAACTCAGACATTACTCAACCACCACCCATCGTAATACCAATCTTGAGATTCAACACTGTAGTAAAAACAAGTGTAAACAATTAATTATGAGTAACACACAGGTACATCTCTTTGATGAACCCTCACCACCCCAAATCCTCGAAAATCGCTTATGTTTTTTTTTTTTCATAGATTCAGTTCACCATGATGCATATGTTTAATTTAATGGAATCCTGTCTAAAAGATTTCGTGAAAACCAACATTGTGAACAGGAAGATTGAAGGATTTTCTAAAAGCAATTATTTAAAGAAATTATTGGCAGTTTGGAGGATTCTGAAGTGGGGTTCGTAGACCGAGGAAATAGGGGTTAAATTATTCTTCAGTGAGGCACTGGAAAAAAGTTGATGACAAAGGGTAAATAATCTCATGAAAGAAAAATGGAAACATTATTGTTCTCAAATGCACATCAGCTGGGATACTGTGCCAGCTACTACTTGCAAATACACAAGAATCTCAAATCCAAGTTTCGCAACAAAGACTACCAATGCAATACCTTCCTTTAAGAAAAAAACAAACTACATACAAGTAATAAAGTTTGTACAACAACCTCATACAGATGAGCAGAGACGAGTGCTCAATTTGGTGTATGTGAAACTATTGGCGAACGTCGACTGAAGCGATGCTCATTTTGGGGGGTTTTGAATTGCTGGTGCAGCCATGGAGTGCTAGTGGGGCAGTTGATGCCGTTTGATAAAAGCTGACATGAATCTTGGTTGATTTTCCACCATTTGAAACCCTTGACGAATACCGCCCCCAGTATCGTGGCTTGGGCGGGTCGAATTTTGGACGTGCCGTAGGGTCGCAACTTTGTGTGCTGGGCTAATTTTGTGAAACGAGCTGAGACGCGCCTGCCCTGGTTGGCATTTTGTGGCCTGCAGTGCTGGTTTGGCCGACCGACAGACAACTTGTGGGACGGGCCGATTTCTGATTGGTGCATAGGCAGATCACATGACTGAGGGACCACATGCTGATCACATGGGGCACCACGTGGCGATCACATGCCGATCATGTGCCATGTTAATGGTGATTGGGGAATCCTGCAAAAAGGGGGCGAGTGTAAACACAAAATGATGAAAATAATTGAGATTTGTTCTGAACAGTCCAAGGACCAAAAAACACCCCACTGAATATCTCCTTGAAATTCCTCTTTCAAGCTGAACATCTTTGCGACTCACTGGTTTGTTTGTTTTTTAAACCAAAAAAAACAGCCCTAAGAAATGACAGTGACTGTGACTTACAATTAACAAAAGAAAGAAATAAAACCATTTTTAAAAATATGTAAAACCTTAAACAAGTTCTCTGATTCTTCCTGCTTATTTCTGTTTTTTCTTTTGAAATGTAAATTCAAGAACACCAATTTTCAGGCAATTGTAATTTTGAGGTTTTAAGGTTCAAAAGAGGTCATGAAGTAACTCTTACAACTCCGTATCTGTCAAACTCCAACACTTCGTTTTGCAGGATTTGTGATTGATCAGGGAACGCAGACTTAACTCTTCATTCATTTGCATGAACCAATTTTGTTTAAAGTAAAAAAAAAGGCAAGTGATTTACAACCACAATCTTTGATTTTTCATACTCAGGGAAGTTCTTAGCTTAAATACCCTGTGATCTGTGACTAATTAAGGCTAGCTGGGTTTTTTTTGTGTGACATATACTACAAGCTGATAAGAATGTCTCATGCAAAAGAAACATTCTTCCGAAATTTTGTAGAATATTTTTTCTGAGAAACAGATTTTCTTCTGTTAATCTTTTGGTTTCGAAAAAATAACCTGGATGAATGGGGAAAAAAGAATGAAAATAGTTTTTCAAGCATCAACATATCAGAATATTTTATGATTCAACACCGCCCTATGCCCAGTGGCCATTTTGAAGACACTGTCCTAAAGAGAAAAGTGCACAGATGTATTGTCAAGAATTAGACAACTTAAATAAATAAAATACCACAGGATACTGTCATTAATTCTGGCTGGTCCTGTAACTGTTCAGAAATATTGTGAATTCAGTATTTAGGAAACGTATTGTTCACAAACAGAAACTGTTAGACTGCTAGGGTTATGTTAAAATGGGTAATGAACCATGGAGAAATCTGGCTCATTTAGAGGGAATCCTTAGCCAAGAGGACTTGGGTCTTACCTAGATCTGCGGGCCGGTCGGCGTCGGCTGGAAGAGCCGCCACTATACCGACCGCCATCGCTGTATTTCTGCCTGCATTCCCGTGCGAAGTGCCCCCGTTCTCCACACGAGTAGCATTTGTCGTCGTAGTTGGCCTGACGCGGGCCGCGGCCCCGCCTCCTGTCGCGTTTCTCCCCGTTGGACAATTCCACAACGGCGCGGTGACCGCAAATAGTGCTAAACAAGAGAGGAAATAGTGCATCTTATGTTTGTGATCACAGGCCAACAATTGCTGCTCTATGCTTTACAAGGAAATTATTTTGGAGGATTGTCCAAATTATCCAGTGTGCAGGAAGCATTCACTCCAAGACATTGATTTCTTTAACTTCTTCCAGTTTTTCATGTTAACATTATTCTGTTAACACATGCCCCTCCTTTAACTCTCACCCTCTAGGGTATATTGACTAGAAACCCTGCCAAACGCAGCAACATGCAACACTTGTCTAAGTGACAAGCCTGCCCAGTGTAGCATGATCCATCAGGTAAAAAGCCTCCAGGCCAAACTGCCTCAGAGTCTGTGGTCACTGAATGCAGCAGGATACAACTGTGGCATTGTTCATTGGGACTTTCTGTCAGTGTCTCAGAAGTGGTCGTTCATGCACTGGTGTTGGTAGCATTTTCAATCTGTGCTGCGTCTGGCAGGGTTAGGGTCAAGTTAAGAACCTGATGTTTGGTTTGGACTTGATGGATCATAGAAGACTTAGCAAGCAAGAAGTAACAGAAGCTGGGCTCAATCGGCCTCAATCCTACAAATCCTACAAACACCTGATGTATTTTGAGGGATTCTAGGAGGATGTGCGTTAACTTACTGTCCATCCAAAGCCTTCACTGAATCTTCGGCATCCCTCGGGTCTTCAAATTCGACGAAAGCGAAACCTGGCGGGTTCCTGGCAACCCAGACATTCTTGAGGGGACCAAATCTCGTGAAGGAATTTTCCAGTTCACGTCGGCCGGCCGAGTCGCCAAGGTTACCGACGTAAACCTTGCAGTCCAGATCAGCTCGTGAGTGGTGAGACATGTTGCTTAACTATCTGCTCAAAGAAAAGTGCATGTACATCTCAAATTATAGGCCAAGGCGAAACAATTTGCAAGGACACCACAGCACCATCCAGGAGCCACTGTACATGCTGGACCTCCAGGATGACACAAAGTACACGTCCAAACTTTGACAGCAAACATTGATTGTTTGGCACAATCAAAACTATCAAAATCTTTAAGTTTAACCCTAGCTCTACTGAGTGGAGCGTTGAATTACGGGTACCCCTCCATACAAACGCTCCACCGATTTGCCATACTTTGGTAGCACCATACACGGTCGTCATGACGGTATGCATTTTGTGCATTCCCTCGCGAGGACAAGGCCCAAAAAAACTGATAAAGAAAATACGAATGAGGAAGACAGTAACCCTGGATAGATCCACACATTCATGACATTCCATATGACCCCTCAAATTGTTTCAAACAACCGGTAATTTTGAAAAAAGAACAAAATAGTCTGAACTTACCGCTCACAATTAAATGTGTCTGCCGAGTTGCAGTCTATTTCACTGACATGCTGATGCATAATTCATTGCGCGCGTGTGTGACGTCACTATTGAAGAAAAACAAGTTGCGCTTACTCAATAGCTGTTTTATGTAGTCATATGTGCCCCGCGCCGTCTGACTGTGGGTTTTTGGTGCGGGGCACATATCAGTACATGAAACAGTCATTGATTAAGCGCGACTTGTTTTTCTTCAATAGTGACGTCACACACGCGCGCAATGAATTATGCATCAGTCATGTCAGTGAAATAGACTGTGCAACTCGGCAGACACATTTAATTGTGAGCGGTAAGTTCAGACTATTTTGTTCTTTTTTCAAAATTACCGGTTGTTTGAAACAATTTGAGGGGTCATATGGAATGTCATGAATGTGTGGATCTATCCAGGGTTACTGTCTTCCTCATTTGTATTTTCTTTATCAGTTTTTTTGGGCCTTGTCCTCGTGAGGGCATGCACAAAATGCATACCGTTATGACGACTGTGTATGGTGCTACCAAAGTATGGCAAATCGGTGGAGCGTTTGTATGGAGGGGTACCCGTAATTCAACGCTCCACTCAGTAGAGCTAAGTTTAACCCTAACGTACCCGAATCCATCAAAATCTATACCCCTGTTATGGGAGATTTCGGCAGACACAGGATACTTCCATATTGCACAAGCTGGGGGATTTTGTTGTGTGCAATACTACAATACTACCATATTATTGCACAAGCTGGGGGATTCGCCTTGGCCTTTATATTTTCGCCTTGGCCAAAATGAGAAAAAACTTGGCGTCGTCAGGTCCGAAGCAGGTCGTTTTGTACCCAAGTCGTTTCGTACCCAAGTCGTTTCGTACCCAGTCAATTATGATGCACAAAGGAGATTAAGCCAGTCATGCAAACACGGAAAATACATACACAGACAAGCTAGATCAAATCGGTGAATTAACTTGCAAAAATGTTCTTTCTCCATCGGTGTTTTCTTGGCATTTTTACGATGTCTTTCTCAGCATTTTTACGATGTCGAATCCGACCAGTTGACAGAGCGCTGAGCACGTGCCTGCGCCTGCATAGCCATGCTAGCGCTATCGATCGCATAGCTGTGCACAGACTAGTTACCGCATTTCATCATTGGCCCCTGCGCGGCGCGGCGGGAACCAGTCGTCGCCGCATTGCGCTTATTATGCACGTGATTATAGACATCGAATTGCGAAGTACATGTAGTTGAATCGCGCAGTGAATTTGTAAAAATAACGGAGTTTTCTTTTGAAAAAACAGCGAATGTAAGTAAGAAAACAATAAATACAAGCATTTTTTGATGCAAAAGGGTTGTTGAGAGGTACTTTGTAAAGACAGACAAGACATAAGATTTTTATTTTTATTTATTCAATCATTTTTTATTTTTTTTTTTTGGAATTGCAGCCTAAAAATAGGGTCGGTCGGGTAACCGGAAGCAGAACTATTCTTTTTTTTTGGGCCTAATTATAAAAAGTACAATTCGAAAAACTGAAAAGCAACCAAAGAAAATCACGTAGAAGACAAACATGAATCCTGTGTGCGAAACGACCTGGGTACGAAACGACCTGGGTACGAAACAACCTGGGTACGAAACGACTTGGGTACGAAACGACCGACATTCGTCAGGTCGTTCAGCTTTCAGGTTGCAACATTTTTACTGCAGTGGTGCTGGCTGCTGCATTTATTTATTTTCGGTTTTTTTGCTAAAACCATTGAGGAAAGATTAAGGAACTTTTCTCTGAATATAAACACGGTCCAGCTGTCCGAAAACTAGGCGAAGCATTTTACATGACTACTCCACGTACACTTGCCACGCTTGCCAAATTAAGTTACAATGCGCACCTTTTGTTCGACAAAGGCAATAAACACCGAACAACACCTGTTTTGAAGGGAAAAAACATCGAATTAATCATGCATTTCTGGAAAATATCACATGCTTGCTATATCTATAAGGTTCACACTATCTACTGAATTGTTCTTAAAATGAAATTTCACATTCTAACCATTTTTCAAGACAATTTTTGAGAGGACAAATTGAGAAACATGTACTCACCGAAAAAGCACCAGAAAATAATGTGAGCGTGCAGCGCACGCGCATATCGCGCATGAGATCGCGAGTTCACATTAAAAAGCGCACATAAAAAAGGCTCACAGCCCTGGCCACGAGATTGTCAATTAATTCCGTCACGTGACCACGCTGATCGATCCGCGCCAAAATCATGAATAATGCATGATTCGGATGGGTGGGGTTGATGATTGCCCGTCTTTTGTGTTGTGATATGTTAGAATTAGAAAGTGTGGATGAATCGTCTTCGAACTATTCAACCACATGGTCTCAACATCCAACTTGGAAATGATTAATATTTTTCTTCCTCCATTGTCTTCTGTTACAGATAATCCACCTGGTCTTCATTGTTTGTGTTTCCCCATCTTTCCCCATCTTTCATCCCTTTCCACCTCCATACTGTTCCCCCCCCCCCCCCGCATAATCCCCCTTCACTCCCACACTCTTTTGTCCGTTCCCACTCCCTGTGACCTTTGATCCTTCCCCTTTCTGGTCCCTCCCCTGTTCATACCAGACCCCTTGTGGTTTGCCATCTCCCTTTGTTTCTTTGTTCTCTCATCCACCCTCCCCTGCATCTTTCCACACCTTTCGCACCTAATCCTCCTTTTGTGTTTCTTCTTTCATCCCTGCATGTTTGTGTGCACCCCCATGTTAATGTATGTACCTCTGTCATTTCTGTTTTAGCCTCTGAAGAAGAACTTGCTAAGTTCGCAACGTCAGGCCACATTAATTTTTAGATTTATATATTTCAGGTCCACCCAGTCAGTAAGCAGTTTGCAGCAGTCTTACTTTTTTCATGTTAGAATTTGAATATGTTTTGTGTTCGAGGCTTTTGGGGGGGGGGGGGGAGGCCGGAGGACGATATAAACACCTAACAATAGCATAAATGCCCGCACTTTGTTTGGCATGTGTTTAGTCACTCCGTCGAGAAAAAAGCCACGGCCTGGCTTTATGAGTGATGCCCGGTCTTAAAAAGAAATTAATTGGCGCAGGATATGGTACATTAATTGTTCGTTTTATTGCCACAAATATAACTTTCCAACACGAATACATATAAAACTATTTAATTCTGAGATTTTGTTTCATAACAAAACCTTTTGACAGTGAACAAACGATAAGAACAATGTTTCAGCCTAACGTCTAAAACATATAAAACAATTTTGTATACAAATGAGGCAAACTTTGAAAGTGTTTTATTTTTAAGCTTTAAACCTGAGGCATTTTCAAGGTGAAGAAATGTAACTTTTGAAAAAAAAAATTCAGGGGCCAAATAAATCAAATGACCGTCCTCTGAACAAAAAGAGGTGTCTAAACTTTGTATGAATACAAATATGAAATAAAGCTTTTTTTCTTCGAATAATATATAGAGGTGTGTGTTTGTCTTCCTTTCACACTTGAGATACCGGTACCCTTTGAAGTTTAGAATAGCACACAACAAAACAGAAACGATGCTTATATACCTAATTATAATATATAAATACTAGTTTCACTTTGAGAAACTAGAAATATAAAACAACTGCTTTAACAAGCTGCTAATTATCAACTGGAAGTGATAAACTTAATTACTAGGACGGACAGAAACTTCACTAGCTACTGGTACTTTAATAACAAAACATCAACTTTTAACGGTATAAGCTTAGAACATTTTATTGTTTAGATTTGTGGTTGGGCGAAGCGGGGTTTGAAAAAAAAACACAGGACGTGATATTCAGAAAAAAATGTTGTATTTAAAAAAAATTGGGATTTTTTTTTTTTGGATTCAGGGAAAATTCAGGAATTACCAGAAACTTTGAAAAGTTAGTCAACAGTAAATTTCCAAACATTTCAAGCTTTGCTTGGTAAAAAGTATTCAAGTTGTGAAACTTGAGAGAAATTTTAGGGTGCAATATAAAATGGGATTAAGTTAATCTGTCAAAAATAAGTGAGGTTTGTTCCAAGTTTCTGCGACCACTTTTAAAATTAAAAAAATATTAGAAAAAAATAACAAACTTTGTGGGGTTGGAAACCTCACCCCAATGAATAGGGCCTCGTAGTTAAAAAAAAAAAGTTAAGGTTGAACAAAGAAATTGACTGGAGCGGGATTTGAACCTGTGACCTCCGGATTCCGTTCCGGCGCTCTACCAACCGAGCTATCCAGCCCTATGATGGCATTTCCCAAATTCTCAATATCCTCAGTAGAGCACCGGAACGGCAATCCCGAGGTCGCGGGTGCAAAACCCGCTCCAGTCAATTTCTTTGTTCAAAAGGATTGAATCCTTCTTTCTTAAAAAAAATATAATATTCCTATGTGGTTCCTTTGAAAAAAGAATTTAAATCAATAAAAAATCCTAAGACCTGGCCACAGAGAACCAAATAGTGTACATTCTACTTATAAGTCCAACTTTTTAATACAATAGTTCCATATGAAATTATGTGACTCAATTAGACTCTTCGACTGAGAAAAATACACCTATTCAGCCCCAGATATTTTCTTTTTAAGCTTACTAAAACAAAACATTGCTTATTTACTGTGAAAGTATAAAAGAGATAAACAGATGAAAAACTTCAGCATTGATATCTTTAAATGTATAGTAACTGTTATATGATCACACAAACTTGCATTCAAGAATCTATTGAAATAAGATCAATTATTACACAATACAAACAACATCTACGTGAAACATAAACAAAATGTGTGAAAATGTCTTTAAAATATAATTTCTGATGTTACAGCTATATATACTTAACGATACCACACCCTGTTTCAAACTACAAACGTAAAAGCACAAGTAGTGGAAAGAATTTGTGTGTAATGAAAAGATTCGTGTCACGGATCTTTGTTAATCCCTACAACCCCTTTATTCTTATCACTAGCCAAGGGGGGGGGGGGGGGGGGGGCATGCGGAATGCACGCCCCCTACACAGGTACCCATTTCTACTCCTGGGTGGAGAGAGGCAATTGTAGTGAAAGTGTCTTTCCCAAGAACACAAGCACAACGTTCCCTGTCAGGGTATGAACTGACGTACCACGGCATGTGAGTTGAACACTGTAACCATTGGATGTACAGCACTCCCTAGCATTACAGATAGCGCTTTAAACATAACACTAGGATCATCCTAGCTAGTGGCTGCATTAAATTGCAAAGCGGAATGCATGACCTAGAGGGCCAGGGCCAAGAAAACTTGTGGCCAAGGGTAAGTTGACCTCACACATGTCTCTATTGTTATGCAGATTTGTTCCGACACCCCTGTATTTCGACAGCACATTGACTTCCCCCTCTCTCTCATCCCCATGTTATAATGTGCTGGGCGTGTAGCGCTACATGAACCTGTGTGCTTAGAACACTTACCTCTGTATTTGAATGTCATTTGATTTGCATATTTACAATGTTTATTCTCGTGGTGGTGCAGTCTAGGACTGTTAATACGAGCTCCAGCGGACTATTAAAACAGCCTTGTATTATCCGTACCTTGTATTATGCGTCGCGATGGCATGCCCATTCATCCATGACGCCCCAACTGGGCGCCATGCACATGTGTGTTTTACAATACAGGTACATAACGATTGTGTGCATAAAATAGGAGCCTTAACCTACATTAGTACATTACTACCATTTTTGTGATGGTTACAACTGTTAAACGTGTTGAACTTTCTCCCCGCCCTTCGCGTACCTTTTTTCTTTTCTTGGTTAAAGAACTCTAAAATCTCGAACCAGATTTTTAAGAAACTAATTGGAGGGTGAGGGTTAAACCTCCTCGACGCCCCTTAAATCTCGAGGCCCCGCCCTCCAATTTACCTCCACCAACCTTAACGCTCTCAGCAGCATTGCAACTTGTATGAACAATCCCCGTATAATCTCGATCAAGGGATCAAATACTGTCTTCAGCGCAACACCAGTGTTGTACAGAAACACTGCCAGGGGCTGAAGGATACTGTTGAACAAGGCCGCCAGGACAGGCTTGAAAAAATAATCGCCAAACGTGGTCAGAAGTCCGACGAAGAGCAAACCGAGGACGTTATAGGCCAGGAAACGTAGAAGCTCGAGTATCACTATGAGTAGAAAGTCAACGATGATGCGTAGAGCGGCAAAGAACTCCTGCACACCGCGACGGACAAGTTTCTCCGACCTTGGAGTAAAAAAAACCCAGAAAAGCACAAAAATGTAAATGTGTAGAAACAACACTTCAATCCAAACCAGACAGTTCAGTTATTTGTAACATTTTTGGGGTCCGCTCATAAGTCTGACGCCTCTAAGGTCCGACGCTTCATAAGTCCGACAAAATCGCATCCCCTAACCAAATAAAACCCCATAAGTCCGACGAATCATAGCTCCGACGCCTCATAGCTCCGACGCCTCGTAGGTCCGACAAATTAAACGCCTCGTTTTTCCGACAACGGACTTATGAGGTGTCGGACTTATGAGGCATCGGACCTATGAGGCGAAAAAAATAAATTTTATGCCTCGTAAGTCTGACGGCTCGTAAGTCCAAAATTTTTGACTTATGAGGCGTCGGACCTATGAGGCGTCGGACCTCTGAGGTGTCGGACTAATGATACGGCCCCACATTTTTCACAGGATGGTGGTTAAAGTTGTACACATGGATGTTTGTGATATTAATATTTCTAAAGCCAATTCTTGGTTATTAGGCAAAAGATGGATCCACAACATTTGCTTTTGCTGTAATTTTCAGAAATGGATGGATTTGCGGGTTAGTATTTAGCAAATATTGTTACGCTGACCTATTTAACGTTTTGAGTTCATATACTGGAAAAAACAAAAAGTGAATCTGTTTTTGTTGTCTTGTTCCCTGACCCTACTTCAGATGAAACGGAGCAATTTACAGAGGCCGAGGAATTGTCAGGTAGGGGAACCAGACTAGCTGGCTTGCATCCATTCACGATGTGTAACAGATATAGCAAACAAAATGAGGACTAACTAAACTTGGAAAATAAGGGGCAGTATTGGAGAAATAAAATCAGGTTTTTCCAACGATGGTCAGCCAAAGGTTACTCGAAACTGCATTTTACCAAATATTTTGATATTTGAAACTGCCAGCTGCAACTACGTGCTGCGCTGGTCAAAATTTGCATGCAGAGCGCGCCAGTTAAGATTTGCATGCGGCGATCAATATGGAGTGTTTTGCAGTAAGTAGTATATAACCGTACAGGGCTTTAACCGGCTAATAGGAATAGTAACAGTGAGCCACCGTCGACAAAAAGTTACCGTCGACAAAAAAGTAGCACTTGACAACAAAACGCTGCAACTTTATGATAAAGTAACATCCCAGTCTTGTGTGTATGTGCAGAATTTTTTTGTTTTTGAACATTCAAACTGGCAAAAAGCTATTTGAATATTCGGTTGATGATCTAACATTTGAATATTCGGTATAATTGGGACAGCCACAAGGCTCTGTAGTTTCTTCTTCTCTAAATTCATCCTCAGGAAACAGAAGTGCCCTTCATTCTCCACCATCATTGCTAATTAAACAGCGCCCTCTACAGTCCACGCACACAACAGACTTCATTGCGAGTATTTAATAAGGGAATAAATGTGTGATCCGGAGGTTTTTATCACTCTGTTTAAGACCACTTAGAGTCTGGGTGCTGATAATTACCCGAGCCGGAGGCGAGGGTAATTATCAGCACCCAGACTCTAAGTGGTCTTAAACAGAGTGATAAATACCGACGGAGCACATATTTAATCCCATTCATAAATACCTTTTCCGTAAAAAAAATCATATAATTCGTTCAAAACATCCCAATTTTGTTCAACTAATTCACTTTACGCTTTTTGAAACATCCCTCTTGCAAAATAATGGAGTGTTCAGCTGGCGAGTAAGATGTAAACAACCCTTTTATGGAGATTGACGCGCGCGTATCATGTTCTGCGCGATGTCGCGCAGAACGCACCTGGCGCGTTGCGTTTTGAATTTAGAACTATAAAATTCTGACTCACTGGTAGTGTTGCGCATGCCTACGTGAGGATTGGGAACGTTCAACCAATGAAACGATAAGAGGCACTGGATTTTTAGGAGTCCACATTTTATTGGGACACTGGAAAAGTGTTTAAGACCAGCTAGCCATGTCTTTATCATCCGTTTAAGACCGGCCACGTGACGGGCTCTCGACCAATAGGAAAGCGTAAACTGTCTTAGGTATTTATGAATTAGGGTTAATGGTACTTACTTGTCAGCTATGCCTGTCATATACACATCATTCCTGACTGGACGGGTGTCGTAGTACTTTGTGTTGCCATGTTGGTAGTGGTATATATACCTGCAGGGAGAACAGAACAGAAAGTTTCTACAAATCAAAATTTTGGGACGGAAAAATCTTTTTTGCGATAATTATAGAAACAAAATTTCAACAGTGGAAAAGAAAGTGATTGGTCTATGGAATAGTGATATATGTGTGCAGATTATTCAAAACAACACTAATTCGTCTAGACCTCCACAATCTGCCAATTCAGCGGGCGCCTTCTGTCATGTCTTCTGTAACAGGATGTTGTCTGAGAAAAACATGGCGACTTTTGACCAATCAACAGTTTTAGCTGAATTTCTACTCTAACTGACGTTGCAACGTCTGAACGCGGCTCCGATTGGCTGAGCAGGGCTGCATGGGTATATCAGACGTAGTGTGGCTCTGCCTCAACTGCTCTTCACACTTGAACGTCAAGTTCTAAGACTAGGGCGAGAGATATGGCCTCCATGCACCAGTACTCCTTCAACGGCCAGAAAAGGAGAGTTGGGGGAGACCTAGACTGGTTCCCGGTCCATCCCTACGTATTTTGAATAATCCAAGTTATTGGGGGCCGGGATTAGTCTGGGAGACCATCGCAAGTTAAATTCAGACGTATTCACACGTCGACGACGCCTGACGCTCACGCGAAGACGCTGTGGCTAATAGCTTTGGCACATTCAGGAAGTCATGCGTACTTTGCGCGCGAACCAGTACAGTACAGTACACACACACTGTGTGTCCTGTCCACGGGCTCTCAAAAGTGGTAAAAACGCGCCCTCTTTTGTTGGCACACAGAGCCCATACGCAGACCTCTCAATGTGAAGAACCATTGCAAGAACACAATGTGTCCCGCACAGGGAGCTCCTTTTCACCCCTTTTAGTGTCCAGGACACACAATGTGTGAATTCTGGTTCACAAGTGTATAGCGCGCAGAGCGCATGACTTATTTTATCGTATTTTGAATGTGCACAAAGTCATTGCAACTTTACATGAGCGTCAGGCGTCGTCAGCAATCCCTTCGCATGTCTCTCCCAGTGGTCTCCCCAACTCTCCCTTTCCTACCGTTGAGGGGGTACTTGTGCACAGAGACCACTGATTGGTCACAAATCATTTTTAAAAAGTTAATTGAGCTACCAACCTATGGGTGTTCTCTTGGACAAGTAAGTGTGACCCTTGCATCCTTGGCTCATCGTATCTTCTGACGTCGACCTCGTCCTCAACCCTTCCCATCATGCTCTTCTCCATCTGCGTCAGTCGGACGTCTGATGCAGTGGTCGACATCATTGTTGTCATGGTAGCATCCCTTGGTGACAACTCTCCAAGGTTGTTGTTGTCTGTCGTCGTGGCTGGATGTTCCGTGTCTTCTTGAAATCCCTGGTTCACCTTCCATTTGTTCTTTGTGGCTTTCCTACGGTCAGGGGCGTCCACAATGAGTTGCGTTTGGTCTGAATTCAGCGATAACACAAAAATATTGTTAACGGAAATTTAGAGATTATCAGTTATGCTGCGCTTTCAAATACAACTTCCATAATTTGCTTGGGTTACCATAACTTCACAACATGGCATATCCAGGAAGATGTACCAATAGGTTACGGCTGTGAAAGTTTGCAAGTTTGTTTTGAGTAGTATACCCTTGATGATACAGGGTGGTCCAAAATTTTGTTTACACTTTTGTCAGAGGCAAATTTCTCAAAATTGGGGAGACATGTTGAAATTGATTTAAATTATTCCTACTCTACAAGATCTTGGCTGTATATGGTGAAAACGTCGTTGAAAATTAAGTTCAAATGAAAAAATAGCAGCCATTTGGAGAAAAATATGATAAAAAACTAGTTTGTCCAAGTCTATGGCAGTCATGTAGACCTAATTTACATTGACCATATCTCATCATAGACTTAATTGTGGACGAACTGGTTTTTGACCATCTTAATTTAAACCATCGCCATTTCTTAATTTAGGCTTTACTATCAGCACTGTTTTCACCAAATACCACGACAATAGTTATGGAATATCTTAAAACAGTTTTAACATATTGTCTCCCCAATTCCAAGAATCTGCTTCAGAAAAAAAGTGTAAACTTTTTTGGAACACTCTGTTTAATGTCATCTCTGAAAACCTACACGGATTGTGTTACTGATTAGGCTGTCATTAATAAGCGTAACTTTAACATTAGTGAGATTGGGGGAAATGAAAAATCCATGAAATAATCGGCCTCAGAGCAACGTAGGGTCTATGGTATAATGTTTGTATTAACCTAAAGGCCCCCCTTATAATACTCTTTACTTTTGTTCTATATACACAAAACATGTTACAGTAAAACCTCAGTATAAGTGCAGATATCCAAAGACATTTTTTTAAACTCTTTAAATCAGGAAAAAAGCTGACACATCTCACCCCTCATTTACATAAATTAACAACAAAAAGCAGTTTTCTGCAAAGTATAAGTTTTCCGTTACGGCTTTTTCAAACAAGATTAGGCTTTCATCGACATTATTGTGACAACAGAACCAAATACTTTTTACAAAGTGACATCATACTACGATACCTGATCGAGGACTGTGGCCTGATGGAGGCATTGGATCATAGATTTTTCCTTTTCTACTTTTCCCAGGTCGATCTGACGCTCGGTCCTCATTTCTTGGAGCATCTGTATCATAAAAATGTCAAATAATGGAACAATAGTACTTGAGTGTTACAAGTAACTAAGATTAAATTGGAAGGGTTGGAAAACTTCCAACTTTGCTGCTGTTTTAACTATATGACACCAAATGGAAAGATTTTCTTTATCCCTAACCACCCCAATCTTTATCCCTAACCACCCCAATCCTTCAAAAATCCAACTGCCTGTTTTGTTGGATATTCTGTTGGGATGAGGACTGCACTAGTAAACTGATTATGCTTTACATGGGGTCAGGCATACCACCATAATCAGGGTTATATGTCCGGAAACCATGCACTTCATTTCATTAAAGAAAGACGTTTGTTTCAAACAAGAGGTTCTTTTAAACCTAATGGCTCCATTGCTGTGGTCTTTTATGCAAAAACAAGTTCTTTTAAGGAATCGTCTCAATTCATATCCGGGACGAGTTCCTGACAAGTTCCACACATTGTATCGGGTATAAGCTGCAGGATTCTGAACAACTTCCCCGCAATCTTCCCGCAATGAAGTTATCAGTATTGGTGAGTCAAGCAGTTGCTAATGAAAATTTCCCCGGAACATGTCTGGGACAAACGCAGAGCTTCTTCCGGACAAAGTGAATGATTCTACCTGCAACTTGTCCGGAACTCGTCCCAGATATGAATTGGGACGGGCCCTAGGTACATTTATCTGCTGAACAAGCCATCGGGGAACCAGTCACAATCACTTTACACGGCATGTCACTTTGGCCGGTAACCAGTCTCTGCTAAGCAAATATGGCTGCATCCTAATGGCTATGGCTAGATATAACACACGTGTCTATGTGAAGTGGCTGCAGCCGCTTCTATAGGCGCGTGTGTAATTTCTAGCCGCAGCCAAGCAATTGGGACACGGCTTATTTCTAGTGTTAACCACATTTTCCATGCCTTAATAACTGAGTGAAAGTGGCCCCTTATTTTTGCGTACCATCGAGTGCTTTTCTGAAATCGTAGGGAGGGCGCTCTTCCTTTCGCGGAGCCGATTTCCTGCTGGCGACGGAGACATCCTCATCTGAAGAATCCCCAGTACCGTGGTCAATGAACACATTCACACCAGCCTTTGTCACCTTTCCACTAGCAGTAAAAACAAAATTTATTAGGTTATCATTCCAGGCAACAGCAGCAAAAAAAAGAAAAAAAAAAGGGTTTTGTGATTTTAAAGGCACATAGAATCATTTGCTTTTTGCAGATTTTTTTTCGTTTTAAGCGACAAAATTTCTCAAAATCTTCAAAGAGTTGGGTGCACAACAACTACACAACTTGTTGAACTTCCAGCTCAGTGGATACTATACATTCAAGAAAACAGTAAAAACGTATGCAAAATGTTTGGGTTCTTGTACTGGATTTCGTTGCTAATTAACTGACGTAAAAAATAACGTGCCAGCAAGCACATTTTCTTTAACCACCATCAATGATTGCTTTCTTCAACTTGAAACCATTTCAGGCGGAATCATTTCACAGGGTATTTGGCAACAGTCCTATCTTCAGCAAGTATTTTCTTGTTAAATCCGTAAGTACGTTTCCAGGAAATTCAAAATGTTCCGACATCAATAAGCATCTAGGCAGAATATTTTGCAGTGGAACGCCAACGTGAGCAATAACATCCTATGAATATTTTACTAGTAGGGGGCAGATAACAGACATTTTTTATGTTATCTGGGTCAATATGTTTTTTTGTACAGGGAGGGGGGTGGAGGTGGTTAGGGCACCGAGAATTATTTGGGAGATGTACCCGTACCCCTCCCCTCCCTTGCTATGCCACTACCATTAGCCTCCACCCCCCCCCCCCCCTTCACCACTTCTGTAGAAAAGGTAACGCCCTCCACCACTCACCTTCGGATGCTAGAGACCGGTGACGATTTGTTTGAAAACTGTTCCCCGTTCACTGCGAGTCGATTGGACTTTGCTGGTTTGTGTGGCTGGAACTGGGATCTGGTAGACTTGCTGTCTTGTCTTGGTGCTATATATGGGGGAATAGAGGAGTCAAGTATTTTGAACTGATTATAGATTGACCCTGAAATAATGTTGTGCATCGGGCCGGGTCGGGTTGACCAGGCCAAACCGACCCAAACCATTCTAGATATAAATTGAATCCAGACTGAAACCAATCTGAACTCCATAAAACCGACCCTATCGCTTTTCGTGCCTGAACTTATACGCGCGTCACATGAAAATCATCGTCTCTCAGTAGAGAATCATACGGTACGGTACCGTGAAGACTCATAACGTTACCTTCTGGTGTACCTACATGACTACACGTTATACACTGCATGTGCGTGACGACCTTAAACCACATGCACATTTGTGTGGTGGGTTGACGTTGATCATACCGCAACTCTCCAATAATATTGCACCGCGTGAATTTCCGAAATGTTTCAGGTTTTGGAGGTTTATTTCGGTTTATTTGGGGGTTTTCACATGACGTCCTAACTGACCCAACCGGACCTGAAAATCGCAAACACAAAACCGAAACCGACCCAACCCAACTGAATGATGGAAAAAACCAACCCGACCCGACCCAGCCTGAAGTCTGTTTTGGGTCGGGTCAGTCTCGGGTCGGGTCAGTCTCGGGTCGGGTCAGTCTCAGGTCGGGTTTGCATAACATTACCCTGAAATGATCATAGATTGACCACATTAATTGAGGTCTCAGATTTGGGTTGGATTATGTATACCTTGTGGTATGTGACTCTTGTCCTTTCCCCTACTGCGACTAGACACCACGCTGACTTCCTCTTCTGAGCTGACGTTCGGCAGCGTATCCTCAGGTTCCGAGCTGTCCCAGTTGCTTTCTGATTCAGGAGACCTGGCCCGGTTATTCCGTTTCTTCTGTGCAGCAATCTAAGGGTAAAAACAAGGAGATAGGCTCTGCACATACAGTAAGGAGAATGGTAATAATAAATAAAGAGCTAGCGTAGGACAGTAAGTTTTAATTGACGTGATCAATCATGTCACTGTAGCAGTTGTACTAATAAAACAAAATTGATTTTGCACAATCCTAGACCAGTCCACATGGTCCAATTGTAACATTATCAGCTTAGGCTAACAAGTAACAATCTTTGGGTTTAACAATCTACTTTGGATATTTTTTTTTTTTTAAGTTTCGGTGGACCGAAGAGCACATCACTATGGTGGCTTTGAAGGGACATCGCAAATCATGACTTGCAGTACAACCACGCCATGATCATGATCATATGAGTTTTTAAACGTCAATGTGAGGGCGGTATAATCTATTTGTAAGGGGCAGGTGGGATACCGGTAAATGGGGATTGAAAAGCGGTTACATGGCAGGGGATTGCAGTTTGCATGACTTCACATGAAGTCCGGGTTTATCCGTGGGTGCCGCCCATTGGCATTGCCGATTGTAGCGTTGTACAAACTGAACCAACACAAAATCAAGTCTACAGGTTTAACTCAGATGTACATGATGAAAGCCTGCCTCGCTTGCTAGATAAAACATTTCGACAAAAATTTGTGACCGATAGCAAGCCGTGAAATGTTTGGCGTGAATATTGAGACAATATTATTTCTGACCAGGGAGCATTTGCGACTGTAGAGCAAGACGTGAAATTTATTACGCAAATTTTGACATCAATATTCGTGATTTAGGAATTGAGGCAAGTCCTGAATTTTTGTGTGAGTATTATCAAAACTGTCATGTCATCATCACAATTTGTGATGTCCCTTCAGCATGTTCAAAAACCACCATAGTATATCACTGACCACTGAACACTATTTATATGCCCCTTTATTCAGGGTGATGTTTAGGGGAGTCAGGTTGGCGTAACGGTACATTCCTTGCCTTCCACTGCTGTGACCAGTGTTCGGATCCCACCTGGGCCAATATGTGGATTGGGTTTTCAGTCCCTACCTGATTCCGTGGGTTTTCCCCAGAATATTCTTCTGGGGTTTCCTACCACCTCTAAAACTGTAACTTCTTCTCATTGTCTTCTCTCCACAGCACAGGTTTCTTCAGGCTTGCGAGCTACAGTGCCTAGCTAGGCTTGGGCGCTTTTGAGGAATCCTTGGTTTCATTACCAGAAATGATTAATACAGTCGTTTTCCTAGTTCCGGATTTTTCCTAGTTCCGGATAGCTTCAAGTAAAAACCTACCTCTTTTGGATTAGTCTCCAATAAAAAAATTTCTGACGATGTGCATTTTAAAAAGCAAAATTTAAGCTCCTTGATGCACAAAGATTTTTCCGATAAAATCTTTAGAAGATGAATTTTGGCCAGATTTTCGACTTGCACCTCGACATGTTTGGATGGTTTGTAGAAAATCGCGGGAGCTGCGAATCGACGAAAATTTTTCTCCTCGGTATATCACTTGTACCGTGTGATTTCGAATATTTTGTTCATGCACTACTGTCGTATAAACTCTTCCATCGAATGCTTGTTGAATCAAAATAAGTTGTTAAGTCTCTAATTTTTGAAAATTCGCCAACGAATGACCGTATGCTTTTGCCTAGTTCCGGATAGTGCGTGCACTTACGACCCAACTACACGCGCGTTAATCGATTTTGTGTGACGTATTCTGTGCTGGGTCAAAGATTTTCGGTCCATGCGTGACATGCGTGAGTTCGAGCCGTTGCGCTGCAGACAAAAGTTTCAAAATCATTTACGTTTTTTCTCTTTTTAAAATTTGCTGGAGTTCTCTTGAATGAACTATTTTTGGAAAATGAAATAGTACTTTATCAGAACATATGCTTGATTTGGTTGGTTCTGGCTGAAAAAAATAGATTTTCTCGAATGATTTTTTTTTCGCGTGAAGCAGTTTTGATCGATTCGGAACTGATTGAACCGATCCAGAACTATGTAGGAAAAGTGACATCGGTACTTTTGATGTCATAAAATCAGAATAAAAAGAGCTTAAATTTTGAAAATTATTTCGTGGTCTCTCCATCAGTCAAGGTAAACTTTTTAGCCAATGTCACTTGAATTCGTGGAATTTCCGGAACTAGGAAAACGACTGTAATAAAACTAATAATAATATTGTTTTCATATGTTTAACTTCATGAACTAGGTTTAGCAACCTTCATTATAAATATAGTATAAATATCACTGAATCAACCCATGGAGATTAATTTTAACTTTTCAACTCGTTGTTATGGACGCCTAAGCCTGCTCCCTGGAAGCATCTTTATTCATTTTGAACACATTGCGCTAGGATACCAGACCTGCCAAAATTGGGCCAATTTCGGATTTCTCAAAAATGCTGAAGTTACTCCAAATATCCCTCAGACTTTCCGACCAAAGATGGTAAGAAATTCATTTTCTACAATCCCATTTGCATAATTAGTACCACAGTTACATTGTTAAATTAACAACATCGATAAAATAAGTATAAATAAGGATTTTCCACTTACAATCTTCGCCGCATTCAACTGTATGTCGTCCATCTTGAAAATGTTCTCCAGTCATGAATATTCATAATAAACGCAAACCTATAAATTCCATTTATTCGGATATTTTGTGCTTAGATATCTCTTTTTTTCTAGCTGTTACTTACCCTAAATATATTTATAAGAGATAAAATTGATTGATAGGAAATAAATTTCTACTTATCAAAAATTGAAGAGCCATTCTGTGTTTTTCCAGACGCTATGAATATTTATTTAGATAATGTATTCAATCTACTTTTCAACTTTCCTTCAACTTTGACCCCGTCTTTCGGTATCTGCAAAAATGGGGTTGGACGAGTCTTTGGTGAGCCAAAATTCCGATCATTTTTGTACATTTCTTGTGAATAGTTTGTTATTTATTCTCATTATAGTTTAGTGGTTAAAATGTATTGATTTTGCAAGTAGCATTGGTGCATGAACTCGTAATTTTCAGACCAAAAATTTTGCTGAAATTGAGAAGAGAAGACGAGTACAAAAAGAGCGCTGGCAAGGTCGCTAGCTAGCTGGAAATGCACGTAGGCCGGCCGGCCACTCTGCTCTGCACTTTTTAGCTTAATTTGAGTAACTCCAGCTCTAATGCCTATCGCATTAGAGCTGGAGTTATTGCATGACTGCATGACTGCATAGCCATTTTACTAGTAATAGTACTTAGTAGAGACTTGGACATCTTTTCTTTTGCATCATGGAGAATTAGAATTTAACTTAAAGAATGTTGCAACCTGACGCTGCTTCAGCGGTTGCATGTGTACAAAGTCGATGGAGTAGTCAAGAACATTTTTAAAGTATTTCCTAACAAAACTGGAAATATTTCTCAGTCCCAGCTTCATGTCTTATCGTTATTCTTGCAATGACTGACCTTCATTGAGATGATATTTGAAGAAAAAAGCAGTTAGGTTGCAAGCAACATCATGAACATTCTTTCCCACTTCATATTTTAAATATTTTTATGCCCTAAAATTTATTAATCATTTAGCAAGTTCTTTGTTTTCATTGTTTTTCATCACTGCAATACATGAAATACTTGTTTTATTTCCTTTAAAAATTTAGGGAATGTGTTAATTTTCAGATATTTTTTAAACTTTCCATTTCATTGTCGAAATGTTTCCTTATTTTGGTAATCCCTTGTTAACCCCACATTCCCCCATCACCAGTTTTGACAACATACAAATTACAATGTATCAAGCTTTTTCTTTGAAAATCACACATCAGCGTTACTGTGTCACTTGTCAGTGTTTTGTTCATGCAATGATGCATTCGCCCAAAACTCTCTTTAGCTGGAATGAGTCTGAAACGCATTTTGTCATACCTCAATTTTGCCTTATTTTGAAGAATTTTGTTGGTTGAAAATAAGGCAGGTAAAAAATATAAACATGGTTCTCGTCCCTGCTTGCTTCTTTCTTTCCCACCTGCATCTTTTTTTTTTTAATTCGTATATTTGCAATACATTTTTTGCAAATATCAACATGTTGTCTTTTTATTTGTTTTCAACAAAATTGTAGCTGTAAAGAAAGGGTTACAGACCCTTTGGACACAATTTTTATCAGCAAAAGAGGCGAGAAAATGGAAGAATTCATTTCATCTGCTATCTTGGAAAATCGGCCATCTTGGAAAAAAATTAATAATTAAAAGCAACCGCCTCCTTCATTTTTTCGGAAAACCTGGACGAGAAACTCTTTTTATTTGTTTACTCAGCCTAATGAGTAAAACTGTGCCCTTTTTTCTGTAGAGAATGAAGGTCCCAATCAATAGGCCAAATAAAAAAAAGAACATGTTTAGAGTCCTGCCTTTTTGAAACAAAAGGAAGGAGGGTTTTTTTTTTTTTCAAAAACGACCGGTCGGGCTATTTTTCAAGATGGCCGCCAGATTTTATTTTTTAATGGCCACCGGCTAGATGCAATAGACAAAGAGGCCAAAATGAAGTCAATTTTTTCAAATTTATCATTTCTTCAATTTCTTTTTCAAAAAAGAAATATAATAAAAAAGAAAGCGGGCGGGGATGCTAAACATGTTTGGTTTTTTTATTTGGCCTTAAATTAGTGCTAAATTATTGCGTAATAGATTAATATCAAGTCTTTTTTCCACCTCCATGCTTCCTCGCTGTCCACGTGCATGCTGTTTGTGCCAATACATCCCAATACAACCCTGGTTCCATCCTGAATGCAAACAATCACCATCTGCACAGAAGGTAGGCCCATACCCATGCCATTTCTGAAACCTTGGCCTTGCTCTCAGCTTCGGTTTTTATCTCTGTCCCAGGTCCATTGGTACATATCCTTTCATTTTTGAACTAAAACAGAAGTACTCCACACTTTGGATTCAATGGACCGATCCAGTAAGCCCCGCCCGCTGCGCACTGGGCAAATGAACACGTGCTCCTCTCCAATGCCACACTGCATTTTCCTGCTGCGCGCATCATACGCGCGTGCACGCATGTCGGACTTTTGTGCACGCACGTCGGACCTAAATGACGGCTGTGATTGGCCTGAACACCATGGGGCGGTGCCTACTGGATCGGTCCATTGGTACAGTTAGGCTTTCCTGTTGTAATAAATGGACCTGATGTGAGTCAAAGTTTGAAATGTCAAGGACATGATGCTATGAGAATGATGCCTGAAGCCATAGCTGAAGACTGAGCCTAGATTTTACAAATGACCCTTTCTCACTGCTATCATAAGCACATGATTTTCTGCTAACAGAGCGTCTGTCTATTTCACGGAGACTGTAAGCAGTAAGCACGGCAAAAGGCTCGTTACCTCAGAGGAAAAAGTTGCTCAGAAATCAGTGACTAAACAATAGATATCTCTATGCGTACCCAATTACCGTCAGCACATCCATGCCATGAGTGCTAATGTTAGCACAATTTTCTGCTCTAAGCATGATAAGTAAGCACAACTTTTCTGCTAACTGTTAAGCAGCGCCATGAAGTTGACTCCAGCTCTACGCATTTATGGTTTACTCTCATGGCTATAAATTTTCCAACATGTAATGCAACTACCGTACATTTGGTTGTATCCTTGTGGATTTCATAGTACATGTACCCCCTTATTTAGGTTGCAGACTAGTACAGTAGTAAATAAACTGCCACAGACCACAGTGATGAATTCGTCCACTTCCGAAATTCAGGAAAAAATACTCACAACTCTCCAAAGTGTTTGAGACACACATCAAATGAAATATTATTTTTTATTTTCATCTTTCATTTTCTGTTCAATTTTCTTTATGGTTAAACAAAGATTTTGGAAGAAAATTTCATCCAAAAATGATCACCCATAAAAGTAGTACTGTAGCCCATCGCCATTTTGAAAAAATGATGCCTGTGCTCCATTGCAAAATAGAGTAAATTTAGCTCCCAATTTCGTCCAAATTTCTCCAAAAATATGAGCTGGCAGCCCTATTAACAGCATCCACTTTTTTTTTACAAACCTGCAAGTTCATGGTCCATTAAATGCTCTAATAGCAAAACAAATTGCGATTTGGCCAGCGTAGGCAATTTCGGGTCTTTTTACTGGCCTGCAACCCTCGAAAATGAAAAGATATCCATCAAATTCCACCGAATTCTGTAAGATTTTGTAAGATTGAAAAAAAGGTAGAGCCCAGCGGACTGAATCCCTTTGAAAGAATAAAGACTGTGTTATTGGTTTCTTGCATTTAACTACAGATTCATCAGGAGGGTTAGGATTAATTTCTGTAAAAAAAAAAAATTTACTTAAAGAAATGGTACATTTGAGAATCATAATTTTTTTTTTATATATTTTTTATTGTCGTTGCATTTTGGGGGGTTTTAGCAACAAAAAAATTGCTCAAACTCCCGTAGTATGCTTGAGTGAGTTGAGTGAACCTCAACAAATAGATGCCATGTGGATCTTGCATTGTTCAGTCAGATAAATGACAAACATGCTCAACTTGAAACTGCCTCATTAACTTTGTCAGGCATAGCTGAACATGCTGGTCATCCGAGAGGAAGCAGATAGGCTGGCACCCTGTACTTGCCAGAATTTAGCTGATATTTAATACTGGTCCGAAATTGCCTACGCCGGCCAAATCACGATTTGCATGCCCTCAAAATCTTCAGTATTTGAGCATGCTGTGGGCCATGAACTTGAGGGTTTGTAAAAAATATGGGTGGAAGCCGTGCACAGGACTGTGAGCTTGTAGTTCCGTTCAATTTGGATGAAATTGGGGCCCTTAAAGCGCTCTATTTTGCAATGGAGTGTAGGCATCGTTTTTCAAAATGGCAATGGGCTTCAGGACTATTTTCAGGGGTGATCATCTTCGGATGGAAATTTGATCCTAAAAGTCATTAGTTGACCCCGAAAATTGAAAAGAAAATGAAAAATGATGAAATAAGCTTTAATTTGATGTGTGTCTCGAACACCTTGGAGAGTTGTGTTTTTTCCCCGAATTTCTGAAGTGGGAGCATTTACCATTGGGGTCTATGGAAGTTTATTTACTGGTCTGTAACATATAGGCTTATAGGGCAGTTTTACTGGCACCCAGCCACTTTCTGACTTCAGTTTAGGAGCTATTTTATATCCAAATTTGTTGCATTATGTTACATACGAAGAGCGAATGTTTATGAGTGCAATGGTATAACTTCATTTATGAAATGGTTCTTTTTTATACAACACCTGAATGAATCCCCGTCATCTGATTGGTGGGTCATTGATCACATGTCATTGAATTATTCATTCAAACCCATGGCCTGACCGCACTGCAAAAATGGTAAACGGACCTGTGGCTCTGACCAAACAGATAACGAGGATTTATTCAGGTGTTGTATAAAACAAGTAATGAATGGTTCAGATTCGTGCAATGGAAAGAATAATTTCATTCGTGACAGGTGGAATGTTGCATACCACGAGGGCAAATGCATCTGTCTTCTCATAAAATAATTCTCACCACTGCACTCATAAACATTCATTATTTGTATACCATTTTTTATTTCACCAGAGCACAGATTTGCTATTCCATTCCTTTTTTGGTTCATTCATGTGCATTTTGTTGCAGTTCGGTGTGCCAGTGTTGGTGGGCCTCGGTGTTCTCGCCGCCACCATCATCATCGGCAAATATTTCCTGGGGGGTAAACGGAAGCCGGCCGGCCCGCCAAGAGCCCTGAAAGACCCAGAGACAAAGTTCCCATTTGAGTTGGTCGACAAGGAGGTAAGACATTAATGGCAAATGGAGTTGGAAACATTTTTGTTTGCAATTTTTTAGTCGGGGAGGAAGGAGGGATTAGATAAAGAATAACGCTCTCAGCCTTTTTGTGGTGTGATTTTTGCTGATAGGAATGATAACATTTGGGCAATCCAGCATTATGTAATATCCATGACAGCTTTTAAGAGCTCAATGAATAAATCTGAAAATGCATTTTACAAATCTGATACATCCATCATCTAGTAATGGTCAAGGAAATTACAGACTAGGAGTTTGGATCATTTCTCTGAATCATGAACTAGATATCATGGTTAATTGGCTCTGTCATGGACATTACACTTCATTTTAACGCTGGAATTGCCCAATCTGAGCGTTTTGGGGCTTAGAGGTCGTCTCACCACTCACATATATTGATTTTATTAAAGTTAATGCCTAATAAAAATCTGCTGGTATTTAAAAATATTTTCCTTATCAGGTTTTTGTCGTATATTTAGATCAACAAGTACTTGGTGGAAATACTGCAGATAAAAAGAGTTAAAAAAAGATTAGGATCGTTGGCCTCCATGGAGTCTGAGTCACGTAGACATCCATGCCATAGCACAACTATCCAATATACACACACATACAGTGTAGAATCTATGTACAATTGAATGAACAATTAAATGAAAAGGAAGTAAAAAAAAAATAGCTTCTCATCCGGGTGTTTTGGAGAAAGGAAGAAGGCAGCCCTTTTTTTGTTCTTAAATGGCATTTTTCAAGATAGCAGATGGATTCTTGCATTTTCTCGACTCTTTTCCGGATACGTTTGTGTCCAAGGGAGCCGTGGCCCTTTCTACCATGATTCTGAACTTGCATACATCATAGCTACAATTTTGCTGGAATCAAATAAAAAGACAAAAGATATTGATAATGGACGATTCAAAAAATAAAAGTTGACCGGAAAAAAAGAAGCGGCGGGGACAATAACTGGTTTATTTTTTTCGAGTGTATGTACCATCAGGTGCATTCCCAACTTTGAATTTATTGGGGTTTACAAAATCTTGGCTTCATTTCCAGCTGTGGTTTTAGGCCCAGTTTTTAATAATTTTAGGCACCTGTCATAGGACACAATCTCAGTATTGGGTCCATATTCTGATACTTGCTGAATATCAAATTGTTATTATAGTGTGAAATCCAATGTTAAAGTATGCCTATTCAGTGTAAGAATGAAAATCTCCTATGGAACTGGTAACAAGCCGAAGCCACATGTGCAGCCGAGTTTTTGAAAATGGCCTTTGTTGGTTTGTAGTCAGACACCTTTGCATTTATCTCTTTCAATTGTCAGATTGTGAGTCATGATACCAGACGCTTCCGCTTTGCCTTGCCTTCCAAAGATCACATCCTGGGTCTTCCAGTCGGTGAGTCAACATTGTTGAAATTTGGGCTTTGTTCTCCAGGTTTGGCTTCAGGAAATGTTAAGGCCCTTGACTCAGGCAGTAAAGGCAACTTAATACACCGATCTAAGCCCTGCCTAATGGTGCTTTGGTTCAAAGCAGCAATCGTGTAAAGTTCATGTTCCATCCATAAGGGTTGGTGGTTCGACCATCCTGCCATCTAAACAAGTCAGAAATCTCGGCATTATCTTTGATTCATCTCTATCCATGGAACCTCACCTTACATCAATCTCTAGATCAGTCTGCATGTCGATCCGTAACATCGGACACATACGAAAATATCTTGACAAACACACAACTGAAATACTTGATCACGCTTTCATCACATCCAAAATTGACATGGGCAATTCACTATTGTATGGCATTAACCTAAATCAACTAAACCGTTTGCAGCGACTACAAAACATCAGTGCCAGACTAATCTCTCTCACTAGTAAACATTCTCACATCACTCCTGTACTAGCAGATCTCCACTGGCTTCCAGTATTATACAGAATCAAATACAAACTTGGCCTATTCGTGTTCAAAATCCTCCACAACAATGCACCGGAGTATCTCATCGACCTCATCCACCCGTACTCAACAGCACGCACCGGACTCCGCTCCAGTGAGCTCATGATGCTTCACGAGCCCAGGACCTCCACTCTTTGGGGTGACAGATCCTTTGCTGCAGCGTCAACCCGAGTGTGGAACCAACTCCCTCTGGCTATCAGATCATCTCCATCCATCACATTTAAGACAAACATAAAATCTCACCTGTACAAACAAGCTTACTCTCACAACACACAATCCTTACTTGACTTTCTCCTCAAGCGCCATGAGTACCTTTTTTAGGCGGATGCCGGCACTTTACAAATGTTCCTTATTATTAATAACAGCCGTTATAATGTCCAGCATGTGTGCACATGAAGTCTGACATGCCTGAATGGCGCGCATAGCTGGAACATGCGCTTTGGCATTGCAGATCAACTTAGTGGGCGGGGGTTAATGGATTGGTCTATTGAGTAGATGTCCACGTCCTGCTCCAGAAACAGTAAATCCGCAAATTTGATGAGGCCAAACACGAGGCCAACATTTAGAGCAGTTTCATTTTTGTCATTAAAGGCGTCTATGATTCTTGAAGCCTGGCATTTAGCAAAAGCTGCAGACGAAACCAAGGTTTCTAAAATACCCAATTGGTTGTCAACTCTATGCAAAAATACATGTACAGAGGGTGATCTGAAACTTTACACTTGCTGATTTTGGGTGGGGTCAAAGGGATCTGACTCCTCCCCATTTTGTAATGATGGGGATCAACCCCTATCACGCTTTAGTTGGTCTTTGTTCTTACTTTGTTGTGTTTGTGGGCAGTTAGTGGACAACAATTGTCCGCAGCTTTTCTTTGAAAAGGAGCAATGCATGAACTTCAAACTTTGTATGAGCATCAACCCTGAAACAGAGATGTGCATGCATACTTGTGTGAAGTCACGATAGCATCATCCTGTATCAAAGTACAAGCTAGTTCAAAAGAGTGACTGTATTGTTTCAATCCAACGGCTCATGACTCAGGCGCGGTTCTAGAGCCTATATTTTTGGGGGCTAGCTGGGGTGGATCCAGAAATTTGTGCAGGAAGGCGTGCTGAAATGTAGACAGTTTTTTTTCTTGGGACACTTATTAGGCCTCCGAAAATCAATCAAATGCCACTACCATATTTTTTAAGGGATTTTTTTATTGGGGGGGGGGGGGCTTAACAACTTTTTAAAAAGGTAAAGGTCCCATAGCCATTACTGGCCGTAGGGGCAGTGGGATGTTAGAGGTCCACTGTGTCTTGGGCGCGGCATATGAGTGGCGGGGCCCAGTCCTCTCCTCTCGCCGTCTTACCATCCCTGAACGAATCAGGTACCCATTTTACTGTTGGGTTGTCAGAGAGAGTTTTCCAGTTTTTGGTCCGAATGGGATTCGAACCGCCAACGGATGGGATTCGAACCGCCAACCTTCCACTCCATAGCTCCACGCTCTAACCACTCGGCTACAAGGCCCCTCGTTTTTGGGGGAGGCTAAAGTCCCCCCCCCCCCCCCTTAGAACCGCACCTGTCATGACTCCTCCCCTTGGTTGGTTTTTGATTTTGTTTTTACACAAAAGGATTTAACCCATTGGTCTTCATACCACCCCAAACCAAGCTGCCTGCTATTCCTAAGTCCGCCTCAAATCGCCTCGCACTCTTTGGTTTCAGTAGTTCATGTAGGAGTCAGTACAGTGTCAAACAATTTAATACAAATTCCTAAGACTAAGAGTTAAGATTGAAAAATCAGTTATGTCTTCCTTTATTTGCTGAATTGACCCGCAGGTCAGCACATCTATCTGACGTGTCGCATCGATGGAAAGCTGGTCATCCGACCCTACACTCCGGTGACTAGCGATGATGATAAAGGATACATGGACCTTGTTATCAAGGTATAGCCATCTGATGATCTCCATGTCAAACATCTGCATAGCTCATTAGCCATTCCAAGGCCAAGTTCGGGCAAGGACCATTAGTCGACTAGTGGTTGATTTGTGACGTACCTTACGCCTGCGCACTAATAGCAACGTGCGAACGTCTCTAGTCAAACGCTGGTCAAAATGTCATTGCAAAACGTCTAGATCCTGGCTCCCTGCTGTACGTTATGAACGCGCGCGGCTATGGTTACCAGCGAAGCAACCAACCCCAGTAGGTTGGTTCCAAGTAGTCGACTAGCGTAGTTAACCATCGTCGACTAGACAGAGTTTGGGCAAGCGTTAGTCGACCAATGGTTAACTATAGTCCTTGCGCGAACTTGCCCCTAGCTGTACAAACAAGTGAAGCTACGTACTGGTTCCCAACCGATTCCTCCATTCAAATGTGGAGAGGGAACCAGTTTGAACCACTCCCACTGTTTAAAAACAAATTGAAATGGAACCGTATTGCAGCATACGAAACATTATATTTCTAAACAGAAAATTTATATGAAATAAATTTTTTGCCATTTTAATTTGTTTGATTACAAGAAAATAATATTTTGAGTAAAAAAGTGAACATGTCAGTTATATACATGTAACATCTTCTTTAAAAATCTATAATGAAATGGTAATATGGTGGACAATGACTTCATTTCTAACAGATATCGGGCTATCCAGATTTTTTACAAGGAGATAAGTGATTTAAGTGGTATAGCCAGCAACCAGGTAAAAGGCCGCTGATCATACTCCGCGCAATCGAAAATGTGAATTTGTGACGTCATGTCATGTTTTCGTACTACGAATTTTCAAAAGTCGAATATATTTCAAACTTTTCAACGAATATTTCACGACGTCAAATTCTATTTGTAATTTGGCAAATCTGTGAATGGGAGCACGCACGCGCGGTTGCTTTTATCGATTCGGTGCGTGACATCCCGTCCCTGCAATTAGCTGAATGAAAATGTGTTCTGTATCCCGATTTTGGGTGCAATTCAAAACATGACTTGGTAACTTTGAATTGAAATTGAGATCCTAGGATATTGTTTTCTCAGAATATACAGCATTCGCTGAGCTAAAACTTCATTAAGCTAGTTGTTAAGCATCCGTCTATAGACTTTGAGCAGTTTTGTTGCTTCAAACGTAAACAAAATTCACATATGACAAATATCTACCCTGCCTTTAACTATAGTTCGCGCCCGAACTTGCTCTATGCTATGAATCAGTGTGACTCGCGAGGTTCAGATTGATTGAGCTCTCGGATCCAACTCTCATTTCCTGTTACTCATTACTCACTTCCTGCCTGTCACTCACTACTCACCGCTAGGTGTACTTCAAGAACGTCCATCCCAAGTTCCTGAGGGGGGTAAGATGTCTCAGTATCTGGACAACATGGCCATCGATGATGTTATAGGGTTAGGGTTTGGGTTAGGGTTACTCATTACTCACTTCCTGTTACTCACTACTCACCACTAGGTGTACTTCAAGGACGTCCATCCCAAGTTCCCTGAGGGGGGTAAGATGTCTCAGTATCTGGACAACATGGCCATCGGTGATGTTATAGGGTTAGGGTTTGGGTTAGGGTTACTCAATACTCACTTCCTGTTACTCACTACTCACCACTAGGTGTACTTCAAGAACGTCCATCCCAAGTTCCCTGAGGGGGGTAAGATGTCTCAGTATCTGGACAACATGGCCATCGGAGATGCCATCGACGTACGAGGGCCTAATGGGCTCCTAGTGTACGATGGATGCGGTAAGTGGCGTCCATCATTCTCAGTCCTGGGAGGGGGGATGTGGAGGGGGGAGGGGGGATGTGGAGGGGGGGGGGGATATCCATCCCAATCATCCCTCTTGGGTCTACCCTTGCAGTACATTTCAAGAAATGTTCACCCCCGTTTTTCATGTCATTGGGGCTCACGTTCCAGTCCGAATTTATCAAATTGTTCCACATTTGAGATTTTTTGTTTCGGTGCATTGACTGCAGGCAAGTTCAGCATCAGGGAAGACAAGAAGGCAGCGCCTGTGACCAGGAATGCCAAGCAGATAGGGATGATCGCTGGCGGAACAGGTAAGCGCATTATAGCGCCCTCTTTTGATAACAACAAAAGATATTGACATCGAAGTTGGGCCAATTATCAGTGGCAATTTGGTGGATCCCAGAGGGCCAGCGTAGTGTCCACTTTGCACATTTCTCACTGACTTGACTCATTGACTGACTGTCACTTGTGAACCGGGCAGTGCTATCATATAGGATTACCTTGTAACACCAATGAATGGGCTAAATCCGACCCATTGTGTAGACCACTAGTCTAGAGGCTAGACGTTTGTTATGGTTTGATACGTTATAACCCATCGCCGCAATTACCCGCCACCGCGAGAGGGCGTTATCACAACCAACCAATATCACCCATGAATCTGTCAGGAACAAGGTCTAGGCCAATTCGTACTGGCTGTGTAATGCGCGCGCATTTGGCCTAATATATGCAGCGCGCATTCAAAACATTTCATTGTAGTTCCGAACCAATCTGTTAAATTTCTTCCAGTAGTATAAAAGATGCAAGACTTTTGTGCAAGTCAGCTCTTTTAATGTGTGTAGTGTGCGTGTGGGACTGAAAATGGACCGTAATTGCCTGCAGAAGTAGCGCATGCACACTAGTTTCCCCATTTTTCGGGGGGGAGAGAGATTTTATGAATTTCCCTAGATGCTGTTCGTGACCGGTTCATGGGTGATATTAGAGAGGTTTCGCATGCAAACGGATACGTTGAGTGCGACGGATACGTCATCAGTTACGTCATACGCCACTCACTATCCGCTAAACGTGCAGACGACACGCATATCTCGCTTGCTACACGTAAGTAAAAAACGGATACGGATAGCTAAACGTATAAGTGTAAGCGTATCCGTTCGCTTGCGAAACCTCCCTGTTGCTCTCTCGCAGCGGCTGGTTATCACGGCGGCAGGTTATCACGGCGGCAGGTTATTGCGTATCAAACCATAACGTCAACCCTACACTAGTAGACCACATGCATGAACAGATTTCCCATGAATAGCCATTTTGAATCAAATAAAATATGTATGCACTCAGGGACCAGTCTCGTGAAAGGAAGGGCTAGGCCTTGTGGTATTACCAATTACAATACAAATCCTATAGGAGATGAAATTGACAGGGGTCTGGAATTTGGGTCTTAAATCTGGGTCAAGAGTTCAGCCCAGGCTATAGACCATTATCATGTTGCGGCCATCTTGATTTTTTCCCTTTCAAATCAATGTAACCAAAGCGAGGCTGAAAGGAAAAATAGTCTGGTTCCTTTTTGCGCATTATCATTCAGTACCGATATTGGATACAGGGAACATGACTGAAATGGTGGCAGCATGATAAAGGTCTATAAAGGGGAATTCACCACGCTATTCGGCAATGTTTCAACAGGGAACTGTGTGAAAATGTACCCAAAAAAATGATGGAGTAATTGTAAATTATTAAATCAAAATTGTGTTGCGATCAAGCTACATAAGTCGTTTGTGGACCCTGGTTAATTTTTTTAATTTTTTTTTTTACTGATTTCAAAAGAGCACGATCTCAGCATTACTGCTGTGAAAACCGCATGCTGATACCATCTTTAGTTCAAAAACTACGGAAGTCGAAACACCAAGAGATGTGATGAAGTGATGTGATGAAGTGGCCCTATTTTGGTCTGTATCTCCACACAAAAATTTCTGACAAACGACTCATTTAGCTTGATCGCATCACAAGTTATTTCTGTTTGTATCCAGGGATTACCCCGATGCTGCAGCTGGTCCGTCAAGTCCTGAAGGACCCTGATGATAAGAGTCAACTATGGCTGCTGTTTGCCAACCAGGTAAGGCAATGAGAACCAATGATGCAGGGTACCAGGAATTATTTGGGTTTTTTTGACAGGCCAAAAAATGTGACTATGTTGTCCTGATTACTGTTTAGTTTACATCAGTAATATATTGGATGGAGCAGTGAGGGGGGGGGATATTTAACCCCCCCCCCCAATATTTTTTAAAGACTGCCTTTTTCCATTCACATGCCCTTTTTTTCAACAACGTTTAACCCCCCCCCCCCAATATTTTGTAATAAGTGGATGTGCAAGTGCCCTTTTCAAAAAAAATTTAACCCCCAATCAAAATGACCATGCTACGCCCCTGTGGTTGCCCACTCCCCCACCCCACCCCCACCCGGCAGCACTTGATGCAGGCATAAAACAAAAAAACCCTATTTTTTTAAGATGGTTTCAGACTGTTTAGACTCAATAGAGAAAAGTCTTAAATATCCCCTCTGCACCCCACCCCCAATGTCTTATTCATAAGTGAATACCTTTTGTATTGCTAGAAAAAAAGCAATTTAGAAAAGGAATCTGTTTTTCAGGATGGAACTCGATAATAGCAGGGGAGCGCACCTTTAACATTATTTTATTAAAACAAAAACCCTTGGTTTTGTGTCTCTTTTGGGAATTACTCTTTAACCAATCGGATGTCTTGAATTGATTTCTTGGGCAGACTGAGAAGGATATCCTGCTGCGGCCTGAGTTGGAGGAGATCAGTCAGGAACATGGCGACCGCTTCAAGCTGTGGTACACACTGGACAGGCCGGAGGAAGGTAAAAAACCCCGTCATTCGATTGGTGGGGCCTTGATCACATGTCATTGTCCCTGCTCGTTATTGCTTAGCACATAAATATTCAAACGGACATTTCGTTGACAAGTTAGGCCCCCCCCCCCCCAAAAAAAGTCTCCGGTTTCTAGTCTGCGCACGCATTGCCGTAGCCATGCGCGTCGGCAAATTTTTAAAAAAAAATGTTCAATGTAAGATGATGTCTCAAAACCGCCAAACTCACTAGTTTGACTGGAATCCTGCTGCTGCACAATTTTAGCATGTTTTTCTGGGCTCCCATATATTTTGCACCAAATTTAATCGGGCACCATTTGCAGACGGTGTTGTAATTTTGTAATTGTGCATCTAGAAGCCAGACTGAGGGAGCGATGGTCGTCTGTAAATGCTTTGTAATTAGTGCAATATGTAAGGGAGCAGACTAATGACCAGCCTGGCAGCACATGCACGATCTCGATGTCGCTGTATGGTCTGACATTACTTATTTTTGTCTTGACTATCCAAATTTCCCAAAGAATGTTCGTGTTGGTCGAGATTGTAAGTGGGTGCAAAATTCTCAGGCCTTACTGAGGTCACCTCAAGCTCCACCCTAAAGGATATTTGTGACAGATTTAAGGGGATCAAAGCGTCATCTGCAACATCAGCCGACATTTGAAGAAGAAAAAAGTATGGGGGGGGGGGGGAAACATGTGTTGCCGCACCACTTTTGGGGCAAGCTCCATACCAGAAACCGGAGACTTTGTTTTGGGCCTCCTGGCTTGTAGAAATGTCAGAAAAGTAAAATGCATTTGTACTGAGAAAACGGCCTTTAAAGTGTCAAGTTTTGTAGTGGTGAAAATTAAAATTTGTTTTTCTTAAAAACACTGTTATTCTGCATATTTTGTACTATTTTTAAAAAATATGTGTAGTGGACATCAAAGATTACAAATATCAATAAATCTGAAAATCCAAAAAAGTCACCCCCATTCAGTTTTTCTTTTGCATTTTTCTGCACTATGACCTGTGCCCAGTTTTGCCTCATTTTGCCAGAACGCCTCACGAATTTGCTAAGCAAGGAAGCCACAGCTGGTGACTCATCCGCAGTTTGAGAAATGGCCTTTTTTTCCGATACTTTTTCCCATAGGCTGGAAGTACAGCGGGGGATTCGTCAATGAGGAAATGCTACGGGATCACATGCCTCCACCCAGCAGCGACACCCTCATCCTGATGTGTGGACCGCCGCCCATGATCAACTACGCCTGCATGCCTAACCTGGAAAAACTAGGCTACACGCCGGAGATGAGGTTTTCCTATTAGAGGCGCAGGAAAAAATACTGATTCCCAGACTTTCATTGGGAAAATCATTGAAGATTGCAGATGTAAAATTTGGATAGCGGGTTTCCTATATCAGAGGCACGGAAAAACTAGGCTACATGCCGGAGATGAGGTTTTCCCATTAGAGGCACGGGAAAAAATAATAAATCCCAGACTTTCATTGGGAAAAATCATGGAAATTTGCAGAAGTTAAAACATACTTTGGATAGAGAGGACATTTTTGGGGAAAAGCCAGGGGAAATTGATATGTATTTGGGAAGTTAACATACTTTGATGAGGTTTCCTGTAAGAATGTTTTCTTTATTCATTGTGAAAAATCATTGGAAAATTGGCAGGGGATGGGTAGAACTCCTTCATATAAACTGGGGAGAAAATACAGGGTGGCCCTCCAAAAGTTGTGCAAGCAGATATCTTTAAATATCTCAAAAAGTACCTAACATGAGTATTTCATTTTGATGGAGCATATTAATAAGCCTTTTCGGAGTTCCAACTGCGCATTCGTAACCTGTGACAACGCGCATTGTTTGTCTCAAATGGCCTTTGACAACATCGCGCCACTGACTTTACAAAAAGGCTGTTTGTGCATTGTGGGTACTGTCAAAGGGCATTTGAGACAAACAATGTGCGTTGTCACAGGTTACGAATGCGCGCGGTTGGAAATCCGAAAAAGCTTATTATACTCTTGTGTATAATCAGTGAAAATTCCATGGAAACCCATTCATGCAAACCAGAGCTGTAACAGATTATAAAAGGATACCATTCCAATGGGAAGTACACATTGCATTAGAAATCACACTCTTTTCATTAACTCTGTAAATCACATTGGAGCGGGTGATAAACACATTGCCATTTATAATCTATTCTATTTCTGGTTTGCATGAATAGATTTTCATCACATTTTTGCTGTGATTATACACAAGAGTACAAACAATATACTCCATCAACATGAAATGCTGATGTTGGATACATTTTGAGAAATTTAAAGATGTCCGCTTGCACAACTTTCTTGGGGGTCACCTTGTAATTGGAAAACTAGTATTGAGTCTTCCGGGAAAAATAGGTGGGGTTTTCTGTTTGGAACTAAGGAAAGAATTTCTTGACTTTCAAAAAAAAATTGGAAAACTAATTATAGGAACTTGATGTTTACATTAAAAGAAGCACAAACACACATGGAGGATGTTTGAAATTTCCCATAATATTCAAATTTGGGAAGAGTGTTTGGGAAAGAGGTACTTATAATTTGGGAATGTGAAAATTCTGACTTCAGGTTTCCTGTTGGAGACATAGGAACAAGTTTCCTAGATATTCAGGGAAGTCATTACGGAAAATCATTGAAATTTACACTCGACAGTGTGTGGGGAAAATGGAATTTATTGAAGCATGCTACCATAGGTGATGTTTGGTTAAGGAATATTTGTATTCTTGCTTGAAGTAAAAAATAACAGAAATCTTTTATTGCCGCTTTTTATAAAATAGAAAAAACTCAGATAATCCTCAAGCAATATTTTCTAAAATAAAATTTCGGAAGATGATTTATTTTCAATGATTCAGTTTTACTACAAATACTTAAAAGTAGAAAATTAGTAAACATGTAATTTAGTGACTTCATTTTGTAGTTAGTTTACAAGCATGGTAGTTTGTCAAGTTCATTATAAAAGTACAATTGTTAATAATTTGGTTCACTTGAAATACCCAAAAGGCACTTTTAGTACTGGTTACATAATGAAACCATTTCCGAATACATTTTGAAGGGGCCATGAGATGAATTTTTCTTGGGAACACATTTTGTGCAACTTTCTACTGCTTTTAAAAGTATGAAAACTTTCAACATCCCTTTTTGGTTAATTTTATTGAAAAGTGCACTTCTATAGTTAAACATTTAAAAATTGTCCATGCTTTTCTGGACAGCTGAGGGCGCTGTTGCTGTGATGTCATTTCAGGAAGACACTGTTCACTTTAGGGGTTTTCTGTTCAAATTGTGAAACCAAAATTTGCTCATTGAAAACATTTGTGAGAAACGTTTGCTCATTGGATAAACTGCCATGTCATGACAACCAAAGAACAAATATACGACAGCAAACATCTAAAATTCTGGCAATTTTTGGTGCTAATTAGCTGTAGCAGTGAGGTTTTAGCCTGAACTGACATCAGGGCACGTGAATACCCTTGGAAATGGCAAAACAAAAAATACAAATGGGACACAAAAGTGCATTTTTAAGAATCGCATAAAATACATTACTCATTGCATGGGCCCTTTAAAATCACCGATCAAAATTCATGGTGAATTAGTATAAACTATATATATACAGTAAAATTTCCCCAAAAAGGAATGCAAAATGTACCTGCAGTTTTTGCGACATGTTCATGTTTATTCTAACGCTTCTTCCTGGTCGAATAAATTAACATACATTTTCTGGTGTATTAATGCAGTGTGGTGTTTTGAGCAAATTTGGACTTTAACCCCTTGATATTTTTGAGCTATTGATATATGTTGCAGTCAAATAAAACCACTATGCGCACAAGCTCATGTTTGTCTTTGATGTTGTTTTGTTTTTTCTTCCGAATTCTCAATGTAAAAAAATTATGAATCTCTATACATGTATTCTGCGTCTGCAATCATCTGGGGAAAAAATAGTTTTATGCTGGGGTGGTTTGCAAACACAAAAAGGACTGAATTATTGTTGGGTCGCAAACAATTCTTTCATGGCAATTTATGGCAACTTCAGGGCAACTTTTTTGTTCTTCGTTGATGTTTAACTCAAAATTAGAACAGCAATGATTAATTCCACTGGTGCTACGAACTTGAAATATAAGGGTCACAAAAAACTATATAATCCGAGGCATTGTCGAGGATAACACGAATAAGCTAACATCAGCTCATTTTCACTGTGACCTCTACATTCATAAAAATACAGTGATTTAAGATACATTCATAAAAATTAAACTGCAAGAAGTCCATGGCATATGAAATTTAGGCACACATGTACACGATTGAGATAAAACAAATAATTAGTACATAAACTGCAGTTTGGAAAAATTGAAGTTTAACCAACAAAGCCACAAACACTGTCCATAAAATACTATTGAAGTACATCGTGTACATATGTTGTCCTGTTAAGGAAAACCATCGAGTGATCACTTAGCCCGAGAGGAATGACATTAGAGACATTTATTTTGCCTTGAGTTGTGAGGAAGAAACAAGATCAATACTTGTGCTGGAGGTTGGTGTGACTCTTGTTGGACTGCCAATATCAGTTGCTCAACTTGAAATTCACAACAGAAATCGTCAATTTGTGAACGCTCTACATAATCGAATATATTAAGGTTAAAGTCACAACTATGAGCAATTCCTGATTCCCAAAATTACTTTGATTCATCACCTTTTTAAGATTTAGCAGATGTTCACAACGTTTGTTTGGAGGTAAATAACACCTTAAACAATCGGGTTACAGTTTTTCTGTTTAAACATCTATCCAGCAAGATTCGATGACGCTGTGAATTTGTGACATCATTGTGATAATTAAGCAATGGAGTTAGAGATGTAACATGTAACTCCATCCCTTACGATCATTACGAGTTACAGTGTAAGCTTCGATGCTAATTTCAGCATCATCGATAACCACTATGGAGCCAAGTTTCGCTAAGGGTGAGTAGATGGATAGGGTTCTCTGCTAAAAGGAGACACAAGTGTTCAATTTTTGGAAAGAGGCTTTGCACATTTAAATCTGCAATTTTCAAGCCTCTAACATTTTTGAGTTGGTCGAGCTTGGATTGTTCCCCTCTCCTGGGAATTCTGTGCGAATACTCCACATTGGTATTGTCACACATTTGACTGTTCGGGCCACACTTTCCCTATCACCCTTTACCAGTTTATCTTGCGTTATTCCCTCACATATCGGCGCCACTCTGATTCTCTGATACCTTGCCCTGTTTAATCCCTCTTTTGTGTTTTTCTCCTTTTTGGGCTTGCAAGCTTTTGTTCACTTTCCCCTACACGGTTGTTTCTGTACCACTGTCATTTTGTTTCTTTGAACGTTTGTCTTTAAGAACGGTCTTACATATTATTTCGGTTGTGTACTACATGTATATGAACCTAGCAACCAGTTGTGTAAAAAAAAAAAATAACAAGTTGTATAATATTTTACACAAGTTGTGTAATATTTTACACAAGTTGTGTAATATTTTACACAAGTTGTGTAAACAACAGTTTACACAACAGGTTGCTAGATTCATATAGTACACAACGGTTTGATTTTTACACAACCGAAATAACATACAACCAAAATGTTAGGCCAGCTGATTTTGCTGATGATTTTAACAGATACAGATGATTTTAACAGATACACTTAATTAAAATAAGTAATGAGAGAAGCCGAATCTATCTAACGTTCAAACAACGGTAAAATACAGCCATTGATTACAATGTTGTTTCTACTGATTCTTTTGTCTTTATGTACTGTCCGAAGCAACTAAGATTTACACTAAATAAAGTAATAACCCTTAAAAATCCTAGACTTTAGCATTTTATAACCACTCCATTTGAAACTCCTGCATCCACCTCTAAAATCCATAAGAATATTTTCCCTAATTAGTCACCATAATCAATTCGTTCTATGAAATAAAAATATGTTTGGCTCTTTTTGGGGGGTATAATTTTTTTTTTTTAATAATGAATAAATGCGACGAGATTACCACACGTGATGCGTTTTACGCATGCGTGTTGTTACCTGATGACTGGATCGGAGCGGAGTCCAGGAGTAGAACCTTCAAATTAAGATGCGGCAGGCGCGGTTCTACGGGGGGGGGGGGGGGGGGGCTGGCGGGGGGGCTGTATCCCCCCCCCCACATTTTTTGTCTAGCCCCCCAAAAATAAATTCCGTAAAAAAAAATTGCATTAGCAAAAAGAAGGATTGTAATGTACATGCGAACGGTCTCCCCCTAAAGAAGAAATAGCCGTGGCAAGGGTGCATTAGTTAATATAGTGTGAATGATTTTAGGATTTTATAGGCGCTCTCCATTGAAAATATAGATAATAGTGTCTGGAAAAAATAACCGGTAGAACGCCTCCCTGAAAAAAATCTGGATCCACCGTGCTAGCCCCCCAAAAATATTGGTTCTAGAACCGCGCCTGGTGTCATCTTGTTGATCCTCTGGTGCATCGGACTGATTTTGTGCTTGGGGCGCCCCCTTCAGCTGAAAATGACAATTCATTAACATCATGAATTCCAGACATCACGTTTAGGTTCATGTGATCATTTGCTTTTCTAGTTTTCGTTTGAAGCAACAATGCTGCTCAAATTATCCGATAATACATAATTTTTGATGATACACTTCGCTGTAGCAAGTTCAATCGCCAGAACGTTTAAAACTACGAGCAAAACAAAATTATTTACAAGAACAATTCCACCGCCAGAATTATGAGGTCCTCACAGGAATCCAGTCCCAATAGTGTGCGGTTCATGGTTAAAACTTCTGGTGAATATCTGAAGTAGTCACTAGTTGATTTTGTACGAACCGTGAAGATGAACAGGTATATACAGGCTTTACTTATACCATAAAAAAGACAATGTATGAACAGAATGTCATAGTTTTGTAAAGTTCCATTTTTGTTTATTTAGGGCCTATTTTTTTTGGGGGGGGGATCTGGTTGAAAACTGTACCTACATGCAAGATGTATATCAAGGTTATCATATTTCCGAAGAAAATCATTTCACTCTATTCTACTGAAACTAGACAAGACTTTAGTAGAGTGACATTAATTATCTAATGGATCGAGTTTTTGCTCGAGTTTCGACCGGATTGATTCTGTTTGAAATCGTTTCAAACTAAAATTATAGTGTTTTAAATTTTTTGGCTGCTTGAGGTCAATCTCGAGAAACACGAGAGATAATTTGACAAACAACATAACTTCCAAATTACCTCTTCAATTTCCGCCTGGAAAGGAGACCGCAAAAGTTCCTCGAAAACGTTCAACGCCGAGTCAGCAGTGCTGTTGATCAGTTTCTGTTCTCTCTCAGCTGGCTCGCTCACCGATCGGTGCGCATCTTGAATACGGTCATTCTTCAGCTTAAAAAAAGAAGAGAGAAACAGCAAGTCTGCGTAAACCAGCTCGTAACCAGTGGAGGGGTACACCAACTATTCTATAGATCTGTGGACCGACCCACCCCGAAGTCGAAATGGGTCTAATTTTAAAGCCGTTCTTTCTGTTATCTTAATAACTTTCTGCTTTTTTTTTCATTACAAATTCTTTCATCATGTGCTCTTACAACTTCTAACTAAAGTACAGTTTTTAAAAAATGCCAATTTTTTAGTTAAAAAAAACAAGAGCCACCGCTCAGAAGGCTAGCTATGGGCTGACTGATCCACTCTGTAGCTCTGACAATGTCTTGGACGATTCTCGCTCGTAAAACATTAAAATCTCTCATAAAATGCACCAATGCTGGTTGGTACATCAGAACACTTACATCATCGAATGCCTTCCTCTGCGAATCATTCCAGCGAGGGAAGACAGGGCATCTTTTCAGAAGCTCCAAGATGGCATCGGGGTCTAGATACTCAGCCAAGTTGGCGCACTTATTGAAATCATCCAAGAAGGCGAGACAGAGGTATCCCTTTGGTCCATCGAGACCGTCCACCACCTCGGGATGTTTATCTTTCATCGTTGAGCTCACATTTTTTTCAAAATATAAGCCTTTGCTACGGCCTTGTTTCCAATCCCCTTTAATATTCACATTGATGAGCTCAATCCAACGGGCCTGTCGATCGGCACCACCTGCAGCATTGTTTTCCATTTTTTCTTTCAATGTTTTGTGGAGATCTATCAGCTTCTGATCCATTTCGAAGTACTTAATCAGTGCTTTAGAAGTGGACTTCAGCATTTTACGAGCTCCATCCGGCAAAGGGTTGTCCTGTGCCGTTTTGGCAGCCTATGGAAAATGAGACACACAGGCAATTTGGGTGAAATCTCTTATTGTACTATATATACCTACATAATGTACACCATGTACTGCTATACAATTTCAAACTGAAATACACTTTAAAGAGAGAATTCGAATGGGTACTGTACCTGATTTTTGTTGTATTCAACGTTCCTTTGTATTTCTTTTGCGATGGTGTCAAATGCTTTCAGATCACCTGTCCTCGAGATTCCCTCTATTTCGTTGTATACTCCAAGGGAAGAAGGAAAAATTGACGTGTTGCAATACTTCACCGGGACAACCATGGGCCGTTTTTCTTTCTCGATTTTCACCATAAGTGTCATTTCAGTTTCATAGTCATTCATGCCATTGTCGACGAAGGCATCGGTGACAATCAAGACGACGGTCCAGGAGTTTAGTATGAGCGATGTGCGAGATTTCAGCTTGCTTTGGCCGGCTATGAGTTCTCCATACGATTGGACCTTCATGTTCAGTTTCTCAAGTTCGCTTCTGATGCCATTGGCTTTGTCTTCATCAGCCTCATTGTAAAACAAACACACGTCGTTTTCTTTGCTGCCAGGCATGATTACTTCCGCGTGTGGTTCTGCTGTAATTCGCACGGGCAATTATAATGAACTCATACGGCGAATGATGATGAGCTTCACGACGAAAATCTAGATTGTAATGCCTTCTCACATCGGTATCTTCAGATATGCCACCTGTGATTCTTCACGAAACACGAACAGGATATACGGTCACGCATTAATACCATACCATCAGTTGCATGTCGGGCATAAATAGGTGCGAACATGCGCAATTCAAAGTTCAAAGTTAAACGGTGCCGTGTCGGAAAGGGCTGCGGTGTTTTATTGCAGCACACATCGTCAATGGATCATGATTATTCAGCTAGACGATATTTATTCATAAGAAAATAACAATGACGTCACACCATTGCTATCATAGTCAGTTATGCATGTCTGCATGTAGGCCTACATTAAAGCATTTCAAAGAACGGCTTTCGTCGAGCTGCCACAGTGGCCTATAGTGGACAGTGGAATGAACTATATGGATCGCAAGATCTATGTTCGTGTCATGTGCCTATATGTGCATATTCATTGAATATTTTTGTCCGTTGGAAAATAAGTTTAATTAAAGGAAAACACTAAGAGAAATGTCTTCCATGACCCAGTTGGATAAATATTCATGTAGGGGTGCGTGATGTGATTGGATAAAATACGACGTATGCTACCGAGAAAAAAAAATACGTAAACGTCTTCTGGAACTATACGGCTACGTACGTACGTCTACTGCCAGCCTGTGGCATCTACATTTTAATAAAGAACATAATATAGGTTTTCCCGGCTATTTAAAAAGATTTTTCATTCAATTTCACAAACTCTATCATTCAATTTCGGCCACGAAAAAAATCACACGTTTTTAAGACAGTCAATTTAGTCATTCCCAATTCAATTTCAAAGCATGTCATCCTCTTTAGTCACCGGGTCGAGAATATTCGTCATTACAGATCAAATTCGTCTAAGCTGTTGCCGAACGGCAGCATTCAGTGATAGAATTCGTCTTTATATCAATCACTTAGATTGATTTGATTGCTGAATATAACAGGGTTTGGCGTAGACGAGATGAATGTGAATTAATACGCCGGGACAAAAACGTGTGCTTATTTGTTTGAATCTGCTAGAACTGAATTTGAAATTGTCTGACAGAAGACGATATTAAACATTGGAAGAGTACTAAATCGATGTTGATGGACAAATTTGAATATTAAACAAAGTGATTTTGAATGATTTACGTTTGAAAATAGCCGGGAAAACCTATTGTTGTTTTTAAGAGGAAAAAATTACGATGGGAAGGGCTTGCGAAACAAGAATTCATGGCGGGTTCATGCTATGCGCCAGTTTTTTTTTTGTATATTCACAAACGTGATCAACAAACAAGACATGTTCGTCGTCGACATCATTATTCGTAGACAATTCAATTTGGTTTGTCAGTGAATTTCGTTGAACTTTGCCTTTCCCGCCATGTAAAGAAATCAATAACTAATCTCATACAAAATGGAATGATTAATAAGGGAATAAATGTGTGCTCGAGGGGTTTTTGTCACTCGTTTAATACCGCTTAGGCCAAAAATAAAAGTCTCCGGTTTCTGGTATGGAGCTTGCCCCAAAAGTGGTGCGGCGACGCGGCTTTTTTTTTTTTTTTACCTTTTTTTTTTTTTTTTTGGCTTCAAATGTCGGCTGATGACTGCAAATGGTGCCCGACTAAACTTAGTGCAAATATATGGGAGTCCAGAGAGGCCACATAAATCTTATTCTCGATCATAATCCCATCTAAAAACACGTTAAAATTGTGCAGCAGCAGAATTCCAGTCAAACCAGTGAGTTTGGCGGTCTTGAAACATCATTTTGTATTGAAAAAAAAAAATTCATTTTGCCGACGCGCATGGCTACGGCGACGCGCGCGCATACCAGAAACCGGAGACTTTTTTTTTGGCCTTATAGTCTGGGTGCTGATAATTACCCGAGCCGTAGGCGAGGGTAATTATCAGCACCAAGAACCTAAGCGGTATTAAACAGAGTGATAAATACCGACCGAGCACATATTTATTCCCATTCATAAATACCTTATCCGTAAAAAAATATCAAATAATTCGTTCAAAAAATCCCTGGCGAGTAAGATGTAAACAACCCATTTATGGAGATTGACGCGCGCGTAGCATGTTCTGCGCGATGTCACGCAGAACGCACCTGGGGCGTTGCGTTTTGAATTTAGAACTACTAGTGCAGGGCCAGTCGAAAATGTGCGTGTTCGGAAGGGGCAGTTGAGAACTGCAGCTCGTGCAAATAACGCACATTATTCAATGGTGTGAACGCACACTCGCAAGTTAAACGCACAAAATGTCGTCACCCCCGGCACTGATATTTACCCCTACTGGACAATATGGTATCGCCCTTCAACTGTTGGGCGTAGTTGTAGGGCGATACCATATTCTATTCGAGTTGCTCAGTCGACCGCCTACATACAGTACAGTGATGGTTGCTCAGTTGACTACAAAATGCATGTGCCCGTACATGCCACTCACGTATTTTATGTAAGTACGAAGACATGGTGTGCAGTGCTATCCTATCGCCCTACAATGTGCCCGTCCGTTTTGCATTGTTTGCGTCATATTGAGCACGCGCGCTCTTGCTTTTACATGACGTAAACAATTGAAAAGAACATCATTGCGCGGAGTTCTAGGCTATATTCTGGCGCGTTTGCCTCAGACAAAAATTCTGTCTCGCTTGTAGTGTTGCGCATGCCTACGTGAGGATTGTGAACGTTCAACCAATGAAACGGTAAGAGGCACTGGATTTTAGGAGTCCACATTTTATTGTGACACTGGAAAAGTGTTTAAGACCGCTAGCCATGTCTTTATCATCCGTTTAGGACCGGCACGTGACGGGCTCTCGACCAATAGGAATAGCTAAACTGTCCGAGGTATTTATGAATGACTATTAATAAATACCCTGGAGAGTTGATGGTTTCTGATTGGTCGAGACTCGATCACTTGGCCGGGCATTAACGGCGATAATGGACCGGCTTCAAAGAGCAAGCGAATAAATGGCCCCTGAACCAGCATTGATCCAGCCCCGTTCAGCCCCATGCAAGTCAATGATTGGTCAAAATATAGTAACAGTCCTGCGGTAGCTTGTAACAATAGAACACTGCACATGCGCTCAACCCCCATCGCGTGAGACTGACGCGCGCGTACGCAACGCAGTTGCTAGGGATGCGTGCGTACGCGCACGTAAGGAAGTTTTGAAACGACATCGTACAGCAGTGCAGTATATACTGAGGATGTTTACGACGAAAGCGTAGATCTACGATTTATTTTCTTTGAACACTTCACCCACCGACATATTTACCTTTCCTGAACCAAGCATCTTTGTAATTCCGGACACAAGGAATGTGTAAACGAGATTTCAGCTTCCTCCATCAGGTAAAGATATGAAAACAGTGTTGTAATTTGTTTCGCTATGGCAGCAGTTTCTGTTGAGTTTACGTCGTTATAGCTGTTAAGCTTAAATATGGCCCATGAACATGAACACAAAAAGTCTGGAAATATCGCCGAAAGAAAGTCACAAAATTGGAGCATTTTAACTGTTTATTTCGTTAAAAAGGTATTTATTAATGGGAATAACAGTGTGAGGATCCGGTCTTCACTGCGTGATAATGACCGGGTGTGGGGGTGACCGCTGTTAATGGACTTCGTCTCGGTCCATTAACAGCGGTCACCCCACACCCGGTCATTATCACGCAGTGAAGACCGGCTCCTCACACTGTTATTCCCTTAGTAAAACAGAAATTGAAAAACACAAGTCGAGGGGAAACTCGAAATAGCACGAAGAATGCATTTAGTTAAAGTGATCATCCGCTTTCCGCATTTCCGTGAATTATCAGGGAAATTCCAACTGAGACGACTTTCCAATAAAATAATCGAAATCTGAATCGACGAAGTAGGGACTGGAGACTACTAGCACACTGGCTATAGAAGGTGCGAGTCCATGCCATTGTACTGCTGTTTCGTCAGATGTGCGCGCAGGATCATTGTGGGGATATGAAGGACACACGGGTCCTCCACCCCAAGTTCATCAACATTAATTCATATTATAACCAAATTATGTAGCCCCTATCAATTATTGAAGTATTGAATGGGATGTGGGTGTGGAGTTGGCGTATGCGCTAAATCAACCGAACACAATGATGACGTCACAAGTCACATTTGCCCTATACCAAAGGAACTTGGGCCGGATTTTGTGAACTTGGGAAATTTATTCACGAAGTATACCCCAATCAAAATGTCGGGTCTTCGGTCATTCGCCCGTTGTTGCATCATAAACGTATGGACAGGAAAAAAACTAGACAAAGCAACAAAGGCTGTGGCCACGCGCTCTGTATTATGCTACGCGATACATACAAGCCCGGCTGTTGTTTTATTACAAAACACTGCATTCGAATTGACCAATCAAATACTTAGTCCTGATTTGGGAATGAAATGACGTCACGATTTAGTAAAGTCGACTCCGATTGGCTGAGGCGCGAGATCGCATAAATTTGCGTGTTTGATATATCAGACGTTAGGCAGGGGACTGGGCTCTGTGGATAACGGGTGATACTCAGACTACCAGAAGTGATGGTTAGTTAAGGAATATTTTGGAAGCATTCTTGTTTGAAATAACAATTCTTTTATTGGCGCTGCCTTTATATAAAACTAAAAAATCTGCAAATTCCTTAAACAATATTGTCTAAAGTAAAATTTCGGGACATGATTGGTGTACAATGATTCATTTTTACTACAAACATTAAAAGTAGAAATTGGTTGGCATGTAAATTTAGTTCTTTTTGTAGATATTCTACAAGCATGGTAGTTTTTTCAAATTAAATATGAAATTATAGTTGTTCAAGATTTTGAAGAAAAGGAAACTAATCAACATCAGGTTGTTAAAAACCTACTCATGTTATTCGACCACGCCCTCTATATTACCTCGCATGAAGGTTCTTTATGTGACTACGAGTGTTGCTTTCAAAGCTCACTCATATCTGAAAGAGCGGAGTCGGAATTACTCTTTATTTATTCAATTTCTTTACCCAGGGTATGCCCAAACAGTTTAAAAACTAGTTTCCATTTGGGCCCTGCATACATTAAACATTACAAATTATTCAATAACGTTAAGTAAAGTTAAACTTTTAAGGACAAGTGCATATGGTTTATATACAATGAAAAAATAACAAATAGATTACAAGTACAATATTTCAGAAATCTTACAGAAATAAAGCTATATGCACCACACT